CTACCAGCAGTTAAAAAAAAAAATCACAAAAATATTGTTCACTGATGTCAGACTTTTAAATGGTTCGCCCATCTGGAGGGTCGGTAATGATATCTCATTGCGGTTTTACTTTGTATTTTTCTTCTTATTGAGGATGAGTTTCTTTGCCTATTGGCCGTTGCAATTTTCTTCTCTAAGAGAAACCTGTTTGAAGCTAATTCTGTCTCCCTGAACCTCGGGGTCCTGGCTGGCTTGGGGCGGTGGGGAGGGTGAGGAGAGGCTGGGAGGGAGAAAGGAGCTTTCCTGAGGTCCGGAGCGAAGCGAGCAGGGCCGTGGCTGCCTCGTGGGCACAGGCTGGGACAGCCACTCTGCGGGGGCTTCCAGATGATTCTGTGCCTAGGTTAGAGATCCCACTCTGGTTACTTTGACAACAAAATGTGTCTGAGTCCCACCCTCAGTATCTCGAGCAGTTGCGCAGGACGTGTCTGAGAAGCAGAGGTGGCAGGTGCCGGGGCTGCGGGGGGCTGGCCGGCACGGGGTTCCAGCTAATTTTTGTGCTGTGAAACATTGGCAGACTGCAGTTAATCAAGAAAAGCTCAAAATATGACCCTCCCCCCCATTTGTAAACATTGGCAGTTAATTATAAAAAGGCAATTTGGGCCCAACAAGCTGTGTCTACAGGATTTAGCCATCAAAATGCCCCTCGGTGAGCCGTGTCTCGGTCATGAGACGGGGTTCACCCCTCAGTCAGCAAGCACCTGCCGCCTAGGGACCAGGAGAAAGTAGGTCCCTGCCTGCATGGAGGGGCCTGTCTGAGGGAGCCTTGCATCCTCTATGCATTTTTCTTTTTTGGTGGTAAAATATACATAACATGACACTTACCATTTCTAGGAATATGGTTCAGTGGCGTTAAGTACATTCCCACTGTGCTCCCAGCACCACCACCCGCTGAACTTTTCATCTTCCGAAATAAAAACTGGACCCATTGAACACCAGCTCCTCATGCCCCCGCCCCGTCGGCCCCGGCAGCCACCATTCTGCTACCTGTCTCTACAAGTCTGACCACTCGAGGGACCTCTTTTAAGCGGAATCATATACTATTTGTTCCTCTGTGTCTGGCTTATTTCACTTGGTATAATGTCTTCAAGACTCACCCATGTTGTGGCACGCTTCAGAATTTCTTTCCCTTTTTTTTTTTTTTATCCTCACTCGAGGACATGTTTGCATTCATCTTCAGATAGAGCGGGAGGGAGAGAGAGAGAAACATCCATGTGAGAGAGACACATCGACTGGCTGCCCAGGCCGGGGACAAACTGCAACCCAGGTACATGCCCCCAGCGGGCACTGAACCCAGGTCTCTCTGGTCCGCAGGCTGACGCTCTAACCACTGGGCCAAACTGGCCAGGGCTTTTTTCCCTTTTTAAGGCTGAATTGTATTTCATTGTATGTACACACCACATTTTATTTATTCATTCATCCGTTGATGGACACCTGAGTTACTTTAACCTTTTGACTATGGTGACTAATGCTGCTATGAGCTTGGGTGTGCAAATATCTGTTTGAGTCTCTGCTTCAATTCTTTAGGGTATATACCCAGAAATGGAATTGCTGCGTTACATGGTAATTCTGTGTTTAATGTTTTGTGGAACTACCTTAGCATTTTTAACTACTTTCTCTAATTAGGAATGTGCAGTTAGAATGGGGGGGGGGGGGGTTAGCATTTTGGACTTTTGGATAGCAGGGATTCACATCCTTTCAGAGGCTGTTTCAAAAGCAGAACGTGTCTGTCACCTTCTGGCCCATATCTCTTTGACTGTTCTTGTCCGATGATGATGATGATGATGATGATTAAGATGATAAATAAAATACACTGAGTGCTTACTTTCTCCCAAGTACTGCTCTAAACACGTTTGCATGTTTTAAATCACTTTATCTTCACAATCATTCTATGAAGGTTATTGTCCGAATTTTACAGATGAGGAGACTGAGCTACGGACCAGCAGAACCGTACAACAAAACAGATGAGATCACAAAGGAGGGACAGGAAGCCAGAGAGGAGCTGCCCAAAGTCCCAGCGTTGCCCTGTGACCGAGCTGGGTCGGCTCCCAGGCTCCCAGACGTCTGGAGTCCCGGCCCCGCACTCTTGCCGCCTCTGACACAGGATTCCATTCATTCATTTTGTTTATCCTGTTGACCCAGGTGAAACCCCATCCGAGAGGCTGCCGTGCCGCATCGCAATCCAGCTGAATATTCCTGGTCCTCCTCCTGATAATTGCCGGGGCAGGACTGAGCTGAAATATGATGGGGAGAGGATTACGGGTTTGGCTGTAGGGTTTTGTGAAAACACATGGAAGTAGCACATCAATATTAGTCAAGGACTGAATGGGCCTTTTTAAGGAGTGGAGATAAATTTTGGCAAAATCAGGTTGCCTTGAGAAGCATTCAATTTACTCTGTGGGAGTCAAAAGAAATTATGATTCTTCTTTCTTGTTAAGTTTATTTAACTAGTACAAATCTCGAGTCTGCATGTCCTGCGAAGCCGGACTCCTGAAGTTATGAGTTTGGCCATGCAGATGGTGGGCCTGTGTTTCCCATTATGTTCCCTCTCGTTAGGGCTCTGCCGCTAGTCCATGCTGCACGCTCCTCGTGTGTTTTCCTTGAACTTCATGAACTCTGGCGTTCCGTTTCAGGCATGTAGATCCACCGGGAAAGCAGCCCTCCTTTGATCTTCCCGAGGACCCCATTATGTTTAACCCGAGAAAGATTAGGGAGTTGCCATTCAACGCTGAACAAACACGAAAGTCAGCCGCAAAGATGGCGGGTGCTTAATCTATTTGCAACCCCGACTGCATTGCGGGCGGATTCCGCATCAGGCCGCCTCGAGAGGCCTTCCTGGGAATGGGGTTCCCACCTGCCCCGGGGGCTGCACATGGCCAGAGGACCGAGTGTGTTGGCCTCACAAAGACATCTATTTAGCATGAACTATTTCCACGGTAGAGGGTTTTTAAACTTTGAAATCGTTGTCCACGTTGGTTCCCCATGTGGTAGTCAGGTTGTACTTTCTCTGAACTGTGCACACGGTTCTGGAAAAGCCCCCTTGCCTTCTAGTCCTGTTTGCAATAACATCTGCTCAGCAGTGGGAAACAAGTGAGCTCGTCTCTGGACAAACACTCCCCTGAGCTGGGGTGAACTTGGGGGGCAGCACCGGAGACCCGGCTGCCCAGCTCCCGTCGCCCCCTCTGCAGCAGGGCTCAGACTCTGCCCACCTTTGCAATCGCTCCGGAAAGCAATGTGCAGATCTAATTGTGACTCTTTTTTTCTAGCTTAAAAGGAGAAAGGAAGAACAAAACGAAATCAAGGGTCAGGCCGTCAGGATTTTCAGTTTCCTGTCACTCTCAAGACGGTGATGGAGATTTATTTTCCTAATGAAGGCTCCAGCGTCAATGGTGGCACTTGCTAGAATCAGTTAGCACTAAGTGTCATTTAATTCGTGGTGAAGCGACAATCTGACTGGACTGTGATTAGTTCCAGCTTTTAGCTATCATTTATAGGTCACCAGGCGGCTAACAACCTCAAATGAGGGACCATTATCTTTTGACAAGATGGAGCTTTCTCTGGGGGTTGGGGGCGGGGAGTGTTACCCGGAAAGCCCAGCTCAATACTCTCTCTGGGAATTAGTTCATTGCTAATAGAGCGTGGCTGCCATTTACTGACGGGAATGACACCGGCGGGTTCCAGTGAGGTGTGCTGAGGGCAGGAGGAAAGACGCCGTGCGGCCATTCATTCATCCCTCAGCGACCACAGCTGGAGGGAGGCACGGTGCCGGCGGGTCCCAGTGGGTCCCTGCAGGCCAGTGCTCAGGCCGCACTGGTCCTTACCACTGTGCCGGAGGAAGCATCTGCTGGTCGGCGGCACCAATGCCACACTGGGGGTTAACTGTCCCAAACAACAACTTTGCCTAGAACAACCTGGTTCTTCCGTGGAGCCTACTTTTTCTTGGAACAAACTCCGTTTTAAATAAAACTGTCTCCCTTGTGTCATTAGAGTGACCCCTACATTAGATAAAAGGGGCAGACTGTCTGTTAATTATAAGCAAGATGGCACGATGTTGTTAGACTGTAGTTCGGGTTGGAAGGTTCCGTGGGCCGCTCCCTGCACGGAGCGGGGAGGAGACTACCAGGGGCCGGTTCAGCTGGTGCGGTGTCCCAGCCTTTTGTGTGTGGCGCTCGTTGGAATGCTAAGATCTTTGGCAGAACCCTGAAGGGAATTTAAATGTTCAAAATATGAAACGACTCAGCAATAATGCCAAGACAGTCACTGCGTGGTATAATACTGTCTGAAAGTTCGAACGTGTCACCATTTTCACATGGTTTCTCGTCCCCCTGGGCTCTGAGATGCTCTTTGAACAGCACCACCTGGCTGATCTCACCATGGTTGGTCGCTAACAGGACAGTGTCCTCACGTTTTGTACGACATGCTGGCTGTGGGTGGCGTTGGCACGGAGCCACACCGGGTGCAGCTGTCACGCGCTGTGTGACCCTCTCAGCTCCACGCCCCTCTGGGCTGTCCTCCCACTGGTGGTAGTGCATTGTGTTAACACAGGTTAAAGAGAAAAGAACCCAGATCACCTGGGTTCAAGTTCCAGCTCTACCATTCACGGGCTGTGTGGCACTTGGGTGAGTTACTTAACTTCTTTCTGCCTCAATTTCTTCAACTGTAAAATGGGCTTAGTACTGTTACCTACCCTTATAGGGTGACCCGGAGGATTAAATGAGTTACACATACAGCACTTAAAACAATGTTGGGCATAGAACACGTAGTTTTAATAAGTGTTAGCTTTTATTATTAGCCCCAGTGTGACCTGCTGGCCAGGGTTTGGCAGCACACATAGAAGGGGTTAATGGCCAAGTGGCATTTCATCCACTGAGACCAAGAGGGCTAGAAACCGTCTCCTTCCCGACTCTGCCCACAACTACACCAAACAGCTACGTGTTAAAAGTGAAATGTTTTTATTTGGGCTTATCACAGAAATTGAATAGCTTCTCCTGACACTTATCCATATAAAATATCATAACAGTGGTTACAGGCATAAATAAGATGGACTCTATTCTGTTTTTATAAGGCACAGTCCTTTTTGTTGATTACAAGTAAGAAGACTATGAAGTCAAGATGCAGGAATTTTAAATTCGATTTCAGCAATTTCCAAAGATGGAATTACAGAATTAAGGACTCATACAAAAAAGATGATTTTTAAAATGGAACCAGCCACCTTGAAAAATATTCTGAAACACATGGTAAAAATGGTAACACTTCAGGAGATAAGATAAAAATGTTGCCAGCTGGCCTGGCTTTCAGGACCTGGACTCTGGGGACTGCTGGGCTGTGGAGAAGTACAGTAACCAGCTGCAATGTCGTCTCAGGCACAAGCAAAATCACGCTTGATTTTGGTCCCTAAACAGACTGGATTCCCTCCTTGCTGATGACTCTTCAAAAGAAGCTTTTGCTTTTATTATGCATTTGGCTTCACAATCTTCATTGATAAATAGTTCTGAAAAGGAAGCAAAAACAGTGTAAAGTACATATATTTAAGTTAGGGTTTCTCAACATTGACACTGTTGACATTTATGAAATTCATGAAACTCTAAGAATGCAGTTCTAACCACAGGATACATTACTTTAAATTTTCCAAAGACTGACGGGTTGTGAGACCACAACTCCTAGGTAAGTCATTCTTCCCAAGAGCAACCAAGGCAAGTACCCGGTTAGACGATCAATCATAGCCACACACACACACACACACACGCACACACACACACGCACTCTCATGCGTGCGTGCACACAGCCACGGCAAGAAGCCCAGGACCCGCACCGGTAAGGAGTACAGCAGCACGGCCACGAAGAGCAGAAGGATCAGCAGGATCAGCAGCCCGACGATGACCCACTTAAATCGGCGCCACACAATGAACTTCATGGTTTTACATGGGTTGATGAACCAGAGGAAGGAGGTTTCTGGTCGGCTGCATGGCAAAGAAATGGTTTTACTGACCCAACTCAGGAGGGACAGATATGTCACCTCAGAGCATAACACTGTTCAAAGATTAATTCATAACATTTATAAAGTGAAGAAAAGATATTATTCCCCTTCGATGGCCAAGATTTTTGAATCTTTTATAGCTTCCTAAGATGCGAAAGTGGTTAAAATAAAGCCAGATCACCAAGTCCCCCCCGCCCCCCAGTAAGTACAAAATTAGAAGGACAACAGCTAATCCAGCCTATTAAGCCAATTGGAAGGGGGGCTTTCAGACTGCAGGTGTTTGGGGATGAGACGGTGCTGAGAACAAAGAGCGCTCTCACTTTGGTGGGTCCAGCTTGGGGTTCATGTTGGGTTCATCCCGTCCCTTCCCGGCTGGCCTCTCGTCGGCCTCCTTCTCATTAAGGATTTCCAACGTCATCTCCACTTTCCCCTTCAGTAAAGCAGAACAGGTTAAACACATGACATCATGTTTCACAAATATTTTCACTTCAGCCCAAGGAGTATTCCCCGAGCAATGATTTTTATTCTTGTAAAACAATCCCGAGATTGCCTTAAATTTTCCTCAGGAGACTTCATCCCATTTCCTCTTCCATGTGTTTCTGAACCGGCTCCTTGTGGGAACCCGAGAGGACAAATTGCCTCCCCTCCTCCCCACTCCCTGCTTGTCACTGTCTGCGGCCCCGCCATCCTAACCTTCTCACATCCATCTCCTTGCCTCTCACACACCGTCCTTTGTAACTTCACTGGGACCCAGCTGAACCTGAGCACTGCTGATAACAATATCTAATATTTATCGAGCCTACCCGCTTCATGCTTACTGTGGACCCCCCATGGCGCAGAGCCGGTGACACTGGGGTACTTGATGTACGCAAGGTGAATACATGAACGAGTGAGTGAATGAATGAACGCTGCCTCTCTGTTCATGGGTTTCTGAGTGGTGTGCTGGGCCCTGCTTAACCCTCTCTTATGGATAATCGCATGTAATGCTCACGGCAACCTTATAAAGCAGGTACTGCTATTATCCTCATGTGCTTGTGAGGAAAACTGAGGCTGAAAGAGGTCTAGAAAATTGCCTGCTTAATGAGTCTTTCTAGAACCCTGAAAAGCCAGACCAAGTCACCAACCATTTGAGAACCCTGACATCCACTTGGGTGGTAGGGCCCCCGGACTCCCATGTGGCCCGGTGAGACGGAGCTGGTGTCTGACCGTGGCCAGGTGCTGCATCTCTCCAGGCCTCCATAGAAAGGGGGTTGTCGGCAGAATTGAACGAGGTTATGTGCAAGCTCATCTACAGTGGCAGAAAGCAGGTAAGTGATTTCCTGGGCCAGCTTGCGGGACGCCATAGACAACAAAGGCACTAGAAAGCTTCAGGGGTAATGGGAATGTTCTAGATCTTGATTACAGAGGTTCATAAGTGGATACATCTGTCAAAACTCATCAAACGGTGCACTCTGAATGGGTGCAGTTTATTTATATCTATTATACCTTGAAGTTGTTTTATAAAACAAGATTATGAATGTAAGGCATTTAGCATGTTGTCTGGTTCATAATCAGTGATGTGAAATGTTAACTAGTATTAATACATAAAGAATTACGTAGGCCTGGTCAGTGTAGCTCAGGGGTTGAGCGTCAACCCATGCACCAAGAGGTCACCGGTTCGATTCCTGGTCAGGAAACATGCCCAGGTTGTGGGCCTGATCCCCAGTGGGGGGCATGCAGGAGGCGGCCAATAGATGTTTTTTCTCATCAATGTTTCTATCTCTCTGTCCCTCTCCCTTCCTCTCTCTCTAAAATCAATACAGAAAAAAAAAAGAATTAGGTGGTCTTTCGTCACATGGCATGGCAACCTGCACTCTCGCTTCTATATCAGAAGGTACCTTGAGTTCTCTGAACTGTTCTTGCTCAGTGAATGTCAGTCAGCACCCCCACAGCTCAGCATGCTCGCCCTCCTGGTGACTAAGGGGCCTCAAGAACTACCGCGTGGCCACTCTGGCTCCCAGTTTTTTGACAATTCCAGTCGCTCCACCTTCCACTCAACCCCAGACATTCACTCATGGACCCCTTCTCTTGTGATCGCAGGTACACACCGTCCCATAACCTAAAGTCCCGCCGATTTAACTTTCCTTATCCCTCTGGAGTGAATCTATTGATAAAGAGCAAAACTTAAACGATGGACTGCGCCAACGACCCGCCAGGAAGCGCTCCTACCGCCAGCACGCGGGAGCCCTCTTTGTCTGCGTAGCACGGCCACCATCCCCTCATGGACTTCTGTTCGAAGAGGGAGGCGGTTTTCACTTTGAGGGGGTCCATGGCTCTGAGGTCCGGAATCATGTCCAAACTGCATTTCTCTGATGATTTTGCTGGGACGATGGTGTGATGCAAATCAAGTTCCAGGAAACCTGGCCAGGGAAACATTAAACCCCAATGAGCTTCACGCGGATCAGCCGTTGTTTACGAGGGAACAGAGTGTTCCTGCCAGAAGAGAGGCAGACAGTGATTCTGAACAGGTAACGAGCGAGGGAGAGAAAGGGCCCCTGGTCGACGCTGAAGAATTTTTCCAGATAGGCTAGGAAGCGGCAGAAGAATGACCTGTCCACCATTCTGCACCTCCCAGAGGACCACCTGTTTTATTTCTCAAAGACAGGAACATAAACAGAGTTCTTCCAAAGCTCAAAATAACTACACACCTACAGACAATTTCCACTGAGCCTGGGTGTACAGTTGCTCATCTTCGTTCTGAACTGCCCTGAACACAGCCGTGTGGCTTCGGATAGGACTCCTGGGACCTGGAACACGGGACGCTCCCCGGAACACGCACGTTCACCCAGTGAAACCTCAGAAACGGGAGCTTGAGAAGGACCACAGCAGCTCAACAGAAAGTTCCCCAGGACCTCGGAAGCCCATCGGGGTGCCTGGGGAGCACGTTTTCTCTTCTGTAATGTGAGGCACTAACACTTTAGCGGATTCTTTTGGGCTTGCGACCTCCCGTGAGCCCTTTCGTTAAGAAAGTGGTACACGTATTGTAGGGTCACGTCTGGGGATAAATGAGACAAGAGCTGGTCTTCGACAGGAGCAGCAAAGAGGGAGCGATTGTGGCCGAGTCTCTACACCGCCAGGCCGGAAACGGCCCTTCATCCTGTGATGGGCCCCTGGTCCACAGTCACTCAGCCTTCCTCGAGCTTGTCTCTGCTTCTGTCTCGGCTCCCCTTCGGGTGATAACCACAGTCATGTGCCCACCAGCCATTTAAACTCATTTCTTCATTTGTCAGAGGACTTTATTTAAATTCCAAAGGAAACCCTCCACTGTTCTGGAATTCACCGCCCCTGTGCCTCGTGAGCCAGCGTCTTTGCACACTCATTTGTTCAGCTCTTATTAAGCACCATGTCGAAGTCACCGCGCTCGGTGCCGTGAGGGGCCACAGCCAGCGGCCACCGTGGGCCCTCCCGCTGGGAGCAGAGGTGCTCCAGAAGCAGCGACACCAGTTAGGAGCCACTGTCACCTTCGGTCATGAGAAAATGAGGTCTGGCGAGTGGCAGAGACCACGGACATCAGGAAGTAAAGGTGCATGACAAAGCGGACTACTTTGTTAGCACTGAGGGGCCAGAGGACTCTGGGCGCTTCCGCCTGGGTGGCTGGGACAATGGAAGGACTGTGAACAGCAAAAGTTCATGAGGAGAGAAGGTATATGGCTAGGGGGAAAAGGCTGAGTTTGATTTTAGTCAGGATAAATTTGACATGCTGGCCAAATATCAAGGAGAAAGTTTCTGGTGGGGAATTGGGACTAATCATTATAATAGTTTTTTTTTTTTTTTTTTTTTAATATAATGGCCATATAACATCGTGTAAGTTTAGGGAGTGTGGCGTGTTGATCTGACACAGTTATGCACATCAGAACAGGCTCTGTGGGCGGTCAGGCGCACACCCCGGCGCAGCAGTCACACCGCTGAAAGGTGACAGTGGGAAAAACCACAGAGGGCCCCGGGGAAGAGCCAGAGGCCCCAGGAAAGGCAAAGGCCTGTATTTATTTTTAATTTAATTTGATTTTAAAATACGTTTTTATTGATTTTAGAGAGGGAGAGGGAGAGGGAGAGAGAGAGAGAGAGAGAGAGAGAGAGAGAGAGAGAGAGAAACAACATGACCTGAGACTGAACTTGCAACCTGAGCATGTGCCCTGACCGGGAATCGAACCCGTGGAACTGGTGACCTTTCCGTGCACAGGATGATGTTCAACCAACTGAGACACACCAGCTAGGGCCAAAGACCCGTATTTAAGAGTGGGAGGAAGAACAGAGCCGGCCAGTGAGACAGACCCCAGGCCTCAGAGAGGGGTCAGAGGGGCACTGTGCTGCGGGCGGGGCTATGGCAGGAAGAGTGAGCGGTACTTAACAGGTGTCTTCAGAGCCTGGGGGAGAGAACAATGGCTGGGGCAGCGGGGAAGCTCAGCAACACCTGAGCGCAGCCGGAGGTGTGAGGAGAGAGAATGGATGGTTTGCTAGTCAAGGCGGGGGTGTGGCATCCTTTTGTGAAAACAAGATTTGAGTTTCCACAGCAAGACAGGAGCTAGAATAAGAGCCTCCACAGGGGCCCTGGAGCCCACAGAAAGGGGTGAGGTTCACTGTGCCCACTGCTCAGAGGACCCCGGCAGCAGATGGGTAGGCCACACCGCCCAGAGGACATCCAGGTTGGGAGTGCGTCCCTGCCCATTACCCACAGTATTGGAGATTTAAATAATGGACTCCAAGCATTAACTGATTTCACTAATTCCAAGTACCATTTCTTAGAGAAAAGAAGCCTTACCCAAGTAGTCATCAAGAGAAAACTTGTCATTATCCCAAATCTGGATGATCAGTCTGGGTGGTACCCGAAATTCGGTTTGGTCGATACTCCAGAAATGCTCCTACAATGTCATGAGAAACAGACAAACCAGATCACACTGATTATTGGATTATTCATTCTCCCCTTGGAAATGCCAGTATCAAGGCACAGGGCCTTTTCTCCCCTTTGCACCCCAACCTGAACCCTCTTCCCTCAGCCCTGCCCCTCCACCCAGAGGTAAGGAGGACAGTTGGGCTCCCCAGGACATCTTGGCCACCAGCAGGTGACAAAAAGATGTCCCAGGCAGTTCCCAAACTGAAGCCTTCCGCCATGTTCCTATCACTGTGACTTCCTGGAGTTTGGGGAGTGATTCTATCCCCCCCGGGAAGACCAGAGTGGCCTGCTTGGATCATCCTCTCAAAGCCAGAATGTCCCAGGCCAGCCCACAGCATCACCTGCTGGGGTGTTGCTTCTGCTCAGCCACCTCCCGCCACAGATCTGCTCACCCACGTGGATGCCTGAGTGCACTCCTTTTACTGGGCGCAGATTTTACTCTTTTATTACTGCAGATTTAAAATGTTCTGGCATTTTGGGCTTTAGAAAAATATTGCTGGGTTTTGCATGCTGTGGTCAACTAAGACCCCCAGATCCCTCACACTAGTGAGGTAGAGGGAGGACTGGGTAGGGTCCTCCAAGTTCTCGCCTCCGGTCCCTGCCTCTGCCTAGGCAACATCAGCCAAAAATAACACCTCCACCGCCTAACACACCTGAGCTCCTCTGGCCCCAGAAGGAAGGAAGTGCCCCAGTGCTTCAGGAATTTGAAGGAAGAGTACTGGGTTGTTTCTCGTTTTTCAGATGACATTTCAGGAATGTTCCCCTGCGCAAGGCTCAGAGGGCCTGGCTCTGAGGGTCTTGGAAGCCCACCCAGCTGTTGTCTGGCCTCACCTGACTGTCCTTGTGGGCTCAAGCTCCAAGTACCCCTCAGGGGACGGGGGTGTCCAGCTCCAGATGTGGGTAAATAGGAAAGGTAACTTACCTAACGGCCAACCTGACCCCACACTCTCACCTCGAATCACCTGAGAGTGCGCACGATGCACATCAGGCTGAGCTCTGTGTCCTCAGGAAGGCCCCCTGACAGCACTCATCTTACCTGGCAGAGACGAGCGCTCCTGCAGCATCAGCACTGAGGAGGGCTATCAGGGGTAGGCCTGGCCAGATGAGACAGAGGTGGGTGTAGCTGAACTGGGTGTGGGGAGGGGAGGTGACCAGGAAGAGTTAGAGAATGTTCACAGAACATGGGGTAGAAATGGGATGGAGAACCCATCCGAGACATCTGTTACTATTGCTGCCCAGGCTTCAGGCCCCCACTTTGGGATGAAAGCACCCAGATATTTCTTGGACAGTCCCTTCCTCCAGTCCTGCACTTTGGAAAGAACGGACTCCATCCTTTGCTGCAGAGCCAGGCCAATCAGAGCTCTGCATCCCGGGCAGCCCTGGTTGGTTTAGCAACAGCACAGGACCCGGAACAGGCAAACACAGCAAGACACTATTCCAGAAGTCTGGTCGGCACCATCGAGGATGTGTTCTCTTTCTGCTGAGGTTGCAGAGAGGGCAAGATGTGAGCTGGGCCCCCCCAGAAAGGGGGGCCCACAGAAGAAGGCAGGGCAGAGGGGCAGAGAAGCGAGAGCAATCCCTAGACACCAGCTACGCCTGGACCCAGGCATTCCTTCAGCCAGCCAGCCCTGGACTTTTGAGGAAACCAGCAAATCACTTTTTTGGTATAAGCCAGTTTGAATTGAGTTCTGTAGCTGAGAGTCTTACAAATTCAAACCACCAGGGCCCTGAACCCCCACGACAGTACTTCTGAAGGAGGGAAATGTCACCTCCTTGAATATGTTGCTTCTGTTTGATTAATCAGTCAAACAGTTCTGCCTGTCATGGGAAGAAATCGGTTTCCCTGTGACATAAACATACCCTTCAGTTGGTGTATTTATTGATACAAGACGCCAGTGTCTACCCTTTACCAGATCCCCACCACCGACGTGCTAGGGAAAGGAGAGTCGTATTCCGCATACTTCTGACTGCACAAATAGGTGTCATAGCTGCGTGACCCTGGGCAAGCACCTCCACCTCTGGGAGTCCCTGCGTCCCCTCTGCACCAAGAGGGAGCTGAACTCATGGCCGCCAAGGTGCTGAGCGGCTCCAACGTTCTCTGAGCATCTGCGCTAAGGAAGACCCATGACCTCCACTTCCCACCGGCATATTTCAGAGCTCACTTTTTTAGCAATGATACACAGTTGTTCAGCTGGGAGGTAGTCAAATGGGAAAACAAATCTCCAGTTAAAATTCCCTTCACCATCCAAGGACCTGTAATGGACATCTGTTTTCTGTTTGTTTTCTTCACTGCCAGGAATCCAGCTGAAAAGCAGAGGCAAACAGACTTAGCTTCGTGTGATTGACAGGTAATCTAGCCACAAAATTGTGCAGTGATTAGCGGAGTGAAGGGCAGGAGAATTAATGCACTTTTCTTGGGCAGCTTCCAGTGATCTATGGAGCTGGGGGCTGATTTATGAAGGGGAGGCGCCCTGTTGCATCCAACACAGGTTGTCGCCAAATAAAATAGAATTCCTCTAAACCAAAGCAGGAAACCCTTTAGACTTCAGTTAACAGGGGTAAGGTGAAATTTTCTGGAAAATATCAACAAGTTAGTTTCTATTTTGGGAATGCTGGAGCTTGCCCACTGTGATTTTAGTCTCCATACTTATAACTGTGTCTGTCATCACTGCTGATAAGCCCAAGGAATACGAATTAGTTCTAAATTTTAGCATTTCCTTTTCCATATTTTGTGTAAGCAAACAAAACAGGCACAGCTCAAGTAATCTTACACCTTCCTTTTTTTTTATTATGCTTAGATGTGCTCTGATCTTATGAATAAAACTCCCACGGGAGATATGAGTTGTTATTTCCATTTGTATACCTATGAAAATGCATTTCCATAAACAATTTAACATGTCAACGTTTGACATTGGAAAAGTTTCCTTGACTTGGGCCTGGCACACAGTAGATGCTAACTGAACACCTGTTGAAGGAATGAATAAATGAACACGCCAGGGAAGAAGCAGTTGTCACATCTGCCTGCTACTGGGGAAAACTCCTGGTTTAAAAACAGGTGACACTGGAATTTAGGCTGGTAACATGGTTGAATGCACGATTCTCATCCCTGACTACACATTAGTATTGCATCGGAATCAACTGGGGAGCTTTCAAAAACATGGATGCCTGGACCCCACAGACAGAGATTCTCAGTAGGAGGCAGGCCTGGCTGTGAACTTGCTTTGCCATTGACTCTCTGAGTTTAATCTCTCATTGGTAGAACGAGGCTAATGACGTATGCTCCCTTCACATGGTCAACACCAGGACAGATCATGACTTGGAAGGGTCAGAATGGGAAGGGGGAAGTCCTTAATTCATGTTTATGATCATCTGCTATGAACCAAGTATTTAGCATGCTTTATTTTATTCTTCCCAACTATCTATCTATTTCCATTTCTCAGATGAGGAAACTAAGGTTCAGAGAGGCCATCTAACTTAAGCAAGCACACACAGCCAGTAAGGGACAGAATGAAGTATAACCCCCAGTCTGTCTGATGCCAAAGTCCAGGCTTATTACTCTGCCTCAAATGACCATGGAGACTAGGCAGTGCTAACATGAGGTCCTATTAATAGTAATGGCATTAACATCAATCAACTACAATAGTTTTACTTTTTGCTGGTCAATTAATTGACTAGATAACTTAGTTAAAAAATTCCTTTTAACAAGTTAGAAAAATTCCATTTGACTATTAACTTTTAAGCTTTTTAAAAAGGTTTTTTTCTTTATTGATTTGAGAGAGAGAGAGAGGGAGAGGGAGAGAGAGAGAGAGAGAGAAACATCGATGAGCAAGAACATCGACTGGCCGCCTCCTGCATGCCCCGCACTGGGGATCTGGCCCACAACCTGGGCACGGGCCCTGACTGGGTAATGAACCGGAGACCTCTTGATGCATGAGTCAACGCTCAACCACTGAGCCACACCAGCCAGGCAACTTTTAAGCTTTTAAACTAATTCACAGAAGAGAGTCCCCACTCCCTGGCTAGGACCTCAGTGACTTCACATCGTCACACAAGACCCCAAAGTATCGCCATCGTCCTCCCCCCAGACTGCTCATCCCTGTAGAACTCTTCCCTCTCTTTTTAGGGAATCTTTTCACATTTATTTTTATATACAAATCTTTCACATTTTAATTTTAAAACAGGTTAACTACTCCAAGTTTATGTATTTGTGTACATATGTATAACTTTGTATGTAATATCCATATGTGGATAGTACTATGCATGTTATTTATGCATTATTTATCTTTTCACATATAGTATTTCGATTTTAATTCCAAATATGAATAGTACTTTAGATTGCGGTTTATTCTTTGATTACAAGAGTTTTCTTTCAGTCTAGTATTACTTGAGTTTGTTTCCTTGACTTGAAAAGAAAAGAATGCTTATGATAGTCAAATAAATTTGCATATATGTAATTAGCCAGGATTAGTTTTCCTTGGGGAATGCTAATAAGAGTCTGAAATGAGAAAGAATAATGAATCTGATGAAACACTCCCTGTTAACAACAAACCGAACTGACAGTAATTATGTATTTAGCAAAGTTTTGATTGAAGGCCACTTGGGATCATAATGAAACTTGGTTCTCACTTTATGAATACATTCAATTCAACAAGTCTTTCTTTTTACATATCTAGAAACCTAACTTAGTCTGTGTGAAATGTTAATAATACTAGCTATTATGTAGTGTAATAGTTAATTTTATGTGTCGACATGACTAGCTATGGGGTGTCCAGATTAAGCATTACTTTGGGGTGTTTCTGGATGAGATTAGAGTCTGAATCAGTGGGTTCAGTGAAGCAGACTGCCTTTCCCAATGTGGGTGGGCTTCGTAAGGCAAAGGAAGGAGGAGTTCACCCCTTTTCCGCTTCATTGATGGAGCTGGGGTATTTCATTTCATCTTCTCCTGACCTGCTGATGCAGACTGTGGTACTTCTCAGCCTCCATGACCCTGTGAGTCAATTCTGCGTATTCATTCTCCCTGCCCTGACCCCACCCTGCAAGAGAGTGTGTGTGTGTGCACACGCGTGCACACACACACACACACCCTACTTATTCTGTTTCTCTGGGGAACCCTGACTGATACACATGGTATTTACTCTCTGCCAGGCACCATCCTAAATGCTTTGAGTAACTCAATCTTCTGCACATCCCCAAGCAGTGGGTACTCTCATTGTCTCCATTTGACACATGAGGAACAGCGAGCTTACTAACTTTTCCAGAGAGTAGGGAGAGTAGCAGGGTTTCAGCCCAGTTACTTTGACTTCAGAATCTGGCTTCCTAGTCACTATGCCATTCTGTAGACAACATCTATGATCAAGGCACAACATGAAACTAACACCAACATGAACTATTTGGAATTGAATTATGCAAATAACAGAATAATGAACAACTACGCTTCTGTACAGGTTGGATGCAGGCAGTTAGTCAAGGTTGTTGGGATCAATAATTTTTAAAAAAATTCTGCTAATGTTTCTACTTTTCCATGGACATTAACTGCTGGTAAAAAAAATATATACAGAAAATGAAATCTTAGAAGCTTTCCTTGTTACTAAAGATAGTTATTCAAGGTATCAAGAAGAAATAAAAATGAGCTGCATGACTAAAAAGTCTCAGAAATAACAAATCTGCTTAATAAACTCAACAAAACCCACCCTTAAAAAAGAGAAATGAAGAACCAAGTTATCAGTTCTAACAGCCATTAGATGCCTCTGTTCATAACCAAGACTCGTACAGGTTTCTCTTTTCTTCCTGCTCTCTGCCTTTGTCTCCCTGGAGCGTCCTAGGTAGATTGCAGTGATGAGGTAAAACACCTTCAGGCAACCAAGAATCCTACGGGGCACACCTTCAACAGTGAAAACGAATGAAGGAGAGAGTGTGTTTCACCCCCTGAGTCTGTCTGTGGTCCTGGCATGCTAACCTTACCCTTTCACATAGATGTCGCTCATTTCCTCTCCTGTGATGCTTTTCTCATCCAAGATGACGTCCTTGGTATTCCAGATGATCACGCGGAGGTAGAATCTAAAAAGGAGCACATTTTGAAGGTGCTTTTTCCTCCGGTCCTGCACCAAGACCCCAGGCCAATACAGCAGGGTCTCAAGATTACTTACTTCTTAGCTTTCCGGGGTGTGATGTTGAAAGGAGGGCCTGGTGGCCCCAAACTCTTGGGGAAAACATCTACCCACATCTGAAGTTTCCCCTAAGCCATTCAAAAATGAAAAGAGAAAGAAAGTTATATTATAGGTATCAGAGACCACAATTTTCATTCATATTTCCTAGGTGAAACTATTTCTTCGGGTCTGCTCATTTATGAGTCCATGTAGACAGCAAAAAACAAAAAACAAAACAAACAAAAAAACCCCGCCCACAAACAAACAGAAAACAAAAAAGAGTAGGAGAGCAAATTAAGATGAATCTTATATATTCAATGTCATTTAGGACACACACTCCCTACTCTCACCCAGGAGTGTCTGCTGGCTGCATGTGCCCACCTGTATCATAGTCTGAGCCTTTCCTGGTTAATAAAATAAGGGGCTTTTCATCACCAACACAACCCCCAACCGCCAACACACATACACACACACATACACACAATCACAGTCACATACATACCCCCTTACAACCACTTCAAGCTGAGCCCTTCCCTCCCAGAAGAGTTCTCACGCTGTCGCTCTATCCATCATCACACTGTCCACCTGATATCCGTCCTCCTTTTGTGACATGTATGGGTTTCTCTGCTCACCTCAGGACAGAAAGTGGTATTTACTTTTGTAAAAGACTTACGACGTGGCACTTCCAAAGCAGAGGCTCAAGCAATGGCGAGAACATTACTGTTCCTCAAAGTGGAGGACTCCTGACATTGGCTGCCTGGTGCCCACAAGCTGGGGGCCGGCAGGGAGGGGACGGGAAGCCTGACGGACACCTGTGCCGCCATCTTGGGGAGGCCCCGCTCAGGCCTTTGCCAGCCATGGACCAGGCCCATCCATCTGACTGGAATGTTCTCCCAGACAGGCGAGGAATGCCATTAACAAACTACATCGACCATATGAACCAATTTAAATTCCCCAAACTGCTTTTGGAGTTCTGTAGACTCTGTCTGCATGACAAAAACAGACTGGTCTTTAAGACGGTTGCCAAGGAAACCACTACATTGGCTTCCTAAAGCATCGTGAGCCAAATGAATTAACTGGAGCTCTTGAGAAAGGATGTATTTTACCGTGATCCTGAGTCTCTTCCAACTAATCTCTAGGGCTCAAGGTTCTACAATACATCAAGCACACTGCAGAACATGAGGCATCCAGGTGTCTCCTAGACCCAGCCACAGTCTGTCCAATGTGGTAGGTAGAGGTGATGGGGCTGGGGGTGGGGAGAGGGTGCTGGTGGATTCCCATGGAAAAATCTTTCTCACTTTGTAATTTCTTGAGACTTTATTCAATTGAGAGGTGGGAGGGAAGAGAGGAGGAGGAATGGGCTCTTTGGGGGAAGGAAGAATAATAAGAGAAAAAATGAAATGTGGAACAGAATAAAAGCAAGAAGTGAGTGACAAAATAATCTAGGAAACCCAGACCACTTGTGGCCACTTCTTAGAGATAAGCTTGTCCACAATTCTGCTGTCTGTGTCAATATTTGTATCCATTAGGCTAATATCTCTGAAAGTGGGATTTCCTAGCCACCTGCATCAGAACCCTTCCAGGTACTTGTTAAATCTCAGATTCCTGGCCCCACCCCAGACCTATTAAATCTGAACCTCCGCAGGCACAGCCTGAGAGTCTTCATTATAGCAAGCTTCCTCTTGGATTATTTTGTCATTTGCCATGCCTCTCCTTGCTTCTCTGGAAATGGACCATCCCCATCACTTTCCACATGGTCCCTGTGATGAGCCATCTTGTGCACTGTGGCCCTGATTTTTCCCTGGCTCTTTCGTCACATGGTGCTGCCTCACCCATGCTGGATCAAGTACAGTTGCTTTCCTAGGCCCTGCCCTTCTGGCCATAGCCAAGTGGTTCAGTGGTGGACAATTGGGCCAAGGTGGGGCAACGTATCCTTTCCACATTTGGAAGTAGATGGGACTACATTACAACCCAAAACAACTCACAGACTGTCCGCATTATTCTTACACATGGGAAGGCACCACAGGAAGAGTGCAGAGTAAAGGAGACCCAGATAGAAATCGACAACAGACAGGGAGAGGTCCTGGTCCAAATTTGTGCCGAGTCATGGTCATTCTCCTGGCTAGATTTAGTGAGTTACTTGCAACTTCTTACAATACATTCCCCTTTGGGATGAAGCTCATCTGAGTTTCATCTCTATTTCTTGTGTATCTAAAAGATCCCAAAGAGATAAAAGAGACAAGTCCATGTCAACACTGCCACTACATCTGGGGTTTGGATCACGGGTCTTCACAGGTAGGAAGCCCCTGTACCTGGGAGATGTTGGGCTGGAAGGTGCTGTGCAAAGTCCTTGTCTCCACGTGTTCAGGGACCAGCCCCTGAGTCCTGAGGATGTGAAGGGCGAGACGCTCCTCAGGGGCCCCAAGGTGCTGGTGCAGAATTTTGTTGGCTTCTGGAAGAGAAAGCAGCATGGAAACAGGGATGGGCATCCCGGAACAATTCAGCCAGACCGCCTGAGGGGCTTTTAGTACTTCACCCCAGACTTTGCAAAATGGTCAGGCAGTGCAAACTTCGACTTGTGAAGGAGTCACTAATAGAAATGGCTCCTGACCAGGGGCCCTTCCCCCACCAGGCTCACTCCTGATTCGTAGGCTGCCAATTGCAAAAGAGACCAGACATATCCAAATGTGTGAGAGCAGCCCATGTTTACTTTGTGGCAGAGGCTCACAGCCAGACTCTGTTTCCCAGACTCCTTTGCAGTTGGGCGTGGCTAGAATGTAAAGCAGGTGGATGTGACATGTGTGTCACTTCTACAACTGTCACATAGCCCTGGCCAGTTTGGCTCAGTAGTTAGAGCCTCGGCCTGCGGTCCAGAGAGACCCGGGTTTGGTTCCCGCTAAGGACATGTACCTCGGTTGCAGTTTGTCCTCGGTTGCAATTTCTCTCCGGCCCTAGTTGGGTTGTGTGGGTGGCAGCCACATCAACCTTTCACATCGTTGTTTTTCTCTCTCTCTCTCTTCCTCTCTTCTCTCCCTCCCACTCTATCTGAACAAAAAATAAAAAAAATGTCCTAAGGGGAGGATAAAAAAAAATAGTAGAACTGTCACGTAAAACCCTCTCCTATAGAACTGTATATGTGCCTTTCTTTTCTGGGTACAGAAGAAACAGCAACCTTGACACCCGAGGTGAAGAATGGCTGAGGGCCTAAGTCCGTGAAGCACTGCTTGGCGGAGGGCCACTGGCCTGCAGGAATACCTGCCTTGAATTTATGAGAAATAAACTTTTATTGTGTTAAGCCATTGAAATTGGTAAGTTCAATTGTCATGACAGCTAGCATCACTGTGGCATTAGAGCACATAGCCCCCAAATGGTCTGACATTCCTCCCACTGAGGGGGGTGTCTATACCCTCTCTGAGTCTGGAGGCATATTCAGCCACTAAAGAAAGAACGCAGTACGACTTCCGAAGCTAGGCATGAAAGCCCACGTGGCTTCTTCCTGGTTCCCTGGGGCGCTCGCTCTGGGGGTGCCATCCACCAGGAAAGGAGCCCGGGGACCCAGAGACTGCCCTATTGGAAAAGCCGGGGTAGGTGCTCTGACCATGAGCTTCGGCTGAGCTCCTGGCCGAGGACCAGCACCAGCTGCCAGCGATGTGAGTGAGCCACCTAGATGTCCAGCCCAGTGGAGCCTTCAGATGACTGCAGCCCCAGCTGACACCTGCCAGCAACCAACTGCACGAGCAGCTCAAGTGAGAACCACCCAGTCGAGCCCTTCCTGAATTCCTAACCCACAAAACTGTGAGCAAAACAAAATGGTTGTGTTCAGCTGCTAAGTTTTGGAGTAATTTGTTATATAACAATGGCAACTGGAATAGCACTCATGACTGATACAGCTTTTGGGGGGTTGCTTCTCATCCATGGGGCCATGTTTATTCCCAATCCCTTTTGTAAGTTCTCATGTTAACAGCAGCATCAACATTTCTTCCATATCTAATCATCTCTGATATTGACTTAGTCTTCTTCAAAAGGAAAGACAAAATACAGTTTCTCACAATATCAAGAATAAACATTTGGGGATCCAAAAGCACTTTCACCCCCATGTCTTCCCTGGACTTTTTGGCTATCCTGTGAGCCCTCAAGGCCAGTCCCACTGGCTCCTTCTCTGGGAAGCCCTCCTTCCCTATACAACACTGAATCATACCACAGCTCTTATGTTTTATTAAATTAAACTTATTTCAGTTTTTGCCATAGTGCAGCCAGCTGTTTATTGTCCGAACAGACTGTATTATAAATTACTGCTTGCGAAAGAGCAAGACCTAAAGCTCGGACGTGAGCCAGACGTGAACCTAGCAGATTCTTCGAACCAGCCACACGAGCCCGAGTCTTCTTGGAGAAGGGCTGGAGGAAGGATGGACTACACTTGGAAGAGAAATTCTTGCATTACCATCTGAGCACTTTGCATTACATGGAAATTAGTTAATTACTAGAACTTTGTGTTCAAAGCTCGAACGGCTATGACCTGAAAAGGTCAAGTGAAACACAAGACGGACAAGAAAATGTGTCCACCTTGACACTTGACATGACAGCAAACTCGACTATAATGGGGCTTTTGTTAGTGGTGTGTGGAGACCCTGTGGTATAATTAGAGTCCTGCTCTGCCAGAAACCCTCCCCAGAGCAAACCCAGCGACAGAAAGGGGTCGTTATGCTTTGAAACCAGCTTGCAACGTGCTTACCAAAATCATCCACACTGTAGTCTCGCCCTCCGTATCTGATTCTACTTCCATCTTCGGAAAGGATGGGCGGTGGGAAGCCTTTGAATCTGGCCACGTTTTTAAGCAACTGTGTTGGTCTCAGCTGATCCCGCCAGGTATTCACTCCAGAACTGTGAACAACATCCCACTCCCCGTTACTGCAGGGGACACCGGTTCTTCCTGGACTCACCCACACATACTCACATAGCCATAGGCGCCCCAGGGAGCGAGGGAGCCGGGAATGTGCTCTACACCTTGGCTTTGCCTAGAAATCTGTTTCAAAGACCTACAAGCCACAATTATTTTGGGCTCAGCCAATTGATCCTCTTTCCCTCCTCAAATTCCTGTAACAGTGAGTTTGACGAGATGGCATAATGATCACAGGTAAACTCAGAGACTAGAAGTCGTGAGCTGTATCACATCACATGCTGTAGAAAAGCACTCAGGTGAAGAGAGTCATCACAAAATTGATCAGTGATGGGGAAGGGGGGGTTAAGAAAGCCCGTTTCCAAAGGGCAGGGAATTCCTGCCATCAGACATTGTCTGCTCTCAGTCCCTGGCATTAGGAGGGGGTTCGAAGGACAGGAATAAGGGGACCAGTTCTCTGAGCACTGCTCCCCGTGCCTTCCCCATGGAGAACCGCTCTGCTCCGGGCCAGCGTTTCCCACAGACTCCGATGTGAATGGCGCCCCCGGAGCTGGGCAGTGCCCTGGCCCTGCTGGCTGAACACAAGCACCGAGGTGGGCAGCCAGAGCTTCCGCCGGTGTTCCTGTTAGATGGAGCAAACTGTCTACATTTATGGCCAAAGCAACTTACACACAGTACTGCTCAGGTATGCCACAGTGGGCCCCAAACCGGGAAAGGAATCGGTTCTCCAGGTCAATGATCGTTTCTCCCACTTTCTCATCACGGGTAAAGGTGTCATAGTCATAGACAGAAATTTTCAGATCTTTTTCTTGAGGTAGGTAGCAGCTCAGTTCATACATTCTAAACAAACAAAGGCAAGGTTAGGCTCTCTGTGAGGCCATCCAGGCATCTCACAAACACAGGGCTCTGTGCAGAGAACCCCAGGCAGGGCTGTGGCTGCTGGAGGGGGTGCCCTGACTAAGATACCAGCTGGGGGTGGGTGAGTGGGGGCACTTGATAAGTAGTACACATTCCTAATAAGAATAAGAGATTATACATTGATCGGAAGATCATGTCTTTAAATACCTAAGTTCAAATCCCAGTTCTGTTGCTTACTAGCTGACACCCCAGGCCAAGTACTTAACCTCTCCATGCTCAGTTTTCTCATCTGTAAAATGGGGATAGTAATACATACCATAAGAGTCAAGTGAAGAAATGTTTAAGAAGCATGACAAGATTTGGAAGCAGCCCAAGTATCCATCAGTAGATAAGTGGATAAAAAAGCTGTGGCATATTTACACAATGGAATATTACTCTGCTGTAAAAAGGAAGAAAATTGTACCCTTTGTGACAGCATGGATGGACCTAGAGAACCTTGTGCTAAGTGAAATAAGCCAGTCAGAGAAAGACAAGTACCATATGATTTCACTCCTATGTGAAATTTAATGAGCAAACTGAACAAACAAGCAAAATAGAGACAGACTCACAGACAGAGAGCAGGCTGACAGCTCTGCTGGTAGTGGGGTGTTGGGATGGGGTGGGAGCAAAAATATAAAAAAAGAGAAAGAACTCATGGACATAGACAACAGTATGGTGATTGCGGGGGTGGGCGGAGGTGGAAGAGGGGATAAATGGTGATGAAAAAAATAAAATAAAAAAGAGACTATCTGGCATGAGTGTATTGCTCAAAACCCAAGGGTCATAACAATAATAATAATTATAATGTTATTAACATTATTATCACATGCCCACTAACTGGGCACCCAGGCATCTCTGCCCAGCTGGGAGGTCAGTAAGGCACAAGCACCCTAATTTACAGCCCCTGAGCTGTGCCCTGCTCTTCTCTCGTCTGCCTGAACAGACCACCAGCCCATGGACCATCCTGACTCACCCGCAAGGGCGTGGGGTGGGGAGGGAGAGAGTGGAATTCACCAATGTGGTGTGATCTGTAGTGTGCCAAGAAGGCTCCCACTCCTCTGATCCACCACAGGTTCTTAAAGGCCTTCCCTATTAAAATGTAAACACTTCTGCCTGGCCGGTGTGGCTCAGTGGTTGAGCGTCAACCCATGCACCAAGAGGTCGCAGGTTCGATTCCCAGTCAGGGCACACGCCCAGGTTGTGGGTCCAATCCCCAGTGGGGGGCATGCAGGAAGCAGCCAATCGATGTTCTCTCTCATCAATGTTTCTATCTCTCTCTCCCTCTCCCTTCCTCTCTCTCTCTAACATTAATAAAGAAAACAAACAAACAAACCATAAAATATAATAAAACGAAATACTTCTGAGATAAAGATAAATAAGCAAACAGGACATTCTGTGGTAGGTGACTGATGTGCAGGCTCTGAGAGAGGTCAGCTGAACAGCACAAGCCCCAGAAGGGCGGGGTTCGGTCTGTGTTTGCACCACCCACAGAGGTACGGGTGCCCTAGTAGGTGTTCAATAAACTTTCTCCTCCTGTGCCTCCTCCCCTTCTCCTTGCACTCTGGTGGGGCTCTGGAGAAAGGCTTCTAGAATGTCTCCTAGATAAATCCCAGAGACCTCTCTAGACTGCTGCAGCCACGCAGGGGCCTACAGGAAGTGGCAGCCTGCATGAAAAAAGGTGTTTGGTCACAACCCCCCAGGAAGCACTGATTACACACGTGCCCCATAACATCACAGCTCCAACGCCGGATTTCAAGGGATAGGCAATACGTGCTCCTTGAGAAAAATAATTCTTTGGTCAAATAAGATTGAGAACCACTTCTTTTAGCATTCTTCTGGGCAAACAAAAGGCACTGAGAAGTCCTGCAGTTATCTTTTTCAAACCAAGTGTCTTGGTTCAATGAAAACATACTGTTTTTCTTGGAACACCCCAATTCAGATTTTATGGAAGAAACTGACATTCCATTGAATGTGAGCTGGCCATGATGTGAGAGAAATATGCTGAACCATGGCTGAGGACAGGAATTTTGTCTCCTCCTGAATTCCTGCCAGCTGAGAAGCAAGTCACCCCGAGACAGGCCAGGGACCACAGCCGTCTGGGGGCTGCGGAGCCGGCGTCTCCTTGGCCCCCGCTGGCTGGACGGGGAGGCCGCACGCACGCCAGGCAGGGATTGGCTGCGCAGAGCCTGACAGCATCACTTCCTCCCTGGGTGGCTCCGAGCAAGACTTTTCCTGCCACTTAATTAAGCTTGCGCTTGGCTCCTCTGAGACAAGCCATTCAGACAGGGCCGCCTTTCTCCCGTAAAAGCTGGCTTCCTCCGCTTCCCTGTCTCCCTCACACGGAGCCCTCCTTCCTGCCCTGCGTGCCTTTTCCTGTCTAGACCTCAGGGCTGGATCAGGGGAAGAAAAGGAAAACGATCATATTGCCGTGCCAGAGGATTACTTCCACTCCCTGGCCCGGCACGTGGCCTTGGGGCGTGCAGCGCAGAGGGGGTACGTGTGTGCTGGGAGCTGGCCGAGGGCGCGGTCCCCAGTGCGTGTGCCGGTGTGAGCGAGGGGGACAACGGTGTGTGCGAACCCGAGAGCTTTGACTGAGTGACAAAGACTTTCGTGTGTGCGTGTGTGCGCGCACACGCATGCACACAGGAGAGAGAGAAATGCAAAGGGGCACAAGCCAACCGACATGAGTAGAAAAGAAGAGGACGGGCAGGAAAATAAAGCCAGAAATTAACAGGTAGGCCGCACGGCAGACAGAACGCCGCGTTCTCCTGCCTGGCAAGGTTCTTGGAAAATCACACTGTTTTCACAAATGTTTTGTACAAAGAACATTTTTCTACAAGTGATGGCTTTGCTATGAATATGAAACATTACCAAGGGTGTTGGGAAAATCTGGGGTGTGGAGTCAGGAATTCCTACCTAGATCTTGGCCCCCTCGTGCCCTAGGTCTGCAGGCAGAGCTTGGGGGGGCTGCCCTTGCATGCAGAGTGGGCCGCTGGCCGCGCCCTGACACAGAGACGAAAACCCGACGGGGCAGCCACAACCAGCGCAGGGTGGACACCGTGCAGACGCTGGGGCATGGCCTGGGGTCGGCTCCTGACTGCCTACCAGCGGGCACTCAGGCCCTGACTTTCTCTGTGCCCGTTTCCTCTGTGGTAAATGGGGGTAAATAGCTTCTCAGAGCCGTGAGATTTTTGAGATGTTTTACATAAACGGCTCAGTGTAGTGCCCGCACATAGTAAAAACTTAGCTAATAATGAATGGCTATTGTTAAATTGGACGTAACTTATGCCTGAAAAATACCGGTCCTATTTAGAGGTCATTTCAGTTTGTCTTACCCTCAAGAAGGTTCTGATGAGAGCAATGGAATAATAAAGTCAGCAATAATAAACCACGCAATAATAAACTCAGTGCTTCACGTACTCACAACTATAATCTTACTTTTGCCAATCCCTGTATATTCACTGGATCAAAGGGGTGGAATTCAAATGTCCCAGAAAACAGAGCCCAAACTGGATTCAAGGAGTGAGAACCACACTGTCACCACTGGTAAGACACCTGTTAAGCCTGCCTTCACTTCTTGTCTAGAACCCACAGACTCCTGGACTCCTGGGCCCGGGCCACCCCGCCGGTACCACCCGCTCTCCACCCTCTCCGGCTCTCAGAGCAAATCTCTCAGAGGAACCCATCTCATGACTTTACTTTCTTCATGGCACTTTTCACTCCCGTGACATTACTCTACTTGTGCATTTTCATATTTATTACCTGCCCTAACGACTAGAATATTTGTCCAGGTCATGGCCACAGTTTCAGGCTTCATCTGTGTGCCAGGAAGAAACGAAGGACAGAGAAACATCTGGACGTGGACCTTACCTGCCGAAAACGGGGTTGAGAGTGTTGGGTATGTAGTGGTCTCGATCTTCGATTACTTTTTTGCCCAGTGTTATTTTTATGTAAGGGTCACACTGTGAGGACAGAACAGACGGCATGTGATGTCACTGTGGGTGCAGGTTAAGTCACCTTCTGGGACAGACCCGGGTGTGCCTCCGCCGCCCCTCCCAAACTGAGGAAAGGCAGCGGCCTCGGCCCCAGTGCCCCAGACAAGGTCTGAACGAGGGTTCCCTCCTGCTGACACGGCCTGCAGAGGAGGGTGTGGGGGAAGGGGCCGCGGCAGAGGAGTGACGGGACCCAGTCTCCCCCAGGTCACATCTGTAAAGTGAGAAGAATTAGCCAGAGGATCCAAGCCCTTCAAACTCTTAGATGGGACAGTGCTCTCCTGAATACATCGTCTTGATAGAGTATCTTACCCCTAATGAGATAACAGACACTGGGAAAGAAAGAACATGACAATTACAGTGGTTGATGACTGTAATTATCTTGCTCCAGGAGAAGGCCCCACACCCAAACTCTTACCAGGCCATTGTTGTCCTGGGGCTGGAGCTCTAAGCCTCGAACAATGTAAATCCGCACCGTGCATTCCTGTGGGACGCTGTCAGGTAATTCCCGGAACTGCCGGGGAGGGGGCGGCACGCTGGGGTCGTCCGGCAGGGGGTAGATTCGAAAGGAGCCCTAGAGACACACGTGTAACCACAGGGCCCTGGGTGACCTGGGCAGAGGGCCCCTGGGCCGTGCCCTCCTCCTGCAGGACACTCCAGGACAGCCACAGGGGTTGTGTGATTGAACTCTGCAGATTTCCAGTGGGAAAGTAAAAGAATGATAAAGTAATTCTCTACTAGATTACAGGGAGAAGAAGGGGCAGGGCAGAAGCAGGGAGACTAGGCAAACGATGGAAGTGCCAGGACCAGGATGATGGCAAAGGAGCTGGTGAGGAGTGAGATCCTGCACATATTTGGAAGAAGGAATAAAGGGGTTATTTTAAAAACCACCAAAGTACTAGGGTGATTTCCCTTTCCTTGCGTCACCCCGTTAACCCACTCCCACACCAAGGCAAACTCCTGCTCATCCCTCAGGTGTCAGCTGCAAGGTGTCACCTCTTCCAGGGGACCTCCCTGACTGCCCAGGGCTGGGTGTTCTCCTGCGTGCTCTCATCCAACCGCACTCACCCTGCCTCAGCACTGACCTCTGTGCGGTAACCGTCCATTTGTTTCCTTGCTCTCGCTAGACTGCCAGCTTCCTGAGGGTGGGGACCATGTCCTGTGCATCACTCGCCCTCCAGGACCTCACACAGGGCTGGGTGCATAGCAACGGCACAAAGAACGCTCTCTGAAGGAGTGAGCCATCAGGCCCGCTTGGGAGGCCATATATTTTATGCTGAAACCAGCTCAAGTACAAGAGAAAACACTAAAGTTGGATTCAGAACATGTGGGTCTTAGTTCCAGCTATGTTCACTCAGTGGAGCACCGGATACATGCCACGTCCTGGGGACCCAAAAATAAACTCAAGGAACCCAGTCTTGCACAGGGATGATACGTAGGTTTGACTCTCATGCCGTCTTTGATTGCTTGGGGGGATGCTGGAACAAGGACTTTGAGATCAGGTGTAGGGTTTAATGCTCCAATCGACTGGCAATGGCTGCTATTGGAAGGATTGGGCAGCAACAGCACAGCTGCCAGGAGTTGGCCAACAGGGGCCGGAGGGAGGAGCAGCCATGGAAGCAGATACTCACGGTGTGAACTGGTGTGAACGGGGCTTTAACAGGGGCAGGAGCCCAGACCTGTGGGAGCCTGGGGCAGGAGTGAGTCACTCCGCCAGAAGCAACCAGGGAACACATCACAAAGAATGTGGCATTTGAGCTTAGAAGAGTGAGGAGGAGTTTGCCAGACCACAAAGAGGGAAGGAAGGGCATCCAGGGAAGGAAGAGTCGTGAAAAGACAAGGTGTGTTGGGGCTTGGGAGAGGTCCTCCCCAGCAGGACTACTGGGTGGCGGGGAGGCAAGTAGCTAAGCAGCTTGTGAAATGCTGGCTCGGCTTTAGGAAGGAGCTGAGGCTGGATCCAGTGGAAATGCAAACGGTATCTTTTCGCAGTCCAGAAACATGATCGGCTTTGGGGAACGGACTGCAGTGGGACGAGAAAGGTGGCAAGGACCTTCAGTTGGGAAGTTGCCACAGGGGTCCTGCTGAAAGCCTGGGGGGCAGTGGGCGTGGGGAGGGGCACGGTCTTGGAGAGGCTGAATCTAGAGGAGTCAAGGCTGCTTGGCGTGAGCAGGGAGGAAGAGGAACACTGAGAATGGCTTTGAGTGCTCTGCCCCCGTCCCCTGCTGCCCTTTTCCTAGTCAGCATCTTCCAGCATCTCTCAGGTGTCAGAGGACATGGCTCTACCTGGAGGCTGGTTGGCCTTTGTCCTAGGCATGTAAGAACACAGAGGTGGGTTTTAAACAGGACAAATACACATTTTACTCACCTTAAACTCTCCTGCCACAGAAGGGTCTTCGTTCTCATCCGATTTGCCTCGATAGAGCTTGAAAGTACCTGAGAAGTCTGTCAGGCCCTCAAATTCTGCTACATCCTCCAGTTCACAATCAAAAATCTGAAAACCATCAACAAATTCTTAGTCTCTCATTAAAATACAGGTGGATTCTAACAAATCAAAAAAGACTGATGATACCCAGTGGGCATGGGGATGGAGTGGAGCAGCTGAAGTCTCACAATTGGCAGGAGTGCAGAGAGACACAAGCCTCGGGAAATGTCTGCCAGGCTCCTGTGCATTCAGCAGCCTCCCATTCTCTGAGCAGACGCTGCAATCCTGGGGATCATCCAGGAGACATGAAACAAGCCACGTGGTACAAGAGGGTCCATAGCAGCTTCCTCATCAGGAGAATGGATAAAAACGGGGCCAACTACTGTGCACACAACAGCACAATGGATCCCAAAGCTACTGTGTCGGGCTGAAGAGACCAGACACACACAAAATACATACTCTGTGAGTCCATTTATATGAAATATAAAAACAGGCAAAACCAGTCTATGGTGATGAAATCAGATCTGTTGTCTCTGGGAGGGACGAAAGGTTATGGGGGAATTGACTGGACAGCGGTACAAAGGAGCTTTCCATGGCCATGGAAATGTTCTTTGCCTTGTTGGGTGGTGGTTTACATGAGTATGCAATGATCAAAACTCACTGAATGGATTCCTTTATGTAAGTGAATTATACCTCGATAAAACCAGAAGAGAAGGAGGATGAGGAGAAAGGATGAGAAGGAGGGAAGAAAGAAGGGAAGGAGGGAATGCGGGAGGGAGGACGGACCGTGGGACCGATCCACCAGCCCAGTCTGATCATTTCTTTAAATTAGAGATTCTTTACATGCTGGTGTTTCTTGAGCTGCATTGACCTGCTATGACAATAACATGAAAGGATGTGGGTTTTTCCACTTTGATGGGGAAATAGATTTCAATGGCCAGCTCTTTCTCATTTTCTCAAAGTTTCTTTCTCCTATGCATTGTTCTGAAAACTTTAGCACTTGCTTCTTCTTGGGTGTATTACAGTCTGAAAACGGAATGAGGAATTGGGAAACCCAAACTGTTAACAGAAAGATCCTAGACAGGCAGACCTGCCTAGCTCAATAGCTTGTCTACCTCCTGGACACATGTGCCCATATGCTGATACGTGTAATAGAATCGACTCGTTAGCTAGTGAAACTGATGACTGTTCAGAGGACAGAATGAAGCAGGTTGACATTTCCTGCAAGAGCACTGTGACTTTTACGTCTCCCTGGGTCAAAATGGACAATTGTTGGCCTAATTAGTGTGGTGCCAACCCATTCCCAACCCTCCGTCAGATGCCCCAAAGTGGCAGACATGTAAACACAGATCAACAGCTGTCCTCAGGCCCCTGGAATCTTGGTAAAGCCAAAACCCATTGCAAGAGGGCTCCACAGGAGGCCAGAGGTGCTCCTGGCCCCTCCCCATCAGCACCGGCCATTGGACCTTTCGGTCTGCTTGGCTCTGCCTAAGGCCCGTTTCAGTGACTGTTGCTCCCTACCCACAGACACTGGGCCCAGGTACCTTGAGTTTGGAATAGCCTTTCTGAATATATTGTCCACATTTTTCATGTTCCCCCGTGGAAGCATAAAATTTACTCCACCAGTCAACGATTTCTTCCTCCTAAAGAAAAACATACCAAGATGGAAAAATCTTTAGTGATGACTTAAATTTCTAATCAGTGCAGGAAAACACGTATGTAATAGGTAAAAGAAACAGGTACTTCTGAACCTGAAACAGGCAAGATTATTTGGCTTTTGTTTACATGAACAATGGCTAAAGCTTATTCACAATTCTTCTGCCCAGAAGCTGGAGGTGAAATGATCCTTAGCCAATAAAATGTGTTTGGCTTTACTGCCCACAGCTATATCAGAAGATTTTCTCACATTCTATAGACACGATCAATTCATTTGTCTGTTTTTACTTTTTTTACCCTCTTGACTTGATAGTTACATACACAGATAATAGATTAAAATAAAACTTCCAATATATGTTTTCTGCTATTTCTTTAGCCCTTTCAGCCAGCAGTGCCTTGAAAAAACAAAGCTCACTAAGCCAAGAGTTGGGAAAATTGGTTTTAATTCAAGTTCCATCCTTACATTACAAGCCATATCCTTATGTTATACGCCATACCAGCTGAGCAAGTCGTTTACTGCCTGTGCATCAGTTTCTTCACCCACTGAATGGGACACTAACACTACCCGTTCTCCATCTACCTCGGAAGTTTTTTTTGAAAATCGAATAGGATCATTAGGAGAAAGAGCTTAGCACATGATAAAATGTGAAACAAAAGTAGGAAGGTATTATGGGTCATTTAGACCAGTGACTCCCAGCCTGTCCTTGGAGATTCTGACCCAGTCAGTATGCTTCCCTACGTCCCCAGGTGCGCTGAGAACCTCTGGCTTAGGTGGGTGGTTCTTAACTGGACAGAAGAGACAGCATATCAGAGTCACTGTGGAACATCTTCACGCTGCCAAAGGCTATCATTGATAGAAGCTGCTGTAATCCCCACTCTGGTTTATAACAAGAACAGATCCTCATTAGGCCCACCAACTGCGTATCTTGATCTGCCTGGGAAAGAGTGACGATGCCCCAAAACGGTGCCACCTGCAGCACAGTTTCCTACTGAGTCTGGGGGAGGGGGAGGGAGAAGGGACTCTCACGCAAAGCTATTTCTTTCCTTTTTTTTTTTTTTTTGTGGTACGTAGCCCTAGTGGGAACCGAACCCGGGACTCTCTGGTCCGCAGGCTGACGCTCAACTTCTGAGCCAAACTGGCCAGGGCAGCAAAGCTATTTCTTTCCTTTTTTTGTTTTTTGTGGTATGTGCCCCTAGTGGGAACCGAACCTGGGACTCTCTGGTCTGCAGGCCAACAGTCAACTGCTGAGCCAAACTGGCCAGGGCAGCAAAGCTATTTCTTACCTGTGTACAGTATATGTATGTATACGCATAGACACACACACATGCAGTTATGTCCTTTTTATGGGTCAGTAACCTGACTCTGTATTAAAACATTTTTTCTTTATAGATCAGCCATAGGCAGAAAATATATGAATCTTAAATTGAGTACAATGTGTACAACAGTTACCTTTTCTGTCAGCTGCTCATCACACGTATGGGCAGGAAGAGGGCAAACCGTACAACAGGTCACACAGACACGGAGACCCCATGAGCATTGGGTTGAAAGAGAAGGAGAGAAGGAGGAGTTATTTCTCATGCGTGCTTTACATTGTCAACATTTTGATGGATCGTTTAAGTTATTCAATTCAAGATGATCTTGTAATGAAACAGGCCTTATTGGTTTCTTTTCTGAAAATGTGCAAGAGGATTACATTGTTAAAATGAAAGGCTCAGAGGGAGCCACCCACATGCCATGTTTTCAGTGGAGTTAGAGAATCTCATGGTCACCAGCACAACGGTCACACAGGAGGGGCCTGCAACTGCTCATCTCCCTGTCCCAAACCGTCCATTCCACTCAGCCCCTACGGCATACCCCTAGCTTGGCCTAATTCTTATCCCTTCAAACACTCCTGTCATAAGGTGTTCATGTCTAGCAGGACTGCAATCTCATCCTGTAGGTAGCTTTTCTTGGTTTTCCCCTGTGCCTGTGTTATAGCACCAAACACATATCCATCCATCAAAATTGCTCTAAGGCCCAGCGGTGTGGCTCAGTGGTTGAGCATCAACCCATGCACCAAGAGGTCGCCGGTTCAATTCCTGGTCAGGGCACATGCCCAGGTTGTGGGCCTGATCCCCAGGAAAGGGCATGCAGGAGGCGCCAATCAATGTTCTCTCTCATCGATGTTTCTGTCTCTCTCTCCCTCTCCCTTTCTTTCTAAAAATCAATAAAGAAAAAAAAAATTTTAATTGCTCTAAGATGTCAAGTTCCTCACTGGCCCAATCCTTCCATCTGAGCTTCTGCCTGGAGAATCCAGCCCTGATCTCAGAGCACATCCCGGGGATGAGAGAAAGGGGAGCTTGGATGTCGGGCCTGAGTTTGCTCTTGGCACCTGCTGGAACCTTAGCTAAGCTCGCCCTGGTGGGACGTTTCAGGGATTGCTATTCAGACCCCCTCTCTGAAATCCTAACTTCAAGTCCATTTCTCACGTAAGGAAAGAACAACCCCTCCCCACAGGTGCTCCCTGCCGCTGCCATGTGGGGCGGCCTCGGCCTCTGTCCGCGGCCTGCGGCAGGTTCCAGACGGACTTTGGTTCAGCCCACAGAATTGCCCAGAGAGACAGAGAGGCAGATGGATAGATGGAGCACTTCTTTCTATTAGATTCACACCAAAGCGGGATTAAAGGTTAAATTGTCACAGCCCAGCTGAGATTTTGGAGAGAGGTTTGGTGCCAAAAGTGCTTCCGCCTTCTGAACAGTTCCCGAATTCGGATTTTTTAGGGTCTGTTTAGTCACTTCTGTTTGCGGCTCCTCTAAATCATTTCACAGAAGAGAACAGCTCATGATCTAAAGGCAGTCTTCAAAACAAACTGCTGATTTTAAAGTTTAGGATTAGCGTGCGGGAATGTATTCATGCCGCCTGCCCATCAGTTCTTACGGAAAAGGAACTGAAGCGCGTAACTCGCTTTATCAGATCCGAACGGCACAGAAGAGTCTCCCCTTCAGTTGAGAACAATCACGTGTGTTTAAAGATCACCTTTCACTCCAAAATCTACTAATAGAAAGAATCCAAAAGGAGAATTCAAGTCTTTAGACCAAGGTCCCCGCAGCCCCAGGCAGCCTCATGCATTTTCTTAACATACATACATGCACTGTCCTTGGAGAAACCATTTTGCCGAGTGCTGTTGACACACTGCTTAAGCACTGGAATTGGAAGGCAGTTGTTGAGATGGCCATGTAGGAGTGTCCGTGCTATCTGGCTAGCACTTACCAACTGGCCCCAAAGACATTTCTCTCCCTTTGCTTGTGAAAGTACTGAGCCCATTTGGTAAGAGCTTGCACAGTCAATCACAGGGCGTGGGTTTCAGTGAGGGCAAGACTGTCACCCAGAGCCACCGCCTCTGCTCCCATCAACGGCACAGTTTTGACCCACTCCCTCAACTGACCCTATAAAAGGCCTGCATTGAGTTAGCGGTAGTAGATGTACATTACACACACATCACATATACATGTAACTCAGGCATATCACACATACATGCATGTTGCATGTATGCATGTAAGGCTACATGTACATGTCAGACATCAGCAAGCTTGTTATTGGCTCTTGCAAAGCTCAACTTGACTCATTTGACTTTGCATAGATACACTCTATCTTTCTTCCCTGGAGACCGTTTTTTACAGGAGATTCCAACCAGTCTTTCCCATCAACACAGTGTACCTCAAAGGGGTGTTAGGAAAGCAAGCTGATCAAAGTCATTTATAATAAGGTGGGGTACCACCCGCCGACGACTGCTCCTACCATCCCCAGTCCTGCTAGACTGCCACTTAAATGCCATTGTGTAAACTGAGTTTTCACAGTGTACTACCTAGTCATTTGTCAACTATTTCTAAGAAATGAATGAGAATAGTGACACAGATTGGCCTTATTCTTCTCCTTCTCAATCCCCGACCCCCAGTCCCAGGCCGGCTGAGTACACAGCAGGCACAAATAAGAACTGGCTGAGTGGGAGGCAAAAAAAGCTGCAGGCAGATTACAGAGCAGGATCTCCAGCTGCCCTTTTCCAGTGTAGTAAAAATGTACATAAAGGATCTTAAGTGTATCCTACTTAACTTCTCCCCAGGCTACACTGCTTTATTGGGAATATTTGGGTAATTTACAAAGGGAGCACAATTGTTTTGCAAATTTGATATTGTCATTTGTGACGGTGGAGGACTCTCGGGGAATCGAATCTAACACCCTGCTCCACAGTGCTGGCTGTGGAGACCACATCTGACACGGTCCAACTGTTGGTGAGTTTAATGCAGTGGGAAGGAAGTGGATTATTTTTTAAGGCACGGTTTATGGACATAACACATTAAAATGCAATCATGTGCATTTTTGGGCCAGTTTGCACCTTAGAACATGCTGTGAAAGTCCATCATAAATGCCAACAGCAACAGGGAGATATTTGATGTTTTCTTTCTTCTGGGCTGAGACCTTCCCCCACAACTTTCCTTCTTATACAATTGGCTGGAACGGTTTTAAAATAGGATCCTGAGTGAGCATTTCCACCAATTTCTTAACTTCAAAACCACAATGACTATAAGAATTGGGGTTATCCCATACACTGACAAATAGGGTCATTAAAAATCCATGATCCTTCTGCTTCACATAGGGAAAAACTGGTGCGCCACATCCATCCATCTTCTGAATGTGGTAATGCTTTAAGTTTGCTCCTGAAATGTCTTTTTCTAGCAAATGGTATCACTCAGACTACCCACACCAATGGTTCTCAGACCTGCCTGCAAATTAGAATCACTTGGGGAGATTTTAAAATATACTGATGTCTAGGTTCCCCTTGGAGGGTAGGGCCTGGGCCTGGGGATTATTTTAAGTATCAGGGTGACTGAGGGTGGAGAACATCAGTCCACACAGCATCATCATACTTTCTGATGAGTGCAAGATTCAGATCTTTACCTTGGGAAGTTGGTTCGATTATTATTATTATTTTAACTGCATTGAATGCTTGTTTGACTAAATTCACCTAATGCTTGGACACCTGGAAGATAAAACTGACATTATCCAATGATCAGCTCTGAAGTGTACCTTCGAAGCCAGCAATGGTTTGGTGTCTTCTATTTCGATAATGACGTCCCGGCAGGGTGGGGTAGACATAAAGGAGGCTGCAAGACAATTTCACAATCTAAGATGCTTACAAAAAAACAGTGGTGAACATTCTACTCCAAGTTCAAGTTCAACAGCCAGAGAGTGGATGGCAGAATTTACTTCTAGATGAGTAATGGAGAGGACCACACCCAAATGTAGGAAATAACCCAACAATTCATTGCTTTCCCAAAAATATGGTGAGATTTTAAACCGTTTCAGGGGACTCTGGCCCATTTTTCTTTGCCTTGGACAGTTAGCCCAGTGCCTATACATAGGAAGTACTCAAAAAAGAATTGTGTCAATACATGTCTTTGGGAGATGCAGAAATGGAGGGAGGGGTGGCCAGGGGAAACCTACATTTAAAGGAGCCTCCTTTTCGTGGAATCTGTTCTAAAACATAGAAAAGCAAAACGGGGTGAATAGTTGCACATTTCAGTGGCTCAGCCAGCTCTGGTTGTCACAGTGTATGCAGAGGGAAAAGGCATATGGCCTGACTTTATGTAATTTCCAGCAAATTTGTGGCTCTGGATTTGGAGGTTAGAGCAAGGGCTCAGGAGCAGGCCCGGGCTCACTAGGTTTGGTTCAGCTAAAACAGTGCCTAAGCCTCAGCCTCAGCCTAGGGCGAGGGTGGGGGCGAGAGGTATGCTTACCCTTTATGGAAGAAGCATCAAGCAGTCAGTAGTCAACGGGAGGCCAGAACCCAGACAGAACAAACTCTGCTGAGCCAAAAGAACTTTCTATACAACCCAACTGCCATACAGGACATAAAGGAGCAGAGCGTGGACACATTTCCTGGGTACCCACCATGTGCCAGGCAGTGGGCTAAGTTCTTGACATACATGGTCTCATGTAATCTCTCAACAATACTATAAAATATGTACCATTATCCCCATTATAAAGATTGAAAAACAGACTGAGGCTAAGAGAAAGCAAATCACTTGCTTCAGGTTAAACAATTAGTGGTAAATGGAAATAAGTAATCGAGGTCTCTCTGACCCCAAAGTTTGTGTTTTAACCATCATACCAGAGCCCAGAGTAGAGTAAACGCTCAATAAATGTCAGAGAAAGGATCGGGGCGATACGGGGGCGTCAGGGCAGACTGACATTTACTGAGCATCTGTGGTACACCAGTTGCTGTTCTAGGTCATGGTGTATCCATGTGGCACCCCCAGCTCTATCAGCTGTCTCTGCACTTCCAAGACTGCTCCCCACAACGCTGGACAACTGCAACAACACAGAATGTGACGGCCAGATGGGCAGGCATGTGGGAACACACTGTGCGAATTCCTTCTCGTGGATTCTCCACTCTCCTGCCCTCCAGTGAACAAAGCTCAGGGACAGGAGGAAAAAGCTACTCTATGCACTTCCAACACTGGCCACCAAGTGCTTCCTCAACTCTTACCCTGGTGTTACTGGTTTTAAGAAAGTACCAGATTGTAAGCTGACGAACAAAATAGATCTAGAGACATGGAAGTAGGGAACAGACTGACAAACCTCAGAGGCAACAGGGGTGGGAGGAGGGAAGAGATAAATCAAAGAACTCACATGCATATATGCACAACCAATGGACACAGACAACAGTGACGCGAAGGGGGGAGGGAGGGTGGGGGACGAGATGCTGGAGCAGGCAGGAGGGTGTCAAGGGAGGGGGGACTTTCAACAGTAAAGATAAAAAGAAAGTACAATATTGATATAGAATGATAGATTGCAGCCTTGGGAACACTATGCTCCCCATACTCCTTAGGGACTTTCCTCTTTGGGGGCTCTCCAAAGCCCTGGCCACACTTCGTATTCATCACATAGACTCCCCGCCGGGAGACCTCTGCCTGGGGCCCAGCCTGCGCCTGAGCAACAGACATGAACAGGTCTACACGTGTGACTCTGAGGCCGAGCAAGTGCACGGCATGTCTACCTTCTTGACGACATCACATGCTTGTATCAAAGAACTTTCTCTTGTGAAAGCAGTCGGAAAAAAGATAGGAAAATGGTTTCCTCTCCATTTAGTAACCTCAGATAAAACAATGTTTGCCGTTACGTTAATCCTTGTTATTATAAAAATGCTGCTGCCTGGCCAGTGTGGCTCAGTGGATTGAGTGTCGTCCCAGGGACTGAGGTCCCCGTTTGATTCCCAGTCAGGGCACATGACAGGGTTGCGGGCTTGATCCCCAGCAGGGGGCGTGCAGGAGGCAGCCGATTGGTTTCTCTCTCACATCAATGTTTCTATCTCTCTCTCCTTCCTCTCTCTCTAAAAAAATCAATAAAAACGTATTTTTAAAATGTTGCTATTGTAGGCACCATCAATTCAGCATAAAATGCTTTGTCTGGAAACGTACTGATAAACACACGTAGGGTTTTGCTCGAGTGTGACTGTGGATTTTATTCTTTCCTCCACTCTGAATCAGGGATACAGGATCCCAGGCCCGCACCACAAATGAGTTTCAGAGGCTCTGTAATGCCAACACCAAGCCTCTGGAAGGTTAAACAGAACTGGTTAGCAGCACAGCCACTTCAACAGAAGACACCTGCTCTGGGCTCGAGGCCCCCAGTGACCCGCTGAATGAGTGCCAGGTCTCCGTGGGGTCTAATCTCATGAGGCCAGGGGCCCTGGGGTCTTGTTCACTGAGGCAACCCAGTCCCAGGCCCAACACAGTCCCTGGCATAGGATTAACATAAAAACAAGTCGTTATTGAGTGGACAATAGCAAAACGCTATTCATTAACTACTTGTCATGGAATTCTAAAGGACCATGCCCACCCTATGATTTACTTATCGCGTGAGCTAAGGTATGTGATTGAAACTCAGCAGGTGTTATTTTTTTCTTAACGGATAACAATGAAATAATGTCCTTCAAACAACATCTCAATGATGCTGTGAGGCATTAAAGAGGTGGAACAACAGAGCAAAAGCAATTTAAACTAAAACTCTCCCCTCAGGACTCACAGGGGGTTGGGTGGGGAGGGCCTTGTATTTCCTCATCAAGATATTGACCACACCGGACTGCAAACACCCATTTCCTTGTCCGTCCTCCCTGCTGGACTCTATAAAGCTCATGAAGCACTCAACACTTGGGACAGAAAGTCTTCTGCTCATGCAGGAGCAGGATGCTTCCGAAGGTGAGCTTGAGCAATGGGTCCCCCCAAAGCGAGGCCAGGCTCTGCCACTTACTGACTATCCTACTTGGGGAAAGCTACACAGCTCACTCTAACTCACACTGTTTCCTCACTGCAGCCTCTGGACAATGATACTTCCCTTGAGAAGGTTTGTAAAGACTGAGCAGCCCATCATGAAAAGTCCCACATGGTACTTGTAGGTTTGTAAAGACTGAGTCAGCCCATGCATGAAAAGTCCCACGTGGTACTTGTAGGTTTGTAAAGACTGAGTCAGCCCATGCATGAAAAGTCCCACGTGGTATTCGTGGACGTCACTTCACCTTTGAGCTGCGGCACGATGTCCTCCTTTCCTGCATACGGGTCACAGCGAAAGCGGTCCAGGTGGTCGATGGTGCACTGGCCAACGATGGGCTTCCGCCCAAACTGCCTGTGGTCGATGACCTTGATCACCAGCGGAGGCATGTACAACTCCTCTTTGGGCAGGAACTGGGGGTCACAGAGGTAAGTGTCATTTCTCTCTACAAGACCTGACAAGAGCAGCTTTGCCAATAAACACTTCCCGAAAGGCCAACCCAGGTCCTTCTGTCCATTTGGCATAGCCCAGGGCACTCGCAGTGAAGTATTTCAGTAACTTGCACACTGGGCGAGCAGCACATGCTTGAAGGCATGAGCTGAGCCAGACCACCTGGGACAGGATCCTGGCTCTGCCCCTAGGAGCTGCATGACCTCGGGGAACTTTCGATGCCTCAATTATCTTCTCAATAACAGTAGGGTTGTTGAATTAACACATGTGACGTGCTTAGAATAGTGCCTCAGTACCTGGCTCTGCTCTGTAACAGGATGTGGAGTTAGCATTTAGCTGGAATTTAGCAATGGTCACACTAAAAGTGACCCTTCAAGGGAAATAACTGTGGCTTGGGAGTCTTTGAGCCCTGGAAGTTCAGTGCTCAGATGGGATGCTTTTCCTCGACACCTCTGGGTTCCTCGTGTGGAATTTGGTGGCCTTGGTGACATTATGTGCTTGGGGAATATCAGGCTGGTATCAGGTGAATTTCCACCTCTGGCCTTGCACAGGAACAGAAGAAGCTGGGTCATCTGAGCAGCTGTCCTCACTTTTGCCAACCAAGGCTAGACTTGGACATGTATCGAGTGTTCGCTCTGCTCTGAGGCTGGGGAGTGGACACGGATGGGTACAGTGGCCGGGCAGCAACCACTCTGGGATTCTGGCTCGGAGCATCCAGGCAGTTCTCCATCTACACCATTGCAGGGGAAGAGCATGGCCTTTGGTGTTGGAGGCACCTAAGTCCAAACTCTGGCTACCCACTTGCTAGCTGCGTGACTCACCTAACTTCTCTGTTTCCTCTGATGTGGGTAGGAGGAGCGAAGAGGTCTGCTCTGCAGGGTCAGAGCAAAGACTAGTGCAGGGAGTGAGAAGGCAGCCGGCACGGCGCTCGGGCTGCTGCGGTAGTCCTGACACTCACTACCGATTAGGGGAAGGCCCTTCCCTGTCCTGGCCTCAGCTCCTGTCTGTAAGGGGAAGTTAGTCCACAGGACCCTCGAGTTCCAGGGCAGGTGTGTGGGAGACACCAGGTGACTGGGCTGTGGAAAGGAGCAGGAAGGTTCTGGACCTTCTACCCCATCAAGTTGAAGAACAGCCTTTGTTTTTATCTCTTTCCATATAGTAGAGTAAAACAGAAATATTCTTCCTTTTTAAACAGATTTGTGGAAAGAGTGGGTGATCTCTTCTTCCAAACTGTTCTGGGTCTATGATGGAGGACTGTGACCCGGAGCTGATGCTGCCACCCTTCTAATAACCAGAGGGCAACTTTGACTCAACAAAGTTGGTGTCATCACAGGGGCACCTGGAGGTGGGCACAGTCCCAGGCAGTTAGCATCCCATCACCCCATGTGGGCTCCTCCTGACTCCTTCCCCAGTCAGCCAGGCCCTACCTGGAGTGTCTGGTCCCTGTGCACCTGCAGGGCCACGAGAGAGGGGGAATATTCTGCCCTCGGGGCACTGAGCAAGGGCCTATAGTAGACAGAACAGATGGGATGTTTGTTGGAGAAACACGTTAGTACTGCTCATGGATATTTCTGTGTCAGTGGGGTGTCTGAAGCCTGAAGAAATCATCATGGCAGTGTGAGGCTCTAAGGGAAAAAGGCACTGACAAGCTGAATTCAAGGCAGTTGTTCTCTTTGTTGTCAGACTTTGGAAATACGTAAACTATGTGTAGGCGAGTGATGTGAATATATTTCGTGTTTCAAGTAACATTCAGCGACTCAGCACACGTGAACTGTTATGAACGATCGCAGTCTTGATACGGTACCACTTTCATGAAGAGAACAGAACCCGGGAAGTTGGGCGTCTTCTTAAGGTTTTTGATGACCACGGACTCTACCCTCTCCTCTCCGCACTCCACGATGAGACTGGGGGATGTGACAGGAGCCATCTGGTAGTTCTTCATATTTCTTAAGCCCCAAGCTAGAATCTAAGAAAACAACGTAAAGAGAAGGGAAGGAACCCCAACCTATTAAAAACAATAATCTTCAAAAGGAAAAATGCTCTCTTAAAAACCAGTAAATTCTTCAAGAGTGACGTGTGCAGACGTGCTTAAATTAAAATTAAAATCTCCGAGAACATCATCCCAGAGAGCCTGCAGGTCCTGCCGAGGGAAGGGGCTGCCTCCCTCCTGCCCGAGCTGCTGACACAGAGCGGCTAAGAGCGCAGGAACCAAACCCGGCTGTGCCAGGGCGGAGCATGGGCACTCTGGCAAGTTAGTTAAGCACTGTGTCTCATTTAGACAGGACTGATAGTTCTAGCTCTTGTCGGGTTATTTGGAGGAGCAAGTGTAAACTTCTTAACACTGTCTGACATGCCAGCATTTAAAAATGATAGGTGTCGCTCAAAGCCATCTGCCTCCATCCTTGAGAACAGGAGCAGGACAGCCTGAGAATGGAAACCCCAAGGGAACAGCTGCTGGATGGACTGGGGAGAGGCCTCGGGAGTAGGCCAGACACTGTGCATTGAGCTACCCACGTAGCCCCTTCGGCCCGTCTCTGCTCTGTTTTCTGACATGCCATCATTTCCCATTACTCCCTGCCCACACTCCTCCTCCGCCTCCCTTTGGGTCCCTTCCTCCTTCTCTGCACACACAGGCCTGCTATTCTGGGTCTGTCTCCCCTCTCCCAGTTCTCCAGCTGACACAGGAAACTCAGAACTCGACTGGCTCCTAGGAAATGAACTCAGATTCCCTCAGTGATGCTCGAATTGTCTTGCCCCTGTGGCTCTGACAAGCCTTCTATTTCCATGAATATTTCAAACATGGGCCAGATTCTATAAAAAACTGGAGATAGCAAGATCCCATTTCTTATACAGAAGATTCCAGTTCTGTAGCCACATCCACTTGATTGGATCACAAAGCAAAGGGAGCAGCATACCTCGATAGCAGTGAGCTGGACCACAGGCCGGATCCCCTGGGGGACCATGTACAGGTTTGGTGCCCTTTGTGAGGGAAGAATGGGAAGGTTGGAGCCATCCTGTGAAACAAGCATGAACATGTCAATGCCTCCCTTCAGTTCGAGCCTAGAGTTAGCAACAGTGTCCTAAACAGCTACTCTGAAAGCATATGAGTGAGGACTCAGCAAGTACCTTGTGTCTCAGAATCAGCTCTGCAGTTACAAGGACGTCCCCACAAGCCTTGCCTTCGTTCATTACTGGGTACCAGAGCAGTTTGGGCATGACGTCCATGTCTGCGTTTAGTTTCACCAGAGGAGAGCACATGCTTCGTCCTAAAAACTCATCTTTGCCCTAGAGAAACAAACAACCCTTTAATTCCCCCAAACAACACCTTTACATTTCCATCAGTCCCCCAAGCCATCTGAGAAATTCTAAATGACCTACCACTTGGTCATTGTCAAAAAGTTCGATGACAACTTTGGGTGGGTTCTGAAGGACTGTTTGGGGTTCCCCGTAAATTTCAATTTCATCAAATATAATCGTTTGGTCCCATGTGGGATTCAGAGTGGAGTGGATGATCTCCGTGGTTTTACTTCGGTGGAGGAAGGAGACATGAGCATATGGGTCTAAAACCGAAAGAGAGAAAACCGGTGGGGCCATGGACAAAGTCTGAAACCATAAAACTCCTGAAAGAAAACACAGCTCCTTGACATTGGCTTGACTTTTTGTTTAATTTGACACCAAAGTACAGGTTACAAAAGCAAAAATAAACAACTGGGACTACATCAAACTAAAAGGCTGCACAGCAAAGGAAAACGTCAACAAAATGAAAAGACAACCTACAGATGAAGGGATAGTTGTAGCTATGGATACTGATGCACACACAATGGAATATAACTCAGCCGTTAGTACACAGTTAATCCTGCCACGTGTGACAACGCAGATGGACCTCGAGGGCATTATGCTAAGTGAAATAAGCCAGACAGAGAAAGAGAAATACTACATGGTATTACTCATATGTGGAATCTCCCCCCAAAGTCAAACTCATGGAAAAAAAGAGTAGACTGGTGGTTGCCAGGGGCTGGATGGAGGGGGAGATGGGAGAGGTTGGTCAAAGGGTACAAATTTCAGTTATGGGATGAACAAGGTCTGAGGATCTCATGTCTAATGCGGTGACTATAACTGATAACACTGCATCGTATAATTGAAATTTGCTAAGAGAGTAGAGCTTAAATGTTCTCTTTCTCACACACACAAGATAAATATGTGAGGTGTTGGATGTGTTAACTCAACTGTGGGAATCCTTTCGCAATGTATGCGTATATCAATTCATCACATTGTACACTTTAAATATAACTTCCAATTATACCCCAATAAAGCTGAAAAAAGATCAGAAACAAAAAACAATTTTTCCTCTATGCTATGTAATTTCACCAAAACTTTTTGCAATTGCCTGGATCTGACCTATCTGAGCAATAACCTAATCTCTAACCCACAGCTGTTTTACATAAGCCAAAAGGGTCCTTGGCTTTTAGGATTGTAGCATTATATGAATAGGACTCTTTGCTTTTGCTTTGATGATACATCTTATATCTCAAACTGCAAGGAATGTGCTTTGAGTTTTAAGCCACTTTAGTTGAGAGTTTTGATAGGATTCAAACTTTGACTTTCAATGACTGAGTGCCCCCTGGTGGTGAATAATTGAAAATGTCTTCAAAAACCATTTTGGAGATGTGTACTATGGGGATAACTTTGTGCTCTAATTTGTAACAAAACGAAATCACTCATATATACTTGGGAGACACCTCATAACAGAGTGAGCACGCCAGAGTGTCAGACAACTGCCTTAAGAGCTATTTCCACAGACGGCCTGGGCACGCTCGGCTGGCCTTCAGGTCCTGAGGGGGACTCCCACATCACAGAGCCCCAGACAGCAGGCCCCTGACCTCTCCCCTCTCCCACCCACAGCCTTCTCCTTAGAAACAGTCCAGAGGGAACAGAACCAGCTGAGCTGTCCTTGTGAGGGGTGGGGCAGCCCCATGGTTTTATGGTGCTGGGAATCTGGGGAGCAGGCAGCAAAGGAGGTCAAGATGAACTCCAAACTGCTTCAAGTCTGTGCTGTAGGCAAATAGGTGAATTTGTGATCTTTTTGTCAATGAGAGAGAGAGAGAGAGAGAAAGAGAGAGAGAGAGAGAGAGAGATGATTTTATATGTACACATGATTTTAACTTACAATCAACCCAAGAGTCCAGGGTGTAAGTATACAGCTATGTATATAAACAGAGAGCAGAAACTTCTTTTCTTAGTGCTTTTCATTACTTCATAAATTAATGATTATTAGTATTAAAAGGATTCATGTGTTCCATGTGTGTCCAGTACCCAGCAACTGTTTTCGGCATTGTACTAAGTGCTATTGGTCTAATGACTAAGATATTTACTTCATGCATATCAAACAAATCTCAATATGGAAATGCTTTTTGTTGTTGTTAGAAATAACTGAAAGCATCCTTGCCGAAAAGCAGAATCCAGCTAGCCTGCTGTGTGATAAGGTGTGAGGTGGAGGTTTTTTCCCCTTTACCTGAAAAGCTATCCTTGTCTAAAGCCATGAGGTTTTTGGCTTGGTAGATATAGCAGCGCAGGTGATACATGTAGACTCCTAAAAAGAACAGGGTGGAGGTTACTTACATGAAACACAATACTGTAAACTATTATTTTCCTAGAATGTTTGGCAATAATACATGTTTCAGATAAATGGGTCACCCAAATCTACTTCTCTATGGTGAAGAACACACATGATGGTGACGATGTGTCCTCCCAAAGTAGTTCTGTTTCCTGTAAAATGAAACTTATTTTTAAAATACCACAGTATACTCAATGTAAGTGTGTCAATCAGGCGATCATCACTCCTGGTATCATCTACTGGGCTTAGGGCACTACTTGTCATCACTGATTAGGGCCAGGCCGGTGTGGCTTAGTGGACTGAGTGTTGTCCCGTGGGCTGAGAGATTCCAGTTCAATTCCGGGGATCGAGCCTGCAACCTGAGCGTGTGCCCTGACCAGGAACCGTACTGGCAACCTCTCGGTGCTCAACCAACTGAGCCACACCAGCCAGGGCCCAAATATGGTTTTTAAAGCTGCATTTTAAAAAATTCTCTTCCTGAAATGATGAAAATGTGAGTACATTTTTATTATATTTGGTGCTTCGAAGCGTTTTCCTGAGATAAAAATCATACTATCAGAACGCACGCATACATGTTTAAGACTTACTGTCAAAATTGCAGGAGACGATGGGCGTGTTTGCCCCGAACACAGTGGTGGCGCTGTGCTTCTGCTTGTCGGTGCTTTTCTCCTCTCCGTCCTCAGTGGTGTCTGCGCCCTAAGGAGGCAGAAGACCGATCAGCAGTGCCGAAAACTGAAGAGCCAACGATCACAAACAAGTGGAATGGTGGCTGTCAAGGAGATTTTGCTCATCCAATCACTTCACTTTTAGAGATGAATACAGCCCAGGACAGTGACTGTCACTTGGCTGGAAAGTGCTGGAGCAGGAAGGTGAAGCCAGACCTTCCACCTCAAGTCCAGGCTCACCAATCCCTTCCACCGAAAGAGAAGAGAGCAGGAAATGCGTGCAGAATAAACGGGATTAAAGGATGGGAGGAGGAAGAGAAAGCGCAGCGCAAGAGCACAGCTGGGTCAGAACGTAAGCACGGGCTGTTCTTGGTCACCACGTTATCTTAGATCAACCCTCATCACTGTATCACTCGTTCCCCCCAGCTTTCTGCTGCTCCTCCTCGCTGCCTTCTGTACTGTGTTTCCATAGGACTTGTTCTCGAACCCTGTGACCGCTCTTCAGTGTTCCTCCCCCACAGCTGTATGCTTAACTTTCTTGGTTGGTTGACCAGTCGTAGTTTACAAGCTGCGATCCAAGACCCTGTGCTTTGGGTGTTACTAGATGTCACCTGCAACAAGGGCTTGGGAACAGATGTATTTGGAAAATGCCAATGAAACAGTGTGAAGCAGGTGTGTCTGCAGCAGGACGTCTCAGCATTTTCATATGTTATCGGTGTGTTCATTCTACAAAAATGACGGAGAACACAGGAGGCGGAGCTCCCTCCCAAACTGTACGCGGTCTTGCAGACCTGGAGGCACCTCTGTGAAGTCAGAGGTGCTGTCTCCAGCACTCATCGATTCTCCCCAGACCAGTGTTATTTGAGGTTTGACTGCTCACTACTCACAAGGGCACCTTCCAGCTTGAAGATGGCAGCGGCACCGTGTGTTTCCGAAGGAGCCATTTTTCTCCTCCAGCGTCTGCGGCGAAAGGTGTCTGAACTACGATGTTTCCAGTGAAACTTCCAGCCAATTAAAGAAGCATATTCCCAGCCCTCCTGGTCTTCCAACGCTTCCATGGCCTAAAACAGGAGTAAATGTTTTAATGAAGCTCATCATGATCATGATCATCATCCTTATATTGATCAAGCAGATTCTTTGGTCAATCAACAAATACGTTCTGGAAATCATCTCTGAGACAAGCACTGTGCTAGGAGCCAGGGACACAACAAACAACAAAAGAGCCCAGCTGTCTGCCCGTAGAGCAGATAGACTATGGGGACACAGATAATCAGACAACTACCGAGAACGGCTGTTCTCTCAGGAGCATCACCTTCTTCAGACTCTCGGGGTGGGGTGGGGTGGGGTGGGTACAGCATATTGACTCTCTCTCAAGTTGTTTTCTATGTCCTCACTTCATTAGCCCAAAAGAAAACACTGCTATTGTGATATAGTTTGGAAACCATTATTATCTCCATTTTATATATGGAGGAAAAAATGATACCGCCCTCCTCAGGGTTTCAATGCCTTGTCTAATGGGCAAAGCAGGAGGGGGAGCGGGGCGCGAAGGAGAGGGTCCATGGGGGAAAAAAGAGGGACATCTGTAATACTTTCCACAATAATACTAAGAAATAAAAGTAAATAAATGAATGCCTTGTCCAAGCTAATAGCTGCCATAACTAATTACATGACAGATCAGGGTGTGTTACTTCTATAATAATTAATAACTGAGTATAGTACTTTTTATCTTAAAAATATTTACATATAAATGGTCTCAGTTTTCAATGTCCTATTCAATGCACTAACAAATACGAGAGCCTACGGTGTGGCAGGGACTGTGCTGAGCTGAGGGAGCGGTGGCGAGAAGGCAGGAAGGGCCCTTGTCTTCACATAGCTGACACTGTCGTGGAGAAAATTTTATGTAAATATCTTAAAAGTATGACTAGATTTAATAAATGTAGAATAATACTGAATAATATTCATAACTGTGGAAATAAAAATTCCATGTGGGTTAATACCCTTGTAGGGACTATTTCTTCAACTACGAATAAACAGAAGACCAGGTCAAGCAGAGTTATAATTGCCCTCTGGTCGTGTTCACAGTGGCGTGGAAATAGTTCATGTAGCCCGAGGTGAGGCAGGTTAGGGAACACGATCAAAGTCTCAACAATGCTCTGGTAGAACGGGGTCCAGTTTCCATCTCCTGACTGGTGGCTCAATATTCTTTCCACGTCACTTGCTGCCCTCATGGGAAAGAAGAGGGTCAAGCCCTGGCCGGTTTGGCTCAGCGGTTAGAGCGTCGGCCTGCGGTCCAGAGAGACCCGGGTTCGGTTCCCGCTAAGGGCACGTACTTCGGTTGCAGTTTGTCCCCGGCCCTGGTTGGTCGTGCGGGTGGCAGCCACTTGATGTGTCCCTTCACATCGATGTTTCTCTCTCTCTCTCCCTTCCTCTCTCTCCCTCCCACTCTATCTGTACAAAAAAATGGAAAAATATCCTCGGGTGAGGATAAAAAAAAAAAAGAAGAGGGTCAAGTGCCCCTAGACGACTGTCACCTCATCAGGATAGGAATAATTAAATAACAAATACTCATTGATCAGCTCTTTCAATCTTCTCCATTATTTATTAGGAACAAGTTCCTGAGCTGACAAGAAGGATACAAAGGTGACTATGGATCCATCTTTGTACCCAAGAAGCATGTCATCTAATAAAATGCAGCTTCATTCATTATACCTACTGTGTGAGTTGGGAACTTTGTGGGACAGACAGAGTCCTTGTTAGGAATTAGCCTAGCTTGGGCTCAAACACCGGCTCTACCAGTTACTAGACAAGTGGCCTACAGCAAGTCTATTTAATGTCTGGGAAATGGGCATAAATGCTGACCTTATGGATTATAGACAATGCATATTCAGCATCTAGCATTATAAAAGACACACAAAGCACACCACTTATTACTGTGATCAGTATTATTGTTCCACTTAATTTATTATTATTCCATTTAGCCCTGTCTTTCCCTAATTTGAAGCATGACATTTTACCCATTTTGCAGATGAGAAACAAAATGAAGCCAGGATTTGAATCCTTATGCCTTCTGAGCTATTGCCACTATTCCATTAGACTACCAAATAATTTCTGTTTCTAGTACAACCTCTTGAGTGGTCCTCAATATTTAGCCTGCCTCAGAATCACCTTGTTGCAGGGCCCCACCCGCAGAGTTCCTAAATCAGTAAGGCATTTCTAACAAATTCACGGGTGATGCTGTTGTTGCTGATGGATCAGGGTGAGGGGCACACGCTGAGAACCCTGGAGCAAGGCATCAGGCCCTTGTTCCGCAAATGGCTTCCGTAGAAGCCGTTAAGTAGAATTCTGCATGGCCTGGAGGGCAGAGCCCAGCCCAGCTCCCCCCACTGCTTCTCTCACCTTTGCAGTACTTGATGCGGATTGTGTTAAATCTTTCTTGCGTTTTCGGACCAGCCTTCGCCGTCTGTGAGTATGATACATTTTCTCTGCTGCAACCCAGGATTTGGGCTTATTATCAGGTGGAATGGTGATTCCATACTCCCAGCCTGGAACAGAGTTTGTGAACAGTTATCCAAAGGAGATACACTTGCCAGATCACCAACTAAACTTCTAGGAAACATTCGGTTAATCTCTCTGCCCCCAAATATTCCCTACTATCGCGACTGAATGCCTCTGCTCCTTTCTCTTTGCTGCAATTCAGTCAAACTGAAGACAGCACTATTCCCCTGGCTCCCTCTTCAAAAAGTTTCTTCAATGGCCATGGGGTCCCCTCCACTTTCATAGCTCCGGCCATTCATTGTAATTGAAAATAAAGCACAGTACAAGAGGCAGAAGTAGATGGTGGTTAAAAGTGTGCAGCCTGTGTAGTCACGCGAGTTCAAATCCCAGCATCCTCACATGCTGGCTATGTACTAAAAAAAGTTTCTTGCAAGTTAGTAAGCCTGCCAGTCGCCCAATTTCTCCAGTATAATGGTAAATACACCTTGTCAAAAAAGAATTCATCAAAATAATGCATTCTAAGCACTAGGGCTGTGCTCAGCATGTCGCCTGTGCTCGATGTTCAATATTGTTACAAGGCCTGGTGCATGTGTCAGGATCGGCAAGGCACTGGAAATCTATTGGAAATCTTCTCTACCAATGCTGGGTCTTTCTGTGTACTACTCTGTCGTACAAGAAAACACAATCATATTTTCTCTTTTGATAATTCCAAATGATATAGTTCATTTAAACTTTAGATTACTGCTCATAGACAAGGATAAACACCATTAGCAGAGGCTATGAGAAATCTGCACTATTGCTGGATAGGACTTTTAAGGTACTTGATAGTCTCCAGGGAGGGTATGGGGTGTGTTAGAACAGAGGAAGTGTACACTCCAGTTTCCTTCCAAATTCTCATCACAGATCCCTGACTTCTCAAAAGCCCGCCACCCAGCCCCCTTACCTCACATGCTTTACTCTTGACAGCCCCCACCCCACACCTGTCCAAGCACTGGCTTGACCTTCAGATTTTGCATCTGAACAGTCACAAGTAAAACCACATGACTTGGTTGCCAGAGAAAAACCCACGGGGGTATGACACCTGCCTCCCGAGGAAACTTGACTCTGGCTAACCAGGGCCGTGCTGCGGGGCCTCGTCAGGTACTAGATCTAAACTGCTACCCATCTCCACTAGATGTATGGGGATGGTCCCTTCATAAGGTACAGAAATGTCTAACCACTATCTTGTACACCTGAAACTGCCAACTGTAATAAAAAAAATAAAGGAAATTAAAGCAAAAGATGAAATAAAATACTACCTTTCTCATCCACTGCACGGTTGATGTCGTACACCCAGGCATCATCTTCCCATTTCCAGCCCGGAGGGCAGGTGAGCTCACTGGGCGAAGCTGCTTTGTCCCCGTTCTTTAAAAAACCAGAAACAAAAAATGGCCCTGGCTGGTTTGGCTCAGCAGTTAGAGCATTGGCCTGCGGTCCAGAGAGACCCGGTTCGGTTCCCGATAAGAGTATGTACCTCAGTTGCAGTTTGTTCTCAGCCCTGGCTGGGTCATGCGGGTGGCAGCCACTCAATGTGTCCCTTTCACGTGGATGTTTCTCTCTTTCTCTCTCTTCCTCTCTCCCTCCTGCTCTATCTGAACAAAAAATGAAAAAATGTCCTTGAGTGAGGATAAAAAAAAAATGAAGAGTTACAACTAAGCCTTAATGTCAACTAAGATGCAAAGATAAGGTACAATTTCTCATACTTAACTATGGTATTCACATGGTAACTGAAACTCCATCTTGGACATCAATCTTACTCAGAGAAATCTCTCATCTGTATTTAGGTACAGTTGCTATACAAAAATTAGTTTTAAAAAATACCTTCTGTTTCCACCATTAGAGAATATGGTAGGTTGAACCATGGGACAGTATTTTTGCAGGCCAAAATGGTGAAATATCAGCAGTTTCATATAGTTTAATTTAATATTATGGAATCGGGCAACTCTTTTTACAAGGGGTTATATTGGAAAAAAACCCATCAGAAATGGATAAAGCTTGAAAAACACATGGCTCCAAGCATGGAGTAACAGTGCTGGAGGTTGTAGATACTAATCATGTACGATTGAAAAAAGTTTATGTTAAAATATTGCCTTCAGTTCTGCATTAAACTGATGGAGTGTTACAAAAAACAGTAAAGGAAATAAAGGTGGTTCATAAACATATGGAAAAATACTCAGTTTTACTTTATTTCATTTTTCAAAAATCTTTTCTTTATTAATTTTGAAAGAGAGAGAGGAAGGGAGACAGGGAGAGAGAGATAGAAACATTGATGAGAGAGAACATTGATTGGCCACCTCCCACCTGCCCCCCACTGGAGATCAGGCCCATAACCTGGGCATGTGCCCTGACCGGGAATCGAACCAGCAACCTCTTGGTGCATGGGTCACTCAACCACTGAGCCACACTGGCTAGGTCTCAGCTTTACTTTAAATTAAAAGTGTGAAAATGAAAATAGCAATAGGATATCATTGTTTTAAGTACTGACGAAGGTGTTAAAGTGGGACAGTAAGTGTTTAGAAAACATCCCTCTAATATCCTGCTGCTGGAAATAAAAATTTATACAACCTCTTTGAGAGCAGTTTGGCCATATTTATCAAAACTTTCTGTGCATCGAAACCTTGACCAGGCCAATCCAGGGATCTCTCCTCCAGATCAACTTGCACATGTGAATATAAATGTCTGTCACATCACTTATAAAAAACCAAGACTGGAAAAAACTAAGTGTCCACAAAAGAGGATCAGTTCAATGAAAGTGGGTGCATATAATAAACACTGCAGGCATTTTTTCAAAAGCTCATTAGAGCAATGTGATCCTGGTAGGATTGCACAGATCTAATACAACCCATTTCTTTGACTTGCAGTGAAACACTTATTAAGGATTCCAAAATTAAGACTCCAAAATCTAATAAAAGCAAATCTAGATTTTAAAGAGTAAATATCTTTCTCCTTGGGGTCCATAAATATTTCAGGGCTACTTTTACAGCTATCTTTTCTCTAATAAAGGCGTTAATATGTATATATATATTAAAGGTCACTGAAGAAAAGCTTCATAATAACCGCATTGGGTCTAACAAAGAAAAAATGTACCAAAGATCTATATGTACTGATGTCAAAAGATGTCCAAGATACATTGTTATGTGAAAATTCGAAGTTGTAGAACTGTGCATCCAATTCTATGTATTGGATGTATACAGTTATATACTGTATATAAACAGGAAACATCTATCAATATTTATCCCTGGGGGGTAGAATACAGATCATGAAGAAGAATTACTTTTTATTTCCTTTTATGCTGTTCGAATATTTTAAAGACATGAGCCTTCAATTTGTAATGACTTTTAACATTAGTTAAATAATAAATATTTACAATAAAAAAAATGGCACAACCCAACCTTTCCCGTGTACCAACATCCAGCTAAACAGGCCCAATGTCTTTTCTACAGAAAACAATTATAGGTGCATTGTGTGGCTTGTTATGAATGCAAGGCTGTTCAGAAAATGACCGGGGCAGGGGAGGGGAAGCCATGCCTGTGGTTGGTGGATCCACAGACCATGGATCCAAAGAGCTGACTAGTGTATGTCCAGCGGTGTGGCTCAGTGGTTGAGTGTTGACTCATGCACCAAGAGGTCGCCAGTTTGACTCCCAGTCAGGGCACATGCCCAGGTTGTGGGCCTGATCCCCAGTAGGGGGGCATGCAGGAGGCAGCCAATCGATGTTCTCTCTCATCGACGTTTCTCTCTCTCTTTCTCTCTCTCTCTCTCTCTCTCTCTCTCCCCCTTCCTCTCTCTCTAAATCAATAAAGGAAAAAAAAATTTTAAAGAAAGAGCTGACTAATGTAAGGCTGTCTCGGGAGCCGGCCACTCACTGCATCGGTGTAGGTGTCTTCCGCTGGCTTCCACTCGCCCCCAGGGTAGCGACTCTCATTCTGATACACTTCATCCGTGAACTCCGTGTGACCCGCATCTGCCTCCATCAGCAAGCTGCAGGCAAGGCTCGCGTTACCAAGGGAGAAATGGTAGCCGACGACCCCAGCATTTCCCATGCTCCAGAACCATCAGCAGCCGGGTGCCACCAGTTCCCTCCGCGCTCTAGCCCTGTGGGTTCTCCACTCCAAATCCCTCTTTCTACTAATAGTTTTCGACATTCCTCTGGTGAAGGGGCTATGAGATCTGCTGGAACTATGAGATTTAAATGACAGAAAACTCCTCAGACCAGCAGGGCTGCTACTTCTCAGTAATCAGGGTGGGGACTGGGAAAAGGGGTTGTGGGCAGCTTCTTGTAGGGACCTCATATTCCATATATCTGTTTCAGATTAGAGCCATTCAACTCTTTCTCAGCAAAACCCTTGGCTAGCAGTTCAAAAGGATAGACAGTCTTCCTTTCTCATTTACCCTATTTGAAAAAATAGAGTGGAGACAGTCTCCTGGGGCCAAGTGGGGAAAGTTTTACCCATGCTTGCTCAGTCTATATAACACAACTGAAGGGAGGAGTGTAGATGTTCTGGGTAGTTCCTAGGTAGACAGCCAAACCAGGTCATTTAAGACTCCAAACTCCATTTGGGCATTTGAGAAATCTATACCAACTCTCTGCCATGCCAATTTTCCTCTTGGATATGAAACTATTTTGACAACCCACAGAGAAAAGTACAAAGGTCCCAACTTTGACTTAAATCTTCTGCCAGGTGTCCACTCAAGCGAGGTTTCTTTTTCCTTTACCATCTCTACAGCTTTTCCCTGCCATATTCTCCCCTAGAATCAAGCCCTGGAAAGAAATCAGAAAACGAATAATCCCAACCATTTGTATAAGTTTGGCCCATCCATCACATCTGTGGGCCCCAGAGAAGGAGCACGGAAGACCTGGCTGCTGCCTGTGAGGTCCCAGCAGCTCCGACATGCTTTACCTTCTGCTTTTCCAATCACAATGCCCCCTGCCTTTCCCTGTCCTCAGCAACTTTCCTCCCTTCTGTCCAATTCAAATCTCATTCCCCTTCTCCCTACTAGTGACCCCAACTCCATCCAAAGTAAGCTGCCACGGGTTAAAAGTGCAAACACTGGGTCTTAAAGGACCACACCCAGCACACTCATTCCCCTAATTCGCTAATGTCTGTGTGATTACAGGAAATAAATGTGGACAGAGATCACAAACTACTTTGAGGTCTTAAAACCCAAGTTCACAAGCTTGTTTCCTCTAAACTCAAATATGCTCTCATGAAGTGAAGAGAAGAGGGACCTCCGGTCCTGATGCTGCTGGCAACACGCAGAAACCAGGCTTGGTTTCCCCCAGACTCCAGGGAAAACACGCTTGCCGCTCTCTCCTGTTTCTTCTTTTTCATCTTTTTAATAACAGCTTTGGAGATATAATTTACATACCATACAATTCACCCATTTAAAGTGTTCCCTCTACTATTTCTTACAAATATTCCAGCATAATAGTTGAGTACCGGTTTTAGTGCCCAGACTAAACTTGCAACACGTACAACCTGTGTGCCTTTAAATAACTTAATCTCTCTAGGTTTCAGTTTCTTCAACTGTAAAGTGGAGATAATACTATTATTTGTTGGGTGTCTCCTGCATTTCTGCACACAGGCCCCATAACTTTTGTTACAGACTTATCTTTTCAAGGATGTTTACATGGGAAACAACTTTGGAAGACAGAGAGGGTGTTTCTTTCTGGAGCAGAGAGCCAGCATGTTTACTACCCATTATAAAATATTTGGGTTCCCTAAACTCAGGATTCCTTTCCTGTTAGATAAACCACTGAATGTGCAAGTGTCATCTGATTGTCCTCTTATTGCCCTGTGGGAATTGGGGCTCAAAGAAATAGAATAAATATTAATACTCTGGTGTTACTATTGCTGTGGACAATAAAGTCCTTTGTCTCTGAACCGGCAGTTTTGTGTCTCCTACCAGCATCCGTGAAATGGTGGCAGGTGACCTTATTAAGCTTACAAGAAGATAAATATCTCAGATCCTTGATAATTTTTGATACTACCTATCTTGGAGGACTGTAGTCCAGATTCAATAAGATGACATCAGTGCTTAGCACACAGGTCGACACATTCACATAAACAAGTTCTCAATAAATGCGCCAGGGTTATTTTATATTTTTTTGTCTTATAATGAGACACTGATGATATATTTCAAGTTTCTGTGAATTTCTATAGACTTACTCCTGCTCATTGAGTGTTATATAATATTATAAAAAATGATGATGGAGAAGATTCATGTACCAATTTCTAGGGAAAAGCTTCATTGCCATCATTTTTTTTTTTTTTCTCAGAAAATGGAAAACTTACCTTCTTTCAGGATCAACAGTCCAGTTTCCTTCCCATTCCCAGCCCTTTGGAGGCAGGAAGAATTCTCTCTTGAGTTTTATTTTTCCTGTGACATCAGAAAATTTATGGCGGCCCACTAATCCAGAAGTGCCCCATTTTCCAAACATAAGAGCTTGATTTTCATACTATTAAAAAACAATGGAGAAACACCATCAGAGAGCAGGAAATAGAACCAGCCCATAAACTTGTAAGTCCATCTAGGACTTAGGCTAAACAGTAATAGAAAGTGAAAAAGCTTTACACTCAGAAGGTATGGACCAAACTTTGGCTGTTATCGATTATGCAATTTAGGGTAAATCCTTCATCTTTCTAAGACTTAGTGTTCCCATCTATAAACTGGGGGGTAATATAATACTATATTTCTTATAAAAGTTCAAATGTGCAAATAATTGCGAAAATGCTTTGTGAACTGTGGTATATCATGCTATCTCTATCATTATTTTGAAGAGTTCCATACTGCTCTCTGAACCTAATTTTTTAGATGCCTATAAAAAGTCCTCAGTTTGTAAATGTGCAGGCTCCTGATTTTATTTGCAAGCCTACTGCCTAGACGCTGGGGCACATTTCCCCACAGAAACAATGTTATAACTGAGGCTACATGTCCCAGGCAGTCTACAAAGAACTAGTCTGAAATAGGAAGGTTGTTCAGCACCCAGCCTTTACGGAGCCTAAAAGTCCTGCACCTTCATCCCCAGTGGGCAGATCAAGACTTCTTTGGAAGAAGGTTTAGTGGCAATGGCAGACTCTGGTCTACAGGGCACTTCTTTCTAAGTTAGAATTTTTAAATCTACAATGAAATGCCTTTTACTAATGTCAACTATCAAGAAGGTTGACATTTGCCAGGGTGAGTGTCCCTGTTTGGGTCCAAGCTAAAATTTCGATTTTTCTGATGATTTGCATAAGTGATGGGGGGAGGACTTGGCTGAAGGTGAAGGGAAGACGTTTGAGTAGGGGCCTGATGGGGAAATTGGGCTCAAGGACACATCAGAGCCTGTCTCAGCTATTGGCTCTGAGCCCTGAGAAGGGATGAGCTCAGGGGGGAGCTAGAGGAGCTGTTGTCACAGGGGCTGTTAGACGTGGGGGCGTGTGCACAGCCCCTTTGGTTTCCAAGTGACAAGGGCATAGAAAGAAGGAGCGGGCATTCCCACTGCTTCTGCTTGCAGGCCGTGTGGCTCTCATAAAATCCAGGTAAGGAGCTTGGCACAGACCAGAGGGCATCGGCAGCAGTGGCGGTGGGGGTGGGGTCTCACGTGGCTCTGAGGCTGTGGCCTCTAACCTGCAGTTTTGGGGAAGGATTGTTAGCACACATGAAGCACCTCAGAGACGTCCAGACATCTGGGGTAGGCATGGGTTTTGTAGAGAACCGAGGTCTGGTATTAGCATGGGAAGGAAAGAACCAGCGACATTTCTGTTATTGCTATTGGTGTGCCCCTCCTACAACTCACAGGCTGTTAGAATCTGCAGCAACTAGAGCCACACAGAACAACTGAAATGGGTGGATCATCTCTTTACATGGAGCTGAAACTCCAGGTTGCTCTATGCCAGGGAAGGATCCGGAAATGGGAAAGGGTGAAAGGGAGCTGTGGACTGGTCTGGTTGCTCCTTGCTCAGTGCTAGCTTCTCCAGGCTCAGCTCCAGCCACAGAGTTGGAAGGTAGATGGAAGCCAAGAAATGCTACAGGACTGCAGGAGCAAGCCTCTCCCGTGTGTGCCCTGACACCCTCGCCTTCACACTCACCATCTGACTGGACATCAACATTTGCCACTCAGGGCCTCCTCCGCAACCCCCAGCAAACCTCTATTTATATCCAATGGCACTTCTAAGCCTGCGCTGTAGGACTGTGTGTGTTTCCCATGTTCCATGGTTTCTCAAAGGGTCCACTGATGTTCCATATCCACCCACACTGGAATCACCTCTGGGGCTAATCCCTCACTCAGCCACAGGGTGAGAATCCCTGGAGCGGCTCTGGCAGTCAGCATGTTTAACAAGACACCCAATTTTACAATCACTGCAATAGATTATGTGATCCTTAAGGACAGGACTTGGCTTCTTCATCACCTTTAGCACCTGCCTCTGTGCCTGGAATAAGCTACCACTCCCCAAAAGCTTGGATGGATGGATGGATGGATGGATGGATGGATGGATGGATGGATGGATGGATTCTGTTATCATGTATTTATTTATTCATTCATTCAATAAATATTTATGTGCCTGGTACCGCTGAAATAAAAAGTAAAAATAGAAGATGGCCATGGGTTTCTTGCACAGCAAGCAGACCAGAACCACAGCCCTGAACCAGTTGTCAGGCACAGTGTGGGCAGCAGGTGCACACATATAAACTAGCTGGGAAGAAGACAGTCTCCCCATTTATCTGAGCATGAAAGCCCATCTGCAGAAGAATGGAGCTCATCTGAAAATGATCAGAAGAGACCCACTGAATACATCTAATAAATTTACATCAGTAAGTACTTTGAGTTAAAAACAGTATGTAAAAAACAAATCCAAATAACTACTTTTAGCTGTAAGTTTGTGGAAATTGTTTTCATTGGTTTACCTGTAATGAGATTTTTATTAACTAAGTAGATTTTTAACTCAGTGAAAGTTTTACAAATTATCTCTATCGTCCGCTGAAGTATCCAGGCAGCATTTTCTTTGCCCTCCTGGGCCCCCCACCTGCGGCTCCCCACAGTGAGAAAATGAGCCTCCTGAGGCTTAGAGACTCCTGGCCCCATGAAGGCTTCTCAAGGTCGGCAGCTCCCCACGGCCCTCACTCCTGGGTCGTCTGTGTGTGAGACACTCTGTTGGGTCCCAATGTTGACAATAAAACCTTAAGTCAATCTTTCCCTGTCCCCTCAGGTTCAGGTCCCTCAGGCTGGGATTTGGGGCAGTAGTGATGAGGTTGGTGGTTGCAGATATGTGAATGTCTTCCCTGACGATGAAAAGTAAATGTAACCCCCCAAAGAGGAAAAGACAGTGATGACATTAAATGTACCATTTCAGCAAAAACGGTGAATGTTCCTTCTGCGAAGCTATTGAACTTCTTCTCCACAGCACTTAAGCCCAGCCAGATGTTCACTCGCAACTCCACAGGCACCTTCGGTCCGTTGTTTCTTTCCTGCGGGTACTGCGAGATGCACAGAAACGTGATATATTGTGGTGGGCACAGCACACCACTGAGTTCAAGCCAAAAGCAGCCCAAACATCTAACTGGTGCTCTCACTGGTCTAATTTTATGTTTGTGCAGTTAAAATATTTCCCAATGACCCTACAGCAGAAATTAAAATAATAGGTAAAGCAGTGAGTGGTTCTCTAAGTGTGAGCCATAGACCCCTGTGCGCCCGAGGCCTTCTCAGGCAGTTTGCGGGTCACAGCTATTTTCCCAATAATGCTAAGATGTTATTTGTCTTTTTCATTGTCTTGACATTTGCACGGATGGTGCAAAAGCCACAGTGGATGAAACCCCAGGTACTTAGCAGGAACCGAGGCAGCGATGCCAAACTGTCCCGGTCATCATTGTTTTCTTCATTACTTTCCATGAAGAAAATAAAATTCTAGTATTACTTAAAAATTCCCTTGATACAGTAGTAAAAATAGTAATCTTATTACATCATGATCCTTGAGTACGTCCTTTTAATATTTGTGTGATGAAATGGGAAATACACACAAAGTACTTCTGCTGCATATTAATAAACGTATGTCTCGAAAAAAAGCTTGTGCAGTTGTGAGGTGAACTAGCCTCTTTTAAAAAAGTGAAATACCTTTTTTTACTTGAAACCGTGATTGACAAATAAACAAGGGTATGGAGCAGATGTTTTTTTAACATAAACAAAGCGAGCCTGTCATTTCAAGGATGATAACTTACTGTATTTTGTTGCTAATGATAACTTCCAGGCTTTCAAGTAAAAATATGGATTTTGGAAAACTTGTATGTGTCATAGTGAGCTTGATAGCCTTCCAATACATAAAAACTTTTCTGATAAGTGATATCGATGAATGTGATTTTTAAAATATCGTATGATGAAATGTGCTAACATTAGGAAGATGTGCATAACTCAGTGAATCAGTATTTTCTGAATGGTCAGTGTTTAATGTTACGAAATCATGCGTGGATAAAAGAGTCATTCAAAGCATACGATAGACCAGTGGATCTCAATGTAGCAGAGACTATATATAAAGTTCACTGATACAGTTTCAGGTTCCACGTTGCAATTAACCTTTCAAAAGCTACCACTTAAGTTTGGTGTTGTGTCAGAGATGAGTATCACAATGATCTGAAAAGGATCCCTCTCTTTTCAAATTACATACAATGTGAGGTCAGATTCTCTTTATATGCTTCAACCAAACAAATTTGATCAGCATAAATGTAGAAGCAGATATGAGAATCCAGCTACATTTTTTGAAGCCAGACATTAAAGAGGTTTGCAAAAATGTAAAACAACATCACTTTGCTCTCTGATTTTTAAAGAAAGTATAGTTATATTGTATAAAAACATGTAACTTATGTTAACATGTAATGGGTTTGCTATTGTTATTTTTAAATAAATTAATAAATATCTTTAAATACCTCTGTTTGAATTTCTATTACTGTAACTATTAATAGATCTAACGCACATAAATAAAAGCTCTCTGGGGTCTTCAACAATTTTTGTCAAATTATTCTTTTTGTGGAAAGGGGTCCCAAGACCAAAAAGAACCCCACTGAATTAAATAATTTCCTAAAATGGATAATGAGTATTAACAAAATCAATAAATATATAAAACATTCTCTTAAAAGCATTTTGCTGTTTATCCACTGAGTTCTAAAATCTAACACAGAGAAAACCACTTTGCCTCCTCTCCCACCCTCTGTGAAATTTTATTTATTAATCACTTTGCTTCCACCCACTGCTGAGATAAATTATAATTGTGGTTCTATCTTAAGTAAAATGTATCCCACCGAGAGGTACTTGAAAGAAGATAATCACTCTGGTTCTATTTTCACCCTCCTGATTAAAGAGCAATGAATACATTTATTAAAAGTTGGCAGATACCTCCTTGTTTTAAAAGAACATTCTCCCCTGACTGTTCTTGCCTCTTCTTGCTCTTCATTCCTCTCCCCCAAAGCCAAAGAGCTCACTGGGGTTGGTCCATGGAGAGGGATGTCAGACATGCACCTGGGAGCTACTCCGACCTGTTTCCAGCCCAGGGCCTCCCGGGTTCCCCACATGCACACACAGAGCAGTTCTGCATCCAGGGCCTGGCGTGGACTTACACGGGCTGGGAAGCTCCTGAGTCAAGTGCAGAATACTGGGTGCGTGTGTGACGCACATCCTCTAGCGGAGAGGCCAGCAGCTTTTACCAGGTACTTCAAGGAGGCCATAACCAAAAATATCCGCAACCCCTCCTTAAAGTAATACTTCCCCCCAATTTTTGATTTGGGGACCCATTTGGTTAGGGAACAGATCCATGGACTATCTATATGACCCCCCCCCCCAATCCTTCCAAACACTCCCTAGAAGGGAGGGGAAGAAAGGCAGCACTTTCCATGAGACTTTAGAAATCAGTGGAGTTTATGTCAGAAAGCAAAGCATTCCCAACGCCATGTTACTATCAGTGCCACAAAGACCCCTGCAAGAGCTCCTGATGGAACGCCAGCAAACCTCAGACCGCTCTCTGGGAACTGCCATCCCAGAGGAGAGGCCAGAGTGGGCTGGACGTGACCACGAGTGCCCTGGCCATTCAATGACTGGCAAGTGATACAGCAGCCCCTTCTCAGGAATTTGGACTTGGATTTCAGTATGTCACGTTACACGGTGCTGAAGTCCTACCTTCAGAAAGATGGTCTGAATTTTCCCACAGTGCTTCCCTGATGCATTCTCCCCGCTGGTGGAGTATAAAACCCGATGTGCAGGAATGCGCGCGTAGGCCAGCCTTTTCTCGCCCCGGATCATCCAGATGATGATGTCAGGCATACTGTTCTGCGGCTGGTCACGAGAGAGGGTGGAGAAGGGAGCAAAGCTAGAGTTAGTCTAAATGCACAGGGACCTGTAGGTTGGACCTTCAAGGCTCCACTTGGCAAAGAAGCACTGTAGTAGGGCTGTCTGTCCCCCATTCCTGAGCTCACACCCTCTAGACCACACTGTGACCCGCAGGGCTGGGGGCAGGGGGCTGGGGGCAGGCTGTGGCTGGCCAAAGGGCACAGAGGGAAGCTGCCTAAAGCCCTGCTGCTCCCTGGGCCCCGACAGGTATTTTAGGAACTACCCCTTCTTATCTTGCCCATCATTTGAGGAAAGTCATCAACAGCAGTCAAAGGGTGACAGGTTTCATATATTTTCTGATATTTGCCAGATTTGAAATATTTGTTTAGTTTTTAAACACCACTCTTTTTCTGATTATAAAGGTGATACAAGTTCACTATAAAAAATCCGAAAGCACCAAAACATAGAAAGTAGAAAATAAAAATGATCTGTAATGATGTGTTTTCAAATGTATTTCTATTTACAAATATATTAGTCCTCCACCTCACCTCTGAAGGTCAGCGGGAGGGTCCTCTGCTCCCTTGTCCCTCCAGTCCCCAGAGGTTAAGGGCAGTCAACATGCATCCAGCACTCACCACGCCCGCTGCGCTGCGCTAAGCCCTTTACAGGCATCATCCTCTTTCATCTTTACAAAACGGTGCTGTGAAATGCGTACCAAATGCATCCGCATTTTATACATGGGGAAACTGAGGCTTAGAGAGTTTGAATACTTTGCCCAAGGTTACATATGGTAGATCCAGATTCAGAGCCAAGTCTTCCCAGTTCCGACCAAAGGTGACATTTAATCCACTACTTTATCACTCTACTTGAAATATTCTCTGACTGTACCATGATTATGATAATGATTTGTCTACTCTGAAGACCTTTCCAGGGTCACCAACTCAAAATTCTTCTTCTGCCCTGACTTCAATGATGTTCACTCCCATTACCCATTAGCATCCCAGCACAGTAACTCCTTGATTTCATCATCCATCAGACCTGGTAAATATCCAAGGTAATGTGCTAGATTCTCCCACCATCTCTATCCTTGCACCATTCCACAGAATCCTTCTTCCATATCAAATGACATTCGTGTATTTCAGAAGTCCTACCTCTTCAGTCAGTTGCATTAATTTATCAAGCCAGTCCTCGATTTCCCCCAGCGTGGACTTCACCTCTGTGTCCTCAGACCTCATCCTCACAGCTGCCTCATGAATCTGAGACAGCGATCTGGACCGCAGCTTCTGGATCTGAGTATCTAGAATTGTGACATTAGGTTTTCCTTCCGGGAGAGGCAGCGTTTGTCTGAAACAAACAAACAAACAAACAAACAAAACAACAGAGTTTGCAGAATAGCCTTTTAGGCTTCAGAACTGTCAGTCATTTGCATTTGGTTTCCATCTTTCAAATCACACCGCTGTCCTAGCTGCAGGAGCAGGTTTAAACTGAAGTGGATTGTGCCTGGCACTGGCAGATCAGATGGGCCAGTTAAGACTCTCCTCACTCTCACGAGGAATGCAGGGGATTAAAATTCCAAAGCATTTCCTTGGGTTTGACCCAAGGCCATGGACTCACTGGAAAGAAGATGGAAGCAGCAGCTGCATTTGGGGGAAATGCCCCTCCCTTCCTTTGCTTCCTACAATCACGGAATAGACCCACAACATGAAGGAGAGAGAGATTAAAGACCATTTACTTGGAGGGTTCTTAGACCACACACCCCTAAGTCATTTGTGAGTGAGCCTCAGGAGGAGGTCTGTGAATCCCTGGAACTTATGAAGAAAAGTGTACTTTTGTGTTGACAGGCATGTGATATAATGATGAAAAACACAGGCTTTGGAGCTGACTATCTGGGTACGGATCCTGACTCCACCACTTACTAGTTCTGTGGCCTCTTATTTTCCTGTCTTCAAAGGTGGGGAAATAATATCTACCTTCTAGGGTTGTTGGGAGAAGTAAATGAATTAATATATGAAGAGGACTGAGAGCAAAGTCTATTGCATAATAAAGTTTAAATAATGTTGCCATCATCATCCCATTTCTGTGTTCATCCTTGTTATCATCTCATTAGATATTTAAAGGGGCCCATGAGCTCCCAAAAGGTTAAGAACCACTTGTGTAGGCCAGGCTCCCCTTCAGAATGAGAAGTCCAGAACAGCCGACTGGGGGCCACAACGGCCTCCTTCTGCCAGGGATTCCCTCTCTTGGCAGCTGGCGGGGACACAGGGTGAGGCTGTCACCAACTCCAGGAAATTCTACTCACATTGTCTCTACCTGACATTTCCATTGGTTTGAATTTCACCCAGCTTTGTTTTTTTTAAATCTCCACCTGAGGGTATTTTTCTACCTTCAGATAGAGTGGGAGGGAAGGAGAGAGAGGGAAAGAGAAAGAAACATCTACGTGAGAGGGACACATGGACTGGTTGCCTCCCGCACGACCTTCACCAGGACCAGGGAAAAACCACAACCGAAGTACATGCCCCTGACCAGAATCGAATCCGAGTCATTGGTCTGAGGGCTGACACTCTAACCGCTGAGCCAAACCGGCCAGGGCTCACCCAGCTTCTCAAATGAAGGAAATCCTAGCATGACTTCCCTCAAAGACAATTTCTTGTTACATGAAGTTTAAAAGATTCTAATTTAATTCTTCAGGTTCACATGAATTTGATTCTTCAAAAACAGATTCTTCAAGAACAGTGAAAATAGATATTTCTGTGTTTTGCTCAGCAAAACTCACATCTTCTACATGAAAGGTATTGCCAAGTGTTTCTATTTGGTCACAGTAGTGATCATGGTGATGAACTGGAATGGTTAAGCCCTGGAAAGATTCTTTGGGTCGTCAATATGTATGGAAGCTGCCAGCTCCAAAGCCACCCATGAGACTCAGTGAATAGATGCTGACAGTGTGAGAGACTCAGCAGGAAGGAGTCGCACTGATAAACCCAACTCTGGGCATTAGATGCATCATTTTCCCTTCTTGGGCCTCTGTTTTCTCATTTATAAAATAAGGAGACAGGAAGAGATGACCTCGTAGGACCCAGACTGCAATTCTCTGAATATAAACAAGTACCCAGCCGTTCTCTGGGCATAGCGGCATGCCAATTACCTAGCTATACCACTAGACGGCGCAAGAAGACAGGGAGACTTAGGGCATTAGCCCGACTCTGGTTTAGTGTCCTAAGTCTCCCTCATTAGCCAATATTTAAAACAAATTTAGAATGAATCACTTCCTCCTTTAATTTCCAAGTACCCAGAGATCTGGGCTGTTTCCCCAAGTCATGGTTATGAAAGGTTCTCTGGCTCAAGTCAAATCTACTGCTTTTATCTGAAGATGGTTTGGCCCGAGGGTTCATTAGTAAGGAGTAAAAAAGCTGTTTCTAGTTGTGTGAAGTATGTCGTTGGTATTTCATTGCATTGCATTGGTATTTTGATGGGGATTGCATTGAAACAAGCCAAGTAGAGAAAGACAAGTATCATATAATCTCACTTATTTGTGGAATATAATGAATATAACAGTCTGAAGAACAGGGTAGTCCCAAAGACGTGGAAGTGGGGTACAGACTGACAATCCCCAGAAGAGGGGGTGGGGGGGAGATAAACCACAGAACTTAAATGCATGTACGCATAACAAATGAACATGGACAACAAAGCTGGGGACAGGGCAGGGAGGGAGGAGGAGGAAGGTATCAATGAGGGGAAAAGGAGAAACATCTGTAATAAAAATAAATAAATAAAAATAATGTTTTTAAAAAAAGCTGTTTCTAAAACCTGTTGGAATTACAAACAATGTTCTGACGGCAAAACTGATGCTCTACCCCCAGATCCCATTCTGCCGGGAGCCAGGAGTCATCATTTGTTCTGGAGGTGGGTGGGAGGCAGAGGCGCAGCCCTGGCGGGCTCCCCTCCGCGCTCCTCGCCTGAGGCTGTGCTGGGACTCTGCCTGGAGCTGGGCCTCGGCCTCCCTAGGCTGCCTCAGAATGGGCATCAGATCAGAAGTGGAGCTTTTCCTGGTGGTGACTCACAGACTCCATCCAGTGACGGCCTTTTGAGAAGCTTGACTAATTCAAATTTATTTTTCAGGTGAACACTAGAGATAACTCTAGAAGCTCTTCTAGTCTTCTAGTTTAAGGGAGAGAAGCATAGCTGGGAATTCTGAGATACACAGAATCAGTATACCTTGTGTCTTCTATAACTTCATCGATCAGCGTCAACCATATTTCAGCCAGCTGGTTTGCAGGAATTTTACCTTGGATCCCTGATTTCAGAGCCTCTATGTTTGATTGCTGAAGAATTTGGAAAGAGAGGAAATAATTAGTAATTATGCGTTATGCCATTATACCCAGTAAGGTTTAATTTTAATTTTCAAGAAAACACACACACACACACACACACACACACACACACAAAGATCTATCAGAAAAACCAGGCACTTTTTTTCACTTTTTCACTTTTAATAATGTTCATCAGAGCTTAGCACTATTTATTTTTTTTCAAAATGCAACCAATACTGATATGCTTAAGTAACAAGATGACCTTTTCATGTCGCTTTGACCTTTGAAACTGTGGATGAAAAGGGGCCACACACCGGACCTGACAAGCTCAGGGGAGGCCTGCATGGAGGCCTTACAAACTCAGACACTTAAAGTGACCACAAAGGATGTCTGGAATGAAAACTTCCTAACTAAAAGCGAGTCATGGCAGGTAGTCATGTCCTCAGCTGGTAAAGTCAGTCTTTACCTTAACTGAGCCTGTGGATTTTCTCTTTGCATCTAGGATAACAGGCATTTGGAATGTCAGAGTAATTCCTTTTTTCCAGACCCCTCAGGGTACAATCTCCCACCAGAACATGAGACCACAGAACCCCTCATTATTATCTTCTTCCCCTCATACCACCTCTATGTGCTGTAACTGTTCATTGTTAACTACCCTGTACCCACCAATGTAAAAGAAGCGCATGTCTTTCCATTTTATTTTTTACCCAATCCCAGAGATGTCCTCACGTTGCCTTCTCCCGCCCCCTTAATCTACCACCAATGAATTTCATGTAACCCTATTTATTCTAATGTATAAAATAAACACAAGGTGCAGAACTGCCATTCTCCAGAGCAATTTCTTATTCGTTGAGATTCTGCTTCCCAGCAACTGTCATCATCAGTTTGGTTCAAATAAACTCATAAAAATTCTTACAGGTTTGGACATTTCTTACATCAACAAAACCATGCAAATATTTTATGTATTCAAAAAGAAGTAAAAGAAAACAACGATGGGGGAAAGGAACCCTAAAATGGAATATAAAACAGAAACAAGTAAACCTAACTATATTTCAGATATATAACTACACTGAACTAAGCAAAGTAACTTTTCAACGCAATATTCTGACTATATACCCTCAGTTTAAAGGAAAGAAAAAAACATAAATATCTCAAACTCTAATTAGGTGGGGTTTTTTTTCTTGGGATTTTAGGATTGAACACATGGTAAGTAAACTGAAGATAATAAAGGCAGGTTTCTCGGTGTTGGAAAAGGGAGCTGTAAATACAGTCATAGGGAAGACTAGAATAAACCGTGTGGCATTAGCATGGAACTGGAGTTATCCTTATAAACTCACTGGGTTTTGTTTATTGATAGATACAGAAATAAATATACATATGTAGGTACATGTGTGGTGTGTAAGTTTGTCCACTTAGAAAGCCTAGAAGCAGTGACATCTATGTAGCAGTGAGCACTCTTGCTTTTCTATGCCTCTCCCTCTAAAAGGAGCCGGAGAAATGGCGATTCCAGGCTGGGGCAGGGCCAGCACGAGATAAGCCCAGAGCATATTATGTCACCTTGAGTGTCTGCCAACAGACAGACGGAGGGAGTGCCCACCATGCTCATCAAAAGTCCTCATCATGGAACGCCACCATCCTGTCCACATTAACATGGAATTAGAACACTTGGCCAATGGAGAAAGTGGTGAGAAGAAATATGAGAAAAAAAGCTGAATACCTGTCAGGGAGGAAAAATCTTCCTCTACCCTTCAAGATTCTTCTGGCTGGACTAATAATCAAATTACCATGAGACAGGTAAGCAGGAGAAAAATGAATTAAACATTAATAATATGTATACCTCCTATATACATGGGAGAGACCCGGGAACACAGAGTAACTCTCCAAAATGACAGAAGACATCACCGTAAACACCACCTTCAGCTAAGGAGGAAAGAAGATATTGGAGACGGAGAGTCAATGGTGGCAGGTTATCTATCAGGAAAGGCACAGACACGATGGTAAGACTGTTCTGCGGATTGAAGCCCAGTATTCTCCGAGCGAAGGCAGGCCTGGGACAGTGAAGGAAGCACCCTTAGAGACAGACATTTCCCTTACAAATGTAAGTGTTCTCTTGCAAAAGGTAACTTTTACTTGGTTTTCAGAGCCTCTCCTTAAAGTACTGTTTCTTAAATTAACCAGCCCCAAATAATCAATATCCAAAAGAAGCATATTTGGGGGTGGCAAACTCTGTTCCTCTTCATACTCAAAACATGATTAGACTAGAAGTATGATCAATTCTCCACCAATTCCTCAAAATGAGGGATTGGGAATTAATACCACAACCACACTGTGCATCCATTGTAGCTCTAGTATGTGAACAAATTGCTAAATTAATTTAAATCTAAAATTCTCCTTTATTATTGTTGTTGTACCACAAAACAAAATTTTTAGATTTTTCCATGTAGTCTTAGATCAGGTATATTCCAAGACCCCTAAATGTCTTGGTCCAGTTCTGACAGAGGTTGGATCTTAGAAAAAACCAATACTAATATAATTTGAAAATCAAAGCATTAATACCAGATGGATTTTATAGTGATACCTGATAGAAGTAACTTAGTATCTTTACCTCAATCATGTTCCGTTTCTCCTCATCAATGTCAGCGAGATGGGTAATTACTGATACCACATCCATGCAGCGTTTATCACAGTGAACCCTCAACCTCCAAAGAAGGAGAGTTTCTCTAGTCTACAGCAAGGGTGGAAAATGTCAGGCTCTGGTTCCTCTGAGCCTACCTCTTTCTACAACAGAGATTTTTACTACTTTAAATGTTTTTTTCTTTATTGATTTTAAAGAGAGAGGAAGGGAGAAGGAAAGAGAGAGAACATTGATTGGCCGCTTCCTGCATGTCCCGTGCTGGGGATCTGGCCCACAACCTGGGCATGTGCCCTGACCAGGAATTGAACCAGTGACCTCTTGGTGCATGGGTCAACGTTCAACCACTGAGCCATACCAGCCGGGTGAGATTTTTACTACTTTAACAGCAAAGTTCTAAGGGTTGCATATTTCTGTTGGAATGAACCATTCTCCACACCGTGTTCACATACAGATTGCGGTAGACTCTGTGAGCTGTCCCCCAGTTCAATATCCATCCTCTGTTCCACAATAAGAGAAGTTTTATCTGGCCATATGTCAGCCCAGGCATAACACTGCACTTCCCAACTCCCTTAAAGTGAGATGTGGCTATCGGACTGGATTCTGGCCAATGGAAAGTGAGAATAAATCAAGTGTGTGACTTCTGGGCCTTACCCTTCAAAGAAAAGACCTGTGTCATTTCCCCTTCTTTTCCCCTTCCTCTGCAGGGAGGGTGGGTGTAGCAGTGAGCTGCCTCTCCCATGAAAACAATGATAACTCCTTAGTGATGGCAGAGCAACAAGAGAGAAAGAGCTTGGGTCTCCAACACCACTGAACCTCCATATCAGCTTGGATCACCTACCTCTACAGTAGCTAAAGAAACTGCTTTCATCTTGCTTACCAGTATATTCTGAGGTCTTGTGTTACAGTAGCCTAGCCTGCATCCTAACTAATACATATTTCACTCTGTCTGGTGAAAAGAAAATGTAGAAAAGATAAACTTACCAGCCGTTCTGCTATGACTAAGAGAGTATTTACTGCATCCAGGCGATGACTAATATCTTCCCAATATGAAGTCAGGGTAACAACTGGCTTTGTGTGGGCCCAAGGCAGGTAATAATAGTAGTTCCCTAGTGTAAAACATTGAGGGTCAGAGAACACTGGACTCTTAAAATGAACATGTTTATTAAAGAGATGTGCAAACTGGGCTACTGTTTAATTGTATGCTTGGGAAATGGTCTGGGGTCGTTAGGTCCTTTAATTTTATTCAGTTAAGCAACTGAGGAATAGACAGAAAGTTCTTAATTATTCAGCCTATTTTGAAAACTCTCTAAAATACCCTGGTAAACAAAACACAACAATATTCAGGATTTTTAGTGGTTTAGGATCAAGTATCTGAACATCACTGGTGATTATATAACATAGTAGTAGAAAATATAGAGAGCATAGGAGATTCGACTGTGTGTGTCCCTGAAAACTGCTATTCTAAATAGATATTTTTGTTGGAAATGAGGCAAGAAAAAATAATTTTCTGTTTTTTAAAAGCATTAGCCGGATACATGGGATTTGATATTAAAGCTTTACAGCAATTAAATTGTTGGCCAATTTTTCTAGCACATTTTATATTTTAACACATTTGTACAAAACTAGGTAAAAACTATATGAAACTGTTGGAACATTTGATCAGAATTTCTCCCTCCCGTTTACTCTTAAACGACTTGTCAATAACTTTATTAGGGCATTTTCATACTTTGTCTTCTATTACGAATTATTTTATACACTAGAATGTAAGCTCCTTAACAGCAGGGACTGTTTCTCATCCATCTTTGTTCAAATACAGCTAATTAATGCTCACAGCAACTCTGAAGAAGATGAAGAAACCAACAGTTAGAATTCGGTGATGTGGCTAAGTTCACAGTGCTGGTGGGTGACAGAGCAAGGACCAGAAACTCGATTTTCCAGGCTCGAAGCCTGAGTCCCATACACGTTAACTCCTCGGGCTGAGTGACTGGGGCTGGCAAGGCAGAGGTGGGAATAGGCATGAGGTGCTTTTAGGGAGCCCAGTATTCAGCAAGTTGCCATCTTGTGACTCCACAAAACAGAGCCAGTGTTAAATTTGGGCATGGCATGGGGCATGGGGTTCAGCCCCTGGCAGAGGCCTGCGGCTTCTTTGGTTTGACTGGTCTTAAAGGTGCCTGTACTCCAGCCACCTCTCCTCCCCACTCAGGCTTTTCCTGTCCACTGAGCCTGTACTGGAGATGACGGCCGCCAGAGGGAGAGTACGCTGCACCACTCTAAACGTGACAGGACAGCATGTCCGTCTTACCATCAAATATGGCACGGCTGTACTGGGTGGTTGAGGCCAAAGGCTTACAGGTTGCGTCAAACTTGTTGCCATAGTTCCCAATGCTGACTTCAAACTGAATGGCCTCGCCAACATCTTGCAACATGGTGGCCGAATGGAACACAGCAGACAGGCTGTACTTTCGCCTTCGCTGATATTTCTGTAAAGTATGAGCAGACATTAGACTCGACAAAACTCTTTTTGCTCTAATTTACATGTAGACTGCTAACAAATATACTTCTAAACCTAATAATTAGTGTTGAATTAAATGCCAGTGAAGAAAGTTCTTGAATCTAGCAGTTTCCCTCGTACTCATATAAGTGGGCAAATATAGAATGTTCAGTGCAGCACTGAGTAGAGAAAAAATGAAAGCAATACAAATATCTATTAATAGCCCCTGGTTAAACAAATTATGTTACATCCATAGAAAGCAATGAAAGTTCAAAAAATATTTAGGTAGGTTCATAAGCGCAAACATGGAAAAAAGGTATTTAAAAGTGAACCCATTAAATATATAAATATATATATGAAGTATATTTTAATATTGGCATATGCACGAAGAAAGAAAGACCAGAATAATATAAATCAAGTTGTTAACAGTCATGTTGGGGAATGTAGAGAGAGTATGGTTAACTTTACTCTCTAACATACATTTTTAATTGTTTGAATTGTTTAAGTATTAATTTTCTAATCAGAAACAATAAAAACATTTCATGTCAAATTTAAAATGAAGTGAACTTGTTTTTCTGAAATAGAAATCAAATTTTCTTTCTTTTTTTCAGATTACTGGTTCACTGAGTGTATGTGTGTGAGGGAGTGTATGTGTGTGAGGGGGTGTATGTGTGTGAGGGGGTGTGTGTGTGTGAGGGGGTGTGTGTGTGTGAGGGGGTGTGTGTGTGTGAGGGTGTGTGTGTGTGTGAGGGGGTGTGTGTGTGTGAGGGGGTGTATGTGTGTGAGGGGGTGTATGTGTGTGAGGGGTGTATGTGTGTGAGGGGGTGTATGTGTGTGAGGGGGTGTATGTGTGTGAGGGGGTGTATGTGTGTGAGGGAGTGTATGTGTGTGAGGGGGTGTATGTGTGTGAGGGGGTGTATGTGTGTGAGGGGGTGTATGTGTGTGAGGGAGTGTGTGTGTGTGAGGGAGTGTATGTGTGTATGGACACAGAGCCCACCCACACTCAGTCCCTATCAGCCTAGCGGAAACGACCAGGAGCCCTTGAGGATTTCCTTCACGTGGGCACATACAGTCTCTTGGATTCACACTCTATCCCAAATCCTTGCTCAGATGGCTTCTCTCCTTCTTTATGGATCATACCCCTACTCATCGTTGCATCCTTCGGTCAAACAGAGCCATGCAGTGGTTTACATTGCTGTACTTGATTACGTTCTGGGCAGGCTGCCATTTAATACTGTCCGCGTCGAGAATGTGTTCCGGATCCCTGTTGGTACCATCTAGGTACACGCTGGCCCAGCTTAGGGGTGAGGGCAGCCATGGGCTCTATGCTCCATGGGTGAACTCGGGAGACCCACAGTGATAATGCTCAAATTTGCAATGACAAATTTCTCACCATAGCAAGTCTACTCAAAAGCCCCTGAAGTTCAGAACGCCCAGCTCTGCAGTCGGTCCTTCGGTCTGAGGTTTGGAGGCCACATGGCTATCACACTTCAGCATATAATCAGTTTTTGGTGTTGTATTTGTTTTTCCCGTTGTTACCTTGCTACCAGTTTGTGTACCATAATCTAAGCAGCAAAGAAGTGATACCTTTCACCTCTAGGAAGCTAATAAAAATTAATTGATCCCCTGTAAGATATATATTAACTGATTTTTCTTCCCTTCCTTATTCATCCATACCAGGGCCTTTCATGTATAAAATGGAATCTATTTTTCTTTTTTTTTTGGTATGTGCCCCTAGCGGGAACCGAATCTAGGACTCTCTGGTCCGCAGGCCAACGCTTCAACTGCTAAGCCAAACCGGCCAGGGGTTATAAAATGAATCACAATCATGGTGAGGACTTCCGGTTTGTATGATGCAAGAATGTGGTCATCCATTTATAGTACTCAGACAACTGTTTTTGAAATTTTGCGGGGTGGTAAAACACATATAATGTAAAATCCATTAATCCTAGCCATTTTAAAGTGTACAATTCAGTGGCCCAAAACCCAGGCATGTGCCCTGACCAGGAATCAAACTGGGACCTCTCAGTCCATGGGACAATGCTCAATCCACTGAGCCACACTGGCTGGGCATACTTTTAACTTCTCAAGGACCATTTTAAGAATGTCTGACAGTGACGGCACCTTATTATCTTGAAGAACCCAGGACATCCCACAGTTACAAGATCTCCATTTTGGTTAAAGGAGTTTTCAACGTTATATAATTGAAACCTACAATAGGATTTCATCAGAAATCAGACTTTGAAAGTCTTTCTAAAACATTGGTTAGTAACCTTAGTTGCTTGTTGAATAACCTGCGGAGCTTTGAAATATACTTATATCTGAGCCCCACTTCCCAAGATTCTGCCGGGCATTGTGAATTTAAAAGCGTCCCTACCTTAGTCCACTGTCACTTTGGTAGCAAGGGGCTTGGGGGACTTTTGTCATTTGTTAGGAGTCCCCTTAACAGCCCACAACTAAGCCCCTAAACAATTCATGGTTCAGGAATGTTGTGAAAACTCTGGATTTGGTTTGAATTGTGTGAAAATATAAAGTAGAAAGTTATTTGTATTAGTCAGAACTTATATATGTAGCATAACTTCTGTTTTTGTAAACCATTTGGATGATATCAGAGAAGGAAAGAAGCAAAAATAGAAAACATAATTTGGGGCTGAGTCAGGGCCAAGAAAAAAGTGATCAGTTAATGGAACCATCTGCTGGGAACAGGGAAGGTGCATGAGGAGGCTGTGTGGGAGCAGGGATGCTACCTCTGGCTGGGTGACTCTGCCTGCATACCTCCACCAGCCACGATTCCTAGAACTCTCTGGATTTCCCCACAAATGACTTGCAGACACCTGCAGAAGCCCTGATAGGACCCTTACCCTGGAGGCTCTGGGCTCTGAGACAATAATTCAGGCTTCTAGCCACCACTACAACTCCAACAGAGCAGGTACACACGTACAACTCCAACAGAGCAGGTACACACGTACAACTCCCAACAGAGCAGGTACACACTGTGCAACTCCCAACAGAGCAGGTGCACATTGTAAGCAAGTTGCTCAAGATAGAGCAGCACCTTGGGCCACTTTGCAAGTCCAGACTCCAAGAGGGTGTCCCATCTGCTTACCTGGCCCAAAGCAAGGAGTAGTGCACCTGAGAACCCAGCCCTTCCCCCAGCTCTTTCCCACTTCCCCTGTGCCCTCAGAGTTCAAAGAATGGAGAGAAGAAGGAACAATCAACCCCATTTAGGGAAGTCCAGAGCCTTAGCTTTTGTTAGGGCCCTCCCTTAGGAGCCTTGGACAAACTGCCTACAACAGAGAAAGTTAAAGCATGTAAATGATGGTCTATTGGACAAAGATGGTGTTCCTTCCTCTTTAGGTCGTTGGGGCTCTCCTGATCAGCAACGAGCAGGGCACTGCACTTTGTACATGGAGTTGGTATAGGGTAGAGATTCAGAAGTGAATTTGGGCAAGGGGTGAGTATTGTCAAGCAGAATAAAGGGTGGCAGGTAATAGCTCTTGAAGGTGGCTGTAAGCCAACAAGGCATGGAACATTAAGGGTCAAGGAGACTGTATGTCAAAGGAAATTACCCAACTTGTCTTCTTTGGTCTGTTTACTAAATATGGCTGGCAACTGGTGGTGAAACAAGTCTCATGGCCCCGACGGGGCTGTTGTAGTTAGGTCAAGAGGGTGTTGAAGGGCACTTGCTATGACTCAGGTCTCTCTCCGACTTCAGTCCCTGGATGTTCCCTTCAGGGTTTGCTCAGGCAGGCCAGGACTAGCTATCCCACCACCAGGCCTCTAAAACATCTTTTCTGTACGAAGCATTATACACGCTCCAACATTTACCTCAACAACCAGCAGGTCATCATTTGAAATGGGCTGAAGCTTTTTATCTGGAGGTGTCTTTTCAAGAAGAGTGCTCAATTCAACCAAGATTCTGCCTCTGTAGGCAACTCCTTCTCCCTGAAAGGCAACAATACAGGATTATTCCCCGAGGTATGAACAGCAGCAGAAAGAACAGTCTCTCCACTATGGCTAATCCAGCTACAAACATTTCTCCTTCCGCAGCCTTAACCCCCCAAATGAATCAGTCAGTAACACTCTCTGCTGGATTTAGGTCCTTGGTATCTGGAGAAAAAAAAGAGCCAGCGACTTCAGGTAGCATCCCAAAGAGAGCCTGGGAGTCGGGGCCAAAAGGGATCTTAGCCATGACTGAGGCCGAGGCTTCTAAGGATCCAAAGGGCTTCTGGAGGCTGGAGGGTGGCAGTGGAAGGGGCTGAGTCTCCTCACCCCCCTTCAGGAGAGCAGCTCTGAGTTTATCTGCAGTAGCGTGGCTCCTTTTCTCCTCTTCACAGAACAGGAAGGCTGCCATGTTGGCAACCAGGGCAAGTCTCAGAGTAGCCGGGAAGTGAAGGAGGAAGATGTTTGGGGTGCAGCTGAGTGTGAGGATGAATGTCGGATACTCCTCCCACCATGCCCAGCAGTGTTGGCCATAGACTCTTCTGGAGAGGAAAAGAAGGCTCCACTTCCACAACCAGTCCTCTGCCCTCCTCTTTCTAGGGCTTTTTCTTTCTACCTCCTTCTGGGTTTGGGAGCTAACTAAAAGATATTACTTCACTTCTAATGCAATAAAAAGGTCACTTCCAATCTCTGGGCCTCTATGTCCTTACCTACAAAAACAGAGGTTGGATCAGATCAGATAGTAAAGAGTTTCATCAGGCATGTCACCTCCAGTCATTTTGGTAAATTCCTAGAACGTGGCATTGAACAAAATTCTGAGGCAGCACATTTGCTTATTAGCAAAGAGAACCAGCATTGGTTATTGACATCTGTTCTACAAACAGGAGTAGGGGAATGGCCATGCCAAGCATGCGTTTGCAATGACCAGATCAGATGACCTCCAGGATCCTTTCCTACGCTTGCATTCTAAGACTCAGGAGCATGAGACTTCTGTCCTTCAACACTTGATTAGCTGTGTGCTGGGTCTATGTGTGTGAGTGTGTGTATGGGGGGAGGTCCCCTAAATAGGAGACTTAATTACAACCATCATAAGAAGGAATCTCATTAATAGTGCTCACCAACAACAGATCTTAATTGAGAAACTAACCTTTCCAGTATTTAGCTCATCGTAGGGGTCTGGGAATCCTGTGTACTCTCTGGGGCTTCCGTAGAGGTTCAAATAACAAGGTCCAAATGTTGGAATGAAGCCCACTTCTGTTTCTCCTGTATTTGCTGAGAGAGAACACCATCATTAGGTTTTAGGCTTTTTAACACTCAATCTGTTGAAATAAATATTAGTTATTAGTTAGCTGAGTGAGACTCTTTTCCTCCACTTTGTGAGTTAGTTGTATTAGTGGAAATTATAAGCACTTATGAGACTTGCCATGTTTCCCTTTTCTTATTGCTATAAAATAAAAACATTCTGTAGTTCAAGTAAACACATTATCCTCTAAACAGATGTTATTCAAATGAAAGAATAATAAGACTTTCAAGATGATCTTCACATTTTTTGCAAGTTTATAATTGGCATCTTATTAAACATGTCATTGGCAATTGGGGTAAAGAATATTGTTTTGGGAAGTCACTTAAATGATATATAGCAGATGAATTTTGTTCCATAAAATGTCATTTAGTTACAAGTTAAAATATATAAGAGATTTAAAAATTTTATATGTAGCAATGAACTGTCTGCCTGTGGTTATAAGACCACATGATATTTATAAGAAACGCAAAGTCCCCATTCACCACACTCTGTCTTTGATGAACAACCGATGTGCTTCTTATTTCCGCTACTTGGTCTTAGCAAGACTACTCCCCAGTGAGGGGCACTGTTAGGAAATAGCAGGAGTCAAAGGGAGATTGTGGAGAAATGCGGGGAGATGTAAGAGCTGCATGGGCTTGAGAGAGGACAAACCTCTCTAAACCTCAGCGTCCTCATCTCTGAGGAGAACGACATCTGCCCTCGGTGAGTTGCGATGGTCAAGTATGACAGCCTTGAGCAAACTTGCAAAGAATGGCAAGAGCTGTGCCAACCAAAGGACAGGTTACGATCCCTCGTATTTGGAAGACGAAGACCTTCCAGATACAAAGTGGAAAAGAGTCAGCATCTTCCAACCTAGAGATCTATGTTGAAAGTGGGGGGAAGTTATTTCATACATTTCAAACAATTGATATAGTGCCCTTTATCTCTGTGTATTGAACATAAACAACAATAAAAAAATGTTATATCTCACAAAGGGTTATTTACAATGAAGCCAACAGAATGGTTTGCATCTAGAAAACATGAGACACGTAGCAATGCCTGGTTGCATGCCTGTTTTAAGCTTAAGTCACGCAGGACAACTATATAGCACTGATACAAAAATTACTTTGAAGACAACAAAATGTTAAAAAAAGATTCTCAAGGCAATCAACTGATAAAGTCTTAATAAGATGATAGCAAACAGGAAGTGCTAAAAGACAGCAAAATTACAAAGCAAAAACCTGTGTACGATGCAGCCCCAGATCCCGAAGATGAGAAATCTACATAGTAAAAATACAATTGGTTAAACAACAAGAAAAACACATCATTGAAAAAGCCAGTGAAAATGTTACCCAAATCCAGTGCTGGGTAAGTGGTTTAGGAACACAAGAAAAATCCCAAATTCAGACCCAAGCCACATAATCTCACCAGTTAAATGCAAAATGACTCAATACTTTGTGACAACATGAAATCACCCCGTCTCTCCAGTCCCAGGGCCACCAGGTATCTGAGAGGAGTCAGCCTCTCACCGCCACAGGCGACCTGGTGACGTCACCAACATTCCATGTTTTTAATAAAATGTTTACTTGTCTTATGTCTGGCTTAGTTGGGACCAAGGCCAGAAAAACCAAGTAATGTCATCTGAATCTGTATGAACAAAAGCCTGTAGTTTGTGGTACATTATTTCTTTTGGGAAGATGCCTGTTGCTTGTTGTTATTTGGAGACCCTATAACAGACTGTCTGGAGGGCCTGCATGAGAGAAGACCTCAGAGACAAGGGCTAAAACAGTAAGAATTTTTGTTTTTATGGATAAATGGCTATTACCACCATATCCCTGTGAGAGATGTTTGTTTTAATATTTCTTGAATAATTATCTTTAGGTAATTATTTAATGACTTCTTGCTAATGATAAATGAATTTAATAATTTTTACCCTCCTTCCATATACTTATAGCATGATTTTAAATTACTCCTTTGGTTACCTTTAACCCATAGATTTAATCTAGTCTTTCATAATTCTTTATTGAACCAATGATTTCATCCAGTCTTTATATCTAGATCCCTCACTTGATAAGAGGCTAGTAGCCTACCTACCTTTCCCCTCCCCTCCCCTCCCCTTTCTTCTTTCTCTCTAATCTCTATCTTCTGTGCTCTCACTTTTACATTGTATTGGGCAATGAAACGGACTTTCTGTTTAGAGCTTTGACTACAGGCTTAATAAAAAATTAAAAAAACAATTACAAGTGCTTACATTATAACAACCATATAAAAAAAAGTGTCCCCCAATTTTTTTAAAAAAAATGTGTACTATTCAAAATACACATTCTGAATAATTATAAATTCCAATGGTTTAAATCTGAAAAGAAAAAAACATCAATTGAGGTGTCAGCTGTTAAGTGTGTATATATTTTGGGGGACACCTTGTATTATTCTCTGCAGAGAAAAGGAGAATTGTGATTACATTTCCTTTGTTATTCACAGTTCCAGCAGCATAGTTCCCTGTGCCACTCGGCAGAGAGTGTTCAGATGAGATCTCTCTCTTCACTTCTACCATTTGCTTAAAATAATGCCACGTGTGACTTTATATTTGGACTATATCTTCTTTGTTCGGCTCTTTGTTTTCCTTAGAATTTCTAATTGCCTTTTTCCTTCTTGAGAGAGGAAATCTATAGCTTCTTCACCATATCTATATTATCTTCCAAATTCTTATTCATACTTGAATAAGCTTTCCCAAGACAAAATCTTGTCTCAAATTCTCTCACTTTACTCAATATGTTTAATCTCTTAGCACTTACAAGATTTTTTTGTTATTTCTATTTAGGCAACAAAAAATAAGCTGCTGCTATTATTAATGTATAACACTAAATTTTTTCTCTTACCATCTTAATTGTTCTCCTTCATTCTCTATTATAGTTTCTGACATATGCACAGAACCATAATGTCAGGTATAAGCAATAAGTTCTCAGTATAGAAAACAAGAAGAAAGTATACTGGCAATGGATGCCTGTGAGCATGAGATGCATGAAAGTGAAATACACAATCTCTTAGGGAGCAGAGATTACATGATTCATTGCCATCTGACCTCCTTGTTCCCGCCAAGGAAATCAGTCAAGAAAGGAAATATTATTTTATATTTGGGTGGAATTGTTTCAATGCTGCTCTAAGAACTAAGGTGCTAAGCACTCTGTATTGGAACTCAAAAATTTATAAAACAGCTACTGGGGAAAAGTTTTTAGATGAGAGCAAGAAAGCTCAGATCTTCAAACTGTTAGTTGCCTTAATTATTAATTACTGATAAGTTATTTTGCTGGTCATCACCCAAACATCCCCGAAATGGTGCACTAACTCATCACATTCGACTTTTAAGAAACCAAGTCCATTGCCAGGCAGCTACCCCAGTTTGTTCCGTTAGAAGTTCTGTCCCCGGTCTTGTTCCAGCCCTGCTGAGTGACTTACCTTCTACTTCCCCACCAGAGGCAGCAATTTTGGAGAGGTATAGATATGTTGTTCCAACTACATCATTTTTGGTAAGACGGTCCCTATATAAAAGAACAGGTTAAGGCCTCCACCTATGAAAATGTATCTTCATTTCAACAATAAAAAGATAGAGTTGGAAAAGACCCTCGACCTCAGAAATCACTGTCCAGTGGGCCTCAGCTTTACTGCCCTTAAAACAAATCACTTAGAAGCCCCCCACTCTCATCTCAATCTCTCCTATGCAAGCTTTTGAGTCACTAAAAGCAGAGGGGAGAACAAGTCTGCATTTATAATGGGCATATTTCCTAATTGATTCTGATGCAGATGGTCCTCCAACCATCCTTTAAGAAACAATGATCTAGTCGGATGACTCATTTCAGCTATGAAAACAGAGTTTTACAGAGCTCATAAGCTTTGCCTATGGCCACACTCAATACCATTGTCATAAAATGAATGACTCAATTATAGGCACTTTACAAATTATTGTACTGTCATTATATTACATAGAATAATTGCATATCTTATTTTATCACATTCATACAAATTACTATGATGGTTTAATAACTACAATGGGCTACATCTAAGGGTCCTTCATAGGAAGAATAATTTTTCTTCAATTCAATTCAAATATTCATTGAACACCACCGTGTGACAGATGCTATTTTTCCGACTACAGGTGCTTGCCTGGAGCCTAAGTCCTATTATCTATATGGTAGGGAAAATTTGCCCATTATAATTATATACGACTCTGTATCTTTCCATGGGTATCTTAGTCTGTGAGCCTAACTCATGAAATGCTCTCTGGCTGGGCACACAGTAAGTGTAAAAAATAAGGTTTAGATTAATAACACCCCCTTTGTTTAATTCCTCCTCTTCTTTGTCCCATCTAGTGGCACACCCACTCTGAAGATTAGGGCCCCATGGGGGGAGGAGAGGCTCAGTATTTTGAGGAAAGATTATACTATAACATTATATACATAGTATTATTATATATGATATACAGGATCTGACAAAAGTAGGTGTACAGTTGTTTGTATGGAAAATAATACAATAATTAATAAACAGTAATACAAGAATAAACTGTTTCGGATACTCACAGCTATAAACCTACTTTTGCCCCACTTTGTATGTTATAATATAATATGACACATTATATAGTGCACAATAACATTAGGATATAGAAGATAACTAATTAAACACTGCTGGCATGAGAGCTTGCACCTCTTCTGTCTATCCAGAAGAGTCTAGATTAAATTTAAAGAATCCTTAGTTTTCCTTCCAGGTGTTGTGTAAATATCCTATACAAGGTATGTAACCTAAGACCTGGATCCAAGAATCCCCACTTAAGAGTCTCTCTGTGCATCCTAACCTGCACTATTGCTTTGGAGAGGGCAGACTAGGTCAGGAAAAACAAAACAGAACACCCTGCATTTGTAGTGACCACAGGCAACTCTGAGATGGCTCAATTGGCAATTAGCCCGCTGCAGAGCCTGTAGGCCAGAGTGGTCAAATCAGCTTTGCAGGGTTCAAACCCACACTCCTGAGGGCTCCAGAGGCCCCTGGAGCACCTTGACAATGTCACCTGAAGGTCCTAAGTGCCTTAAAACTAGCTAGCATTCATTGGGAAGGACATTTTGTCCTTGGGCCCCTTCTTGGCTTCCAATGAACTGATGTGGTCATTGAACAAAATTATGCCTTCTTTCCCCTTCCCAAAGTGCCCTCGTATCAAGAGGGCACTGACAAGAAAGTTAAATACATTTGGCTAATGGAGAAACTAAGGCCGGACAGTAGGAGGCCCAACTAAATAACTGTCCAAGTGATTGTGGGCAAGTTACCTCTCTGAGCTTCAAGTTTTCATCTGTAAAATGAACTCATAATGGTCTCTATTCAGTAGCGTTACTCTAAAGACTAAACGGAGACCTGGCCGGTTTGGTTCAGCGGTTGGAGCATCGGCCTGTGGACTGGAGGGTCCTAGGTTCGGTTCCCGCTAGGGGCATGTACCAAAAATAAATAAACAAATAAAAATAATAATAAAAAAGACTAAGTGGAATGATGTAAGTAAGGCATGAGGCACAGCACCTGACATGTAGTAGTGCTAGGAAAACAGTAGCTAACATCATAATAAACACTGACAATGATGATGATGATGATATTGGCCATTTCCACTCTCTGGGAGCTCAAGACTGCTAACTGAATGCTCCATCTAACTAGAACACACCCAGGAATGGTCTCATTGTGGCCGGTCATTGCTAGGAGGTTAGGCTTGTAAAAATTCCATCAGAACCTTTCAATAAATTTACTGCATTCAGAGAGGTAGTTCTGTTCATTTTCCTTTCTAACAATAAAAATAACAAAATGTTTTTGTGATTCTTCTCAAGAAATGGTTTACTCCATTTCTGAGGTCTATTTTAGACAGCCTAATGGTGTTTAATTCCTTATTTTGGGCATTTTCAGATCATTTTTTCTTCTCTGTTTATGAGCAGTTGAACTAAGATATTCAAAACTTTTCTGCAACAACACTATTATTATTTTTTTAAAAAACATTCAATTCTAAGAACAGTTTATTCCTTCCCTCTGGAAGAAAAGCAAATATACTAAAATGTAAGAGGTAATCCAGAATAATGTTCTTTAATATCCAAATATTTAATTCTTTATTTTTGAATTGGACACAAGTACATTTTTAACTCACCAGTCATATACCGTTAGTTTTATTTTTTCACACATTGAAGGAAACTGTTAAAAAGAAATAGAAAAAACAAAGTTTTTTTTTCTCAATTTATTCAGGAACTATTAAAGTATTTACTTTTTCTGAAAGAAAAGAAAGTCAAACCTTGATCTGAAGATTAACGATTTGATTCCACTCAGGGTTTGCATTTTTCTCAATTATATTTGTGCAAACCTATAAAATCATCAAAGCAAAACGGTTAAGTATTCAAGTTTCTAATTTCTAAAAGTTTATAATATATGCATAGTAGATTATGACTCCAGAAGTTTACTTATAAGTTATGTACTTAGTAACCTGATTAACCTGTTAACCAGGGAATTCCCTTTTTAATTACGCAGCATATAATGGGCGCGAACTCTTTCACTAGGACGTGTAAACACATCCCACTCGGTTAACAGGTTAAAGTTTCTTTTTCTTGATAATGGGTTGGTAAAGTATGAATTGGTTTGTTTCCAATTGCCAGATTTCTAACATTGTGCTGGTATAATGATAGAAGATTAATGTTTATTGAGCACTAATTACATACTACCTAGTAAGCATCTCCAACTAGCTCCTGCCCCGTCTTTCCATCACTGTTCACCAGGTGGCTGAGGCTTACAAGAAAGTCAGCCGCCTCTCTCCCCATCACATGCCTCATCCAGTCCATCAGTACATCCTGACAGCCTTACCTTCATGTGGACCCTGATCTGCCCCACATGCCTGCCGTTGGCTCCTCCCTGGATCTTCACGTCCTCTCCTGCCTCCTCATGTTCATGTCACTTCCCTGTATACATCCTCTATGAGCTCCCAGTTACACTTCGAATAAAGTCCAGATCCCGCCTCTGGCTGTAAAGCCCTGCTGCCCACCACCCACATTTCTCTGACCTCATCTCTTAGTTTTTCCCCTCGCTTGCCACTCCAGCCTCCTGGATATTATTTGGCTGCAAATGAGATTCCTCTTTGGGGCCTTTACCTCTGCTAGTCCCTCTGTCTGAAGGTTCCCCTACTCCCCACCCCAGATCGCTGCATCATCCAAGCCTCTGCTCAAATGTCACTTCCTCAAAGGTGTGCACGTGATATCCTGGCTAAATACCCCTTCAATCCCCACACCAGTCACTTCTAGTCCCCTGCTTCCTCTTCGGTGTAGTACTTAGCACTATATTCAGTTACTCGTGAGCTTGCTTGTTGTTGTCCCTTCTGTTCCAGAGCAAGCTCCACGAGAGCAGTGACTGTCTGCTCACTTCCATACCCCAGCACAGGGACAGTATCTGATTCTAAATAGGCGCTCGATGATGACTTCTTGAATTAACGAACATTTTCAACACTCCTATGAGAATCTTATTCTCCCCATTCATATTTCAGAGGTTGAGACTCAGAGCTTAAGTCTTAGCTGCCGATGGAGTGGGGTAAAATCTGAATATAAATCAGGCCTCATCTCACTCCAGACCTCAGGACTTTTCGGCCGCTCTCCACTGACTCTTCTAGGAGATAACACCCAGTCCATGTGTGTTTGCCAAATCTCACTTTTGTAAGTAAATGGTTCGACTACATAGGAAATTCTAGTTTTTCATGCCTAAATTGTCCATGATGGGTGTTACTCTACTGTGGAATCCCACTCTCCAGTCTTAGACAACATCTGTAGGCAAAGTGGTGGTTACAGGTGTTTTTTACACCAAGAGTCCCCCAGTCTAACTCTCCAGTTTGAGCAGCTCTCTGGGGCATGGGACGTAGGAAACATGACAGGAGTGGGCAGCAGGGCACCGGGGGGCCAGACTCCAGGACATTTACCAGGATTATTACTACTGGTTAGGGAGCTTGCCTAAGATTAACATAATGCTTGGGAAATAATCCAAAGAATTCAGTGGTAGCTTTCGCAATTTTAATTTTTAAAAAGACTGAACTTTCCAATTTGAGTCCTGCATACTTTCCACTCCAAAATAAACCTGGGGAGAAGTCTAGCATGTTCAGACTCAGATAATCTGTGTTCCTGCAGGGTGCCCAGCTCATCAGGGGGTCACTTCAACAAAGAATTAGCAGGAATTCACTCCAAGGGGAAGCACAGTGGTTTATATAGTGTTTATTTCTAGAGGCATCTGCATTTAGATCACGTACAAACCTTTTTTCCAGCAAAGGAAACTTCTACAAAGGGATCCACCAGGTTCTTCTTATCTGCATTGCCCCCAAATATTTCCTTCACTGTCTGAGAGAAGGCATCGTCCACTGGAAAGTGACATGTCACATGGCAGAAATTAAATCTGATTCTCTTAAAAGAATTAGAAATCACTCAACAAAATTAAAAATATTCTCCTATACATGAACACAGTTGCAACAAAAATTGTTCTCAAAAGCAGCATTATATTGCAGAAATCCTTGGTGACTTAGTTGAGAAAGAAAATGTTTTCTCCCAACAGAGTTCTAAAATCAATAGGAGCACCTTGAAAAGTAAATTGATAAAATATTATGTTGAGAATCAATCATTTATTGAGGAAAATGCAGAAATGAAAAGTTCATTCAGGGAGGAAAAGAGACAATTCTCAAACTCAGGCCTGGTTTCAATTTGGAAAAGGTGCTGTAGGCCAAAATGATAATAGGCCTAATTTTTTTCAGGGAAATTTGACATAATCATAAATAACACATTTAATCAATTATAAACAGCAGATCTCTCTGTTTTAACAAACTCAAAAGTGAAGAGAGATCAATTAAACAGGTAGAAATTTTAATGTGAGCTTTAATTTATTTATTTCATTTCAGATATTTCTAAGGAAAAGATTGTATGGGAGGCATTACAGGGTCTTTAAAAAGGGAGGGGGTGTTCCCAGGAAATATAGCCAATCCCAAAGAGATCCAGGGCCTGAGCAGTGGGCATTGTCCCCTGGGAACTTGGAAAGCAGTCCTCTGTCCCAGGGTCCACCAGAAGGCACTCAGACTAGGCCAAGCAGAGAGGATGCTGGGGCCTCGGCAACGACATTGGACTAACTGGACCAGTCTCTATGACTCTTAAATGCTTCCAGTCTCTTAATACACATATCTCACAATATGATAGTGACAGACTCTTACTTATTGACATTTAACCACCCTTTGCTCAGCCATTTGTAATAATCCGATGACAAACACATTTATTTGTTTATAAAATGTCACATTTTCATTTGGGATGAAAGGAGTTGGAAGTGCTGAGTGCTGACCTCCCTTTTGTATTCTCTAGAACAAAGAGAAGATATGGAACATTGAAGAAAGAAGGGGTGGAACAGAATGAGCCAAAATGCTCAACACAAACATGTATCAGTGATCAACTGGTTGCCTCATGAGCCAGCCCTGGTAGCTTGCAACGGGGCCAGAAGGAATGAAAATAAGTTCAAGAAGGCCTTTAAGAAAGAAAAAACATGTGCTAGGGAGCACCAATCTATTCAGAGTATGATTCTAAAACATCTAATCATTAAGTAGCTGATAAATCTGGGGTGGAAGAAATCAATACGTACTCTGGGGGATGTCCTCTGCGCGGTAGATTTTCAGCAAGAAGGTCACCCACCGTAGGGCAATGCCAGCAGGGAGTAACAAATTACTCTCCACATCATCAGTGTCGTTATCACGGTCTTGTTTCTCAGGCTGTTGGGGACACATGATAACAAATTATACACACAAAAAGCAGCGCTTGTAAGAACCCAAACTGATGCTTGTAAAACCACACCAATCAGAGCTGTTTCCACTAGGATTTCCTCTTTCAGGCTTAAGAGTTCAACCACCAATTCGACAAAACTGCTCTACAAAAATCAATGTGCATATATTTCTTCAATCAATACACCATAAGAAAATAATGTGTTCTGTAATTTTATGAGCACCAAATAGCAGAGAGAGGAGGGAGAGGGAGAGGGAGAGGGAGAGGGAGAGGGAGAGGGAGAGGGAGAGGGAGAGGGAGAGGGAAATCCCAAAATTCTTCTGATTTCTCTCTTGGTTTCTCACTATTGGGTTTGCTGCCCAAGTTCCTAGATGACAACTGTCCTTTTAGGTGGCAATGGATGATTCTGCAATTGAGCTATGCTCTGTAGATAAAATCATGCAACAAAGTCTTAAAAACGCACACATCTGTACTGAATGAAAAACCCACACAGACACCAGGAAGGCATCTAAGTGAGCCAGAAAATAATTCTGCCGTGAAGAAAAGAAAAGCTTCTGAAAAACAGGAGGAATTGGAGGTTTGGAATTATTAATTAGAAGCTGTGCCCCACTTCTCAAATACTGGTGCTCACTTGCTTAACCCTTGGTTCTATTTTTTAGTGAAAAAATATAAATGACAGAAAACGTAGGGGCTCACAGGGGGCTCGTCTCCGGTTCCCAGGACAAACATGCTGACTTTCATGTAACCTTTAGCACCCGAGCTGGCATCTTCGGGGTCATTGAGCAGAAGCCATTTTCTCATGACAGCATGACCTAAGACAAGAAAGGAGGAAAAGGACAAGCCCACTTTAAAGAGAAGCTGACAGGTCCATGATTCCATCTGCTGTAAGCTAAACAAATGTTTCCTCTATGGTGTCATCAATGACACCCCAGATTCCCCAGATGAGTGTCTATATTAATGTCCTCCACCCCAATCCTTCCCGTGTGTGACCCAAACAAGGCTCTCTAAGTTCTATTAGTGGGTTTCATTTGATTTTGATAAGATCAAAATGTCCTCATAAAACAGAGAAATTACCTATTTGTGAATATTAAGGTAATTACCATTAGATTTTTAAAAGTGAAATCCCTACTAAGCTACTATTATTCAGTCCGCTAAGTATCTTTCCCCCTCTTCAATCAAGAAAAATAATATTTTTCATTCCTTGATCCTCCAAATTTTCTTGATTCCCAGAATCTTCCAGTTCATGGAAAGAACATTGCTTACCAGGTTCATCATAAACAAATCCAACATCAATCTAGGAAAAAAATAATTAAAGGAGTTTAAATAGATTTTAAAATCAGTTTAGTCACTTCAAATAAACCATCATTATTATATTTAAATATAATGTTCCTAACTAGACAAATTTTGGGGAGACAACATTTTCATCCTATCCCCTCTGTATCCTCAATGCCTTCCTTGCCTGATGCACGGCATATAGAAGAACCTCAATCCATCGTTTTTGAATGAATGAGCTAGTCTGAGAGCTGGAAGGGACCATGAAAGTAGGGGGACCATGGAAGTAGGGGGACCATTGTGTTCCTGTTTGCTGGGGACTTTCCTGGTAGCTCAGAAGTTTCACGTTCTGTGAAACCCCTCACTCCCAGGCAAAACTAGACTGGTGGTTACTTCACAGGAAGTCACCTGGCCCAACTGCCTACCCCATACAATTCTCCTCCAACTAATGCTAATATTAATATAACCATTGATTGGACATTTTAATGTGCTAGGTGCTGTGCTAGATGCTTACTGTATTCTATCTCATTTAGTCTTCACAATGGCCCCATTTTACAGATGGAGAAACTACGGATCAGAGAAGTTGACATGTGGCTGGTAGTGGCAGGCAGAGTATGAACACAGGTCTGCTGACCCAGATCATCCTCTAGGACTCTCATGACTGCAAGCTCCTTCCTTTGAGATGCAGCCCATCTTATGTAGAATAGCTGGGAAGGCACCAAATATGTGTCCTTAATTCTTTTGTGCGTTACTTGGAAAAGCACCCTGATTCTCATCCCTAGCTTGTCTTGCCTTTCATACTCCAGATTTATAATAACTGGTTTTGTAGATGGCGCTCTCGGGCCACTGGTAAGTGGAGCTGTGTGATGAGCTTCTTGCCATTAAGCACCCCTTCCTTCTGTAGCAGTGTGTTGGCTTCCACCACAGCTAGAATGCTGGGAAGGGTCCTGAGGTGGCAGCTTCAAGTTATCTTGCTTGAGGGTGCTGCTAAGTATTGTACTCTGGAAGCAGACTACACCCGAGGACACTCGGCTGGTTTCTGGCTCCTGGGGCACTCATGTCCTGCTGGTATTCCAGCCCTCAGCAAGGATCATGGCATCGATCCCTGACACATAATCTTAAGATGTCACCAAGATGGGCATCCTGAGACCAGGCCAGGAACCTGGTTCTTCATTATGAAAGTGCCCACTTTTGATGTAAGTTGAATGAAACAGACAGTTGACACCCACCTTAAATTCCCCCATCAGACAATCTGCCCGCAAAGAATGGGAATTATAAACCTGGAAGAAAGCAGAACAGTGGAAAGATTATTGGCTTTATCTGGCAGATAGTGGGCACAACCTGCCTACTAGGTGGCCCCCTTACCCGAATGCTGATGATCTCATCCATCAATTCAGAAGGGGTTATGTGGACATTGTAGAAAAATAACTGTCAAAACAAAGAGAAAAGTGTTTGAATGTTAGCAGGAGTGGACTCAGGCTTGGTGCAGAGGACACAATAATTTTGAGGGCCCTCCCAAAAATTATAACTCATAAACCCCAAATTGGATTTGACCATGTGAACACACTGCAGGACCTGAGAAAAGGCCCCAACTGAAGCTTCATGGTAAACTCACCTCTGCATGCTGGAAAAACAAAAAAGGGTTAAGTAACAACGGGAGTGTTTATTTAACAAAATGAAATTTTTCTTTTGGGACCAGATATCTACTAACTTAATTAAGTAAAGACTTAAGGTTACATCATATGTATAGGGCCTGCATGACCAGGAAAGTTGAGTTTAATTCTACAATTTTTAGCTCTATCATTTTTGCCTAGTGACTCTAATTTTTTCCTTTCTAATAAAACACCTTCAAAGACTACTTTGCCCATTAGATAATGTTAGTCCTTCAGTAGAGTCAATATTGACCACATTTTAACTCGCTGTAACAGCTACATTTAGGAAGGTTGACTCTTAGGCGATGATTATTGGGTACACAGAGGTTGTACCATAAAACCAAAACCTTAAACCAATAACCAATAAACTTTACTCCTAATTGAAAAAGATTGAGCACTTACTTAAACTGAGATATTTTTTCTCTTAGTTTTTACCTAGAAATATTTCAAATCTACAAAGAAATTGGGGGAAAAAAAGGTAAAATAAACATCTTTCACTTATGTTCACCAACTGCTATCATTTTGGGAAATTTCAAGTTTAGTAAAATGTCCCCCTTGTTTTAACTGAATTATGTGAGTCCTTCACTCCTTAAACTAGCTTTTCTTGCATCTCCTAAGAGCAAGACCGTCTTTGTATATAGTCACCATACTATTATCTCACCCAAGAAATACAACACCTAACTGCAGTCAGTTTTCAAATTTCTTTAATTTTTCTGGAAAAAGTTTTTTTAAAATCTAGGACCCATTAAAGGCTCACACATTGCATTTGGTGGCTGTGTGTGTTTAGTTTCCTCTTATCTAGAACCGTACTCCTGCCTGTTTGTATTACTGTTTTTTCTATCATGACTGGTTGTTTTGGAGAAAATCCCACAGTCTGGATTTGTGTGACTGTTTCATCACTGTTAGATTCGCACTGACCACTGGACAGGAAACAACACAGGCGATGATGGCCTCCACTGGGTCACACCAGGACACACGTGTCGGTTTGTCCCGTTATTGGTGACATCAAGTTTAATCACTTGGTTAAGAAGATGTACATAAACTAGGGATGTTTCAGTAAAATTCTTTTTGACTTAGGAATTGGCTCAGTTATTTTATTCTTCCCTTTGGCCAAGAGATCTAATCTCAAAAACAATTCATTAAAATGGGAAAATTCTAGGGGGAAGGGGGAGTGAGGGGCATCTGCAATAATGTCAACAATTTAAATATATATATATATATATAAAAGACATAGAAAATATACCAAAATATTAATGCTTCTACTTTATCATAGTAGAACTATGTTGTTTGCTACTGTGTTTGTTATCATTTTTCAATAATAAACAAGACACTGGAAGTCTAAATGTAAAAAAAAAAAAGGGAAAATTCTGAGATGGTAATTCTTGCTGGGCTTCTGGGAATGTAGTTGAGTAAATATTTATCCTGCATTATTAATCCATCGACAGGTCTCACGCCTTCAGCACCCAACATCCTGTCCTCCAACGTGATCTGCCAGCCTTGCCCCAAGCCCGTTTCAGGGCACCTGCCCCTCTGCTCTCCGTACCTGCATGCTGTCGCCCGCATTCACCAGGGGAGGAGTGAGAGCGGAGACGGAAATGGGGTCTTCTGAAAAGCTGGGGGCCAACTTGAACAAAGGGGAAGAAACAGGAACACCAGACAGAAGAAACCAGTTCTTTTGTGAACAGAGATAGAAAACAAGAACAAAAGCTGAGCTGGGCTGGGATTAGAAGCTGTAGGAACTAAGAGGAACTGTGATGAGAATCTGCTGGGATTAGAGACTGTAGGGAACTAAGAGGAACTGTGATGAGAATCTGCTGGGATTAGAGACTGTAGGGAACTAAGAGGAACTGTGATGAGAATCTGCTGGGATTAGAGACTGTAGGGAACTAAGAGGAACTGTGATGAGAATCTGCTGGGATCAGAAGCTGTAGGGAACTAAGAGGAACTGTGATGAGAATCTGCTGGGATTAGAGACTGTAGGGAACTAAGAGAAACTGTGATGAGAATCTGCTGGGATTAGAGACTGTAGGGAACTAAGAGGAACTGTGATGAGAATCTGCTGGGATTAGAGACTGTAGGGAACTAAGAGGAACTGTGATGAGAATCTGCTGGGATCAGAAGCTGTAGGGAACTAAGAGGAACTGTGATGAGAATCTGCTGGGATTAGAGACTGTAGGGAACTAAGAGGAACTGTGATGAGAATCTGCTGGGATTAGAGACTGTAGGGAACTAAGAGGAACTGTGATGAGAATCTGCTGGGATCAGAAGCTGTAGGGAACTAAGAGGAACTGTGATGAGAATCTGCTGGGATTAGAGACTGTAGGGAACTAAGAGGAACTGTGATGATAATCTGCTGGGATCAGAAGCTGTAGGGAATTAAGAGAAACTGTGACGAGAAACTGCGGTAGGAGAGGCCTGGGCCCAGAGAACAGAGTGTGAGGTGCAGGCCAGAGGAATCTCGGACATGCATCTCCTCAGTAGCACAAGTCTGGATTCTGAAAATTTCCGATTTATCATTTCTCTTCAGAGCCCTAGCTGGGGACTTTTGTGGCATTTGAAAGGACTGTCAAGGTATTCAGTATTTTTGAGGAGTGTTGCAGAACTAGGCTATATTCTCAGTACAAGGGAGAGAGAGAAAAAAAACCTCTTTTTGCTTATAATTGCTTTTCTTTAAACATATATTGTTTTTATAGCCAAGTAAGTTTTGACACTGTTAAAAAGTCAGGTTACTTAGCCCCACAGAGTCATCCTCGGAGCAAACAAAGGCAGAAGTAGGTGACATCCTGAGCTCCAAAAGGAGTACCAGGATCCATTAGGAAGGGCTCCCCGGAAGACCCCAGCAGCTCTGAGCAGTGACGAAGCAGGCCCTGTGACTGCGAGACCCAGTGGGTCTCACGTGGAACGCTGGGTTCCTATTGTCTTTACCGGGGAAGTCTGCCCACGTGTTCTGTTCCCATGTGGGACAGGGGAGAGGTGGGTGGAAGGCAGGAAGATGCATATAAATAGAACAGACTCCCTGAGCCCCTTTACCTCATCAAAAAATGGATTGTTCCCTCTCTTGATCCTTGTTCGGTGTGTCTGGCCACAGACGTAGACTTTGACCACAGGTCTTATGTTGTTGCCACTTAACTGCCGGCCCTCAATCACTCGGACCCGGATCTGCAAGCAGAAGGGGTGCTGTTAGGGATCCTTTCCCAGCACGCGGTGTAAGAGAATCCCCTGTGACGAGCGGAAACCGGGCCAGGGCAGCTTTGCAAAGCACTGCTGCTAATGGACTGGGGGCAGCCACCTGTGTCCATTCATTCCCACGGTGGGGCTGGGACTGGAGCTGGGCTGCAGAAACCAAGAGTGGTAGTGGGATTGAAATAGTCCAGAGCTGGCCTGAGAGAGCGCAGGCAGCACTGAGGCCACTGCTCGGACCCCAGCCTAGCCCTGGACTAAGTCACTCTGCAGCCATCTCCAAGACTAAGGCAGTGCCCAGAGCTATGGAAACACAACGCCTGTGCCTCTGTTCTTTTTTGTGTGTGGTACGTGCCCCTAGCAGGAACCGAACCCGGAACTCTCTGGTCCGCAGGCCGACGCTCAACCGCTGAGCCAAACTGGCCAGGGCTCTGTCCTTTCATTAGCTCTTTCCTACCACCAAAAGGAAGGAAGGGGGTGGTTTTACTTCTTAAAAGAGCCTCATCTTGCTTCACTACATCTACTCCTGCATGCAGAAGAAAGATGGAGAGCCCTTCTTACTGTGTTTATGATCTGATGTCCTTTTTTTTAACTAGTTGAGCCACTGCCGATAAGAATAGGTCCTTCCCAGAATCACTGATTGCCAGAAGCTGGACAATACTGTGGTGAGACTAGGATGTGGGCTCTTGGGCTCTTCCTACCTGGAAGTCCTGTGGCTTGTTAGACAGCATCCGCCGGGTGTTCTTCCCTTTCGTGAGCCTCCGGGCAAGCTGAGCTTCCGACCCCATCCTGCCTGGCCCCTGGGTCCCAGGGCCCCTGACCATGCTGTCCAACCCGTCTTCTGCACCTCCATCTTCCTCCTCTTCTGCAAGCCAAAAGGAATCCAGTCAGGGACGGCCCTCCCCCGTGAATGTCTGCACTGTCTGCTTCCTGGACACTCGGGTGTTCCGTGTTCCTGAGGTGTTAGGTGAAGGAGATGCTTCTTGGTGACAGACTTGGGCTTGTTCGGACTCAGATAAAGATTCCGTAGGAAGATGTGATTGTGGTGCATGTGGGCACTGGTTTAGGCTGTCTTCAAAGTGACAGGGCAGGCAGAGCCAGAGACCCCAGGAGAGGGTGAGATGGCTCAGTCAGACCCAGCCACAATCCACCCAGCATTGACCTTGGAGCCGAGCCTGGCATTAGGGACCTTCCTGTGGGGAGGACGGAGGGACGAGGATGGGCCGCAGGAAACTGAAGCCCTGCAGAGAGGAGGCTTCGACCCCACCCTTCCCACTGCAGGTCTCTTCTATAGAGAGGGACGCATGAGGTTTGTACTGTTTCCTTCTGCTTAAGCCTCCTGCTGCACGAATACCCCCTCCACCCTCGTGGCAGATGAGAAACTCACCTACGGTTTGCTTGCCAAGCAAATCAAGGGGGTCATCTTGCTCTCCCTTTGTCTCCCTCACGTATCCCCCTAGCTTTCCGGCTTGGTAGAGTGAACCCCCTTCCACTGCCTGAGAACTTCTTCCTTCTGATTTTTGGGGGAACCCCTAAATCCCCCCACCACCACCACCTCCAGTGGTTCCTTCTCCATGGCGGCCTTCCCTCTGCCTTAGAATATGCACAAACCTGTCACTGCTTAGAAACACAAAAATCAACTCCACCTACTATCTCTCCTCTTTCTTTCATTCACAAACTCCTTGAAACTCTGACAAACTTCAGCTTTTCTTAAAAAACAAAGTTTGAACTCTCAGTAACCTGTACAATATAATTTAAGAGAGACTAGAAAAATACCCACATTTGAACTCCCTAACTTTGGATTCTAAAACTTCTCCTTTACAATGCAAAATCATGTAAGACGTTTAATTTCCACATGGAGCCATCAGTCAATCACTCACATCATAGTATGAATTAGTTCAATCAGCTTACCATGTAGCATGCCTCTTAAAGTTTGAGCTCTGGAGTCATACTGCCTGGGTTCAAATCCTAGTTTTGAGCCATGTGAGTGTGAATCACTTTCTTAGTTTCTATCTGTTTCCTCATTTATAAAAAGGGAGAAATCACAGTACTTACCACAGGGTTTTATAAAGATAAATTTAATCTATATGTGAAGCCTTCAACACATTGCCTGGCAAAGAGTAGCTCCCAATATATTAATCTTATTTATTGATTTAAATGTTGTCAAGAAATCAGTTTTGGTTGGAGCACAGAACACAAGAACACTCCTGGAGAGCAGCAATGGGTGGGGGTGTGGTCTGAAGCAGTCAGTGGCATCATGGGATTGGGGGCACAGAGTGAGGAAGGAGCAACCAGGAGGAAGTAAAAGGTCTCCCCAGTACACTGCTTCACTGTTTTTTTAATTTATTTTTTTACTTTTTTTTTTTATCCTCACCCGAGAACATTTTTCCACTTTTTGTTCAGACAGAGCAGGAGGGAGAAAGAGGAAGAGAGAGAGAGAGAAACATCAACGTGAAAGGGACACATCGAGTGGCTGCCACCCGCATGACCCAACCAGGGCCGGGGACAAATTGCAACCGAGGTACATGCCCTTAACGGGAACTGAACCTGGGTCTCTCTGGACTGCAGGCCAACGATCTAACCGCTGAGCCAAACCGGCCAGGGCTGCCTCACTGTTTAGCCCAGCGTGAGCCCTCCTCCTCAACACCCTTCCATTCATGCTTAGCCCATTCAAGCCGCCTTCTGCTCTGCAAAGGTCAGCCATGACCTCTTCTTGCTAATTCAGGAAACTTTTCTGAATCCTCATGCTCAGTCTCCCATGCATAGCACTGGACACCGGGGCCCACACATACTTCTCTGAATCATGCAGCTCTCCTCGTGGCTCTCTGGGTAAACCTTTTCAGGCACTTCAGTGGGCCCCCCTTTCTGTCTCCTACTCATCAAGTATGACTTCCCACTCTGTTCCTCAGCCCTCTGCACCTTTGACCCAACACTCGGGATCCACACTTCACTGTCCTTCGAGGAGACCCAGACACACAGAATGTTAGACTTGAGGAGACCTTAGAAATCCTCATTCAGGCCTGCCTCTCACCCCATTTTAAGATAGAAAAACTGAGGTTCAGAAAGCTGAAGCGACTTGTTGGATTACTAGGAGCTGAGCTGAAATCAGGACCAAGTCTTTGCCTTACCTCACCAGTAAAAGAGGATCTAAAACCAGGAGATGGAGATGCTGTCCTCTTAGTCTCTCAGTACCCATGTCAGGATCAAGAAACCCCATGGAAGCCAAAGGTAGGGAATAGCTACCTTTGCCCTTTGCAAGATAACCTGGGTCTCTTCTTCCCTGTTCTTGAGAAGGCTTCAAAAGAAGTGCTTTCCTGCTACCATCTTGTGGCACCTGGGTCTTAGAATGTCTTTCCCCCTATTCTCCACCAGGTGAGCCCCTCGACTTCTCCACATTTCATCCTCCAGTTCCAGATGATTTAAATGTACTGTCCTGGGACAGGCCCTCCCCGTCTCTCCCAGAGGGAGTGAGCCACCCTTTCTTGTGTCTTCCACACATTGTTCCACCTAGTCCTCACCAGAGACTTACATCTGTTGTTAACCACTAGGCCTCCCCACTACCATCCACTCTCAGGAGCAGGAGGCGGGTACTTTTCTTCTTTGTATCTGCCCCGAGCCTGACACAGACCGTAGTATGCAGCAGGGGCCTGATGAATGTGGAATGAGTAATAAACGAGGGCATCCTGACCCCTGCTCTTGCCTTCTCAAGTTCTTCAGCCATTTGGCAAAGCTCCTGTCAGTCTCAGGAAAGAGCACCCTGACGCCAGGGGGCGCTCCGCCCGACCTTGGCGCGAGCCTCAGGGAAGCACAGAGGGCCAGGCCTGCCTTCTGCACACCTGTTCCCCACTGGGCAATGCACGGCTTTAAGCTCCTCCAACCACTGAGACTAACTTCCTGGGCCCAAGGGGGATTTTCTCCCCGCTGTGGATTGTCCCATTTGGGGTTGGAGGTTGTTTCGGGCAGCGAGCAGGAAAAGGAAGGGAAAGCACCCCTTTGTGGTGCTGGGCTCTGAACAAGCCTTCATTAAACTCTTCATGGTTGCTCCAGAAACAGACTGCAGGTAATGAAGAGCCAGCTTCTTCTGGAAACACCTTCTGTTATTCAGACTTTAGGCTGCAGGGATGGATCGGAGGAAACCAGCCTAAATCATGGCGCCACCAGCATCTCTGCATAGCCGCGGAAGGATATCTGAGCAGGAAATCACCCCTTTACGCGGCAGGAAGCTGCGCAGGGTTGAACAATGCACCCTAAGTGTTCACAAAGAGTGAGGGGCCCCAAGCATTGCCCGACGCGCCCTTCTTCACGAGCTGTTTCGTTCTGTTGGTGGTTGTGCACGCCTGCTGATGAGGCCCAGACATGAACCTGAACCACAGCCCGTAGCTCTACAAACAATGACTCTTTCATGATCACAGAGGGCGGCTAAGTCGGGAGCCCTGACTGAACAGGAAGTTGCTGGTTGTATTTGCTCCCCAGGGCTGTTGTAACAAAGTCCCACACATTGGTTGGCTTAAACAATAGAATTTTTTTCTCTGACAGTCTCCAACCCCAAAAGTCCAAAATCAAGGTGTGGACAGGGCCGCGCTCTCTTGGACGCCTCTGGGGAAAGATCTTTCCTTGGCTCTTACTAGCTGGTGGCTCCTGGATCCTTGGTGTTCCTTCGGTTGTGTCCGCATCGCTCCAGTCTCCTCTCTTGTCACACAGCCTTCTCCCCTGTGTGTCCCTGTGTCCTCACCTCTTCTCATAAGGACACCAGTCATTGGATTTAGGGTCTTCCCTTATCCAGTATCACCTTAACTATTTACATCTATGAAGACCCTATTTCCAAATAAGGTCACATTCTGAGGTTCTGTGTAGACGGGAATTGGGGTGGGGGGACACCTTTCAACCCACTACAGAGGGCATCTATTGTGTCTTTCTAGTCTGTCCCATCTATTATTCTAGTCCACAAGTCTGCAATCAGAAGAGAATTTCCACACCCTCCCAACTCCAAATCAACCATCCTGCCTGCATCTGTCGTCTGCCTTCCCTCCTGCTACAGTCCTGAACTGTCTATACTCCCTGGCCCGAGGCCGAATTTCTGCCTGTGCATGGCTCCTCTCTCCTCCTGCTACTCAAGGATTCTGCTTCTGCAGTTTCTGCCTCTTTATCTGCTCATTAGGGTCCCCCCCTCCTTTGCTGGAGCATTCCCATCAAGATATAAACATGCTGTACAGTGAAGGAAACCATCAGCAAAACAAAAAGACAACCTACTGAATGGGAGAAGATATTCTCCAATGAGACATCCAATAAGAGGTTAATATTCAAAATACATAAAAAGCTCACACAACTTAACACACATATATATATATATATATATATATATATATATATATATATATATGAATGAAATGGGCAGAGGACCTAAAAAAGAATTTCTCCAAAGAGGACATACAGATGGCCAATAGACATATGAAAGGATGCTCAGCATCACTAATCATTAGGGAAATGCAAATTAAATCCACAATGAGGTATCACCTCAGACCTCTCAGAATAGCTATTATTAACAAATCCATATAACTACAGTTTCAAAAAATGTTTAAAGATTAAACAAGTGGAAATGTGGCTCACAATGTAAAAAAAAAACACAACACTTTCCTGGACTCCACAGCGCCCCTACAGTTACTGCCATGTTTCTGCGCCTCTTTACTGTCCCTCTCCAGCTGCAAGCCCTTCACAATTCCTTTGTATAAATGTCATCCTGCCTCCCCAGCAATTACCATGTCACACAGTCAAATCTTACACCAAGCTTTTAACTGCAGCCAACACTGACCTGTTTTCTTTCTGAATGTCAGTAACTCCCTATGTGACTCACACTTGCACACAAGT